CACAGTTTATGTAGAAAATATGCAAGCAGGTTATATCTGAATTTGGTAGGGTTATACGGCCGTATAACATTTTCTATACACTAGCCTGCTATGATTTGACAAAAATAGCAATTGATGGGGTATCTTTCGTTTTCTTTTTACTAATTAACTAAATAAATTATATAGCGATAAGACCGCCTTTTGTACCTTTATGTGTATATTTCAATCTGTATTTATGTTACTGTATTTCATTTGAATTATTCACTTGTCATTGTATATTTTTATTTATGGTGCAATAAAGAGTTAAATAAATAAATAAATAAATAAATCTATTTATTATAACTTTTAAATTAAAATAACTGGTTTTGTAACAAGTGTTTTGTATAAGTGGGTTCATTATTCTTTAATTATATATATTTATTTGTTGCTAGTTACAATAACAGTTTGCAAACATAAATGTACATGCTAGTAAATAGAGAACAATACAGAAAATATTCATATATAAAATAAATAATAAAAAATATACACCGTTTGCTAATCTTATGGCACATTAGCAGTAAGTTCTAACTTAAAAATGAACGTTATAACGCTTTTGCAGATGTACGTTACATTACTGATTACAGTTATGATCGAAACTTATACCGTTTCAAAATTATATAATAACTTCTTTAAACCAATGGTACTTTGATAAACGATGTCAAACTTTATTATATATTTATAATATCGAATATTGTATCAAGAGTTATTATATCTTCGTTTCTACTGTTTTATATATATATAGATAGGCTGGCGCATGTAATATTTTTTTGTTTTTATACAACTTAGAATGGCAAACAAGCTGACGGTCCACCTGATGGAAAGTGGTAACCGTCGCCTATAGACATGTGCAGTACCATGGACATAACAGAGTATACCTTTTCGTCCATGATACTCCTTCTGCGTTGCCATTCCTGAGGACTCAGGTGTTATTCCTCTGTACCCAGTAATTTCACGCCATATCCCACCCTTCAAACCGAAACACAGCTATACAAACACAACTGTTTTACGGTTAAAACACGAATGGGACAGAGGTACTCAAGCAATCGACTTTTGTACAAAGTCTCCCTCTGGTAGTCAAATTTTTATCGTTAATCTAAAGCAATTGAAATTGTAGCCTTTATTCAGATCAACTTAGCCTAATAATAAATAATATACTTATTAATTAATAAATACATATATACTCTACAATTCACATACGTGCTTGGACTTCACTTATTTGTGAGTATACAGGTACGGTTAGAAGGATTGTTAGTTTTGCACTGCTAGCAATACACTCTGTCAGATCGACCTCCACGCGGTCCCCGTGGATACCATCGTGGTTAATCGTAATGGAATTCGTCACGATGATCTTACTGACCTGCTTTCACAGCTAACTATCATCTATCACTGGTGCCCCGCCAAAGTAAATCTATAGCGCAGGCGAGCTACTATTGCATTATCACCCATTAAAAAAAATACAGGTACATATATATATATATATATATATATATATATATATATATATATATATATATATATATATATATATCGAAAAAATAAGGATACTATTTAATTTTTTTTTTATACAACCTAGAATGGCAAACAAGCTGACGGCCCCACCTGATGAAAGCGGTAACCGTCGCCTATAGACATGAGCAGTACCATGGACATAACAGAGTATACTGTTTCGCCCATGATACCCCCCATGCGTTGCCATTCCTGAGGACTCAGGTGTTATTCCTCTGTACCCAGTAAATTTACGCCATATCCCACCCTTCAAACCGAAACACAGCCATGCAAACACAACTGCTTCACGGTTGAAACACGAATGGGACGGAGGTACCCAAGCAATCGACTTTTGTACAAAGTCTCTCTCTTTACCAGTCCTTTCCTGTAAAGAACGGACTTTAAATGAAAGGAAAATAAGGTCGTGGAATAAGAATGAATCCGCAGTATGCTGACCATACTTCGCGACATAGTCGGGCCTAGAAACTAAAACGTGATGAAGCAGAGACGGTTTACAATATGGAGAATAAAGAGGAACAATGTGGGAAATACTATATGGGAAAAACTTCGAGCTTGCAGGAATTCCAGTGTATTCATTTTCATTTAAGAGTTTCCTCTTGTCGGTGCAACTAATTCATGCATCTTCCTCCAGCCAGCTCTATCCCAGGCCATATCCTTTATCTCCCTATACGACATGACGCCTAGTGTATAAAACATGTAATTTGTAAATATAAAGGAAATAATCAAAAATAGTTTTTGATACCTCCCTGCGATGATGCGAAACAGTATACTCTGTTATGTCCATGGTACTGCTCATGTCTATAGACGACGGTTATCACTTTCCATCAGGTGGGCCATCTGCTTGTTTGCCTTGGTTGCCATGTGACCATTTTGTGTAACTATGGCTCACGCATGAAAGGAAACATATATATTAAATTTCGTTTATTAATGAAAACTTTTTAATGAATTCTCAATATTGTTATTAATTTCAAATAGATTTATTAAAACAGACTCAATATAAAAAAAAAAATACACCTTAGTCCATTTAAGCAGGAGCATACAGTAATGATCATTACTGTATGCTCCTATATGAATGGCAACGCATGGGGGGAATCATGGGCGAAACAGTATACTCTGTTATGTCCTGATACTGCTCATGTCTATAGGCGACGGTTACCACTTTCCATCAAGTGGACCGTCAGCTTGTTTGCCATTCTAAGTTGTATAAAAAAAAATTTCGTTATCATATTGACAAAACTTGATAAATGAATCTATGCAACCATCTAGGATCAACACAATAAAATAAATGCAATGCAATATTCATAATACAACTATTTATAATGTGCCTCTATCTAAAATAATTGTATTCATGGATATCCTTACTTTAATAATTTCATTTCATTTTATCATAAAAGACTTATACTTTATAGTAAATTTACTTATTTATTTACTTTATAGTAAATTTTCAAATTGGCTACATAAATTTCACAGAAAAGGTTTTTTATTCGTAATGACGCATCTCTGGGAATAAGTCTTAGAAATAAGTAATATGTGTCGTGTGAGTCATGTAAATACGATCGTTTCATGGATTTAGGCGGGAAATGATGTCCCGCCAAAAAGTTTATAGCACAAAAATTTTATTGTCAGCCAGTAAACGCGCGGCATTAGGTCGCATGTCCACCGGATGTTGTGGGTGTTGATAACGGAAAGCGATTATAACTTTATGAAATACCAAAGGGCAAGGTTGAACGATTATTATGACCCTACACCTATACCTATCACGAATAGTTTCGTCAAAATATAATGTAACACAATAGGTACTTACAGAAAATTATATAAGTATGAAACTATTGAAGACTATATCTAGCAGGAAAGGATTGTTAGTTGGATCCCTCACCAGAGGGAGACTATGTACCAAAGTCGTTTGCTTCGGCACCTCTGTCCGTCCTCTGTCAGTTATGTTTGCATAGCTATGTTTCGGTTTGAAGGGTGGGTTATGGCGTGAATTTACAGGGTACAGAGGAATAACACCTGAGTTCTCAATAATGGCAACGCATGGGAGATATCATGAGCAAAACAGTATACTCTGTTATGTCCATAGTATTGCTCATATCTATAGGCGACGGTTGCTACTTTCCATCAGGTGGGCCGTCAGCTTGTTTGCCATTTTAAGTTGTATAAAAAAAAAAAGAAAAAAGATAAATATATGACTATTTATCTTTTTTTCTTTTTTTTTTTTATACAACTATAAATAGTTTTTTTTTTTTTTTTTTGTGGATAATAATGGATTAATAACCTCGCCTGCGCTATTGATATACACTGGCGGGGCACCAGCGAGTGATGATTGGTGAGGATGAAAAGGCCCAGTTAGCCCATCGCGATAAAATCAACGATAAATTAGTTACGATTGTTTTCAGGGGACCGCGTGGAGGTCAACCTGATAAGGTATATTAATAGCAATGGGCACTAAATGGGCTTCTTTTTGGAGAGTGGCAATTTTTAATCAAATTCGAGTAGAAAAATATGAATTAATGAGTAAACTTTATTAAAAATTATACAATATATGAAATAAACAAGACAATTTATAAAGGTAACGATACAGTTGTATAAGTACAGTAAGGCGGTATTATTGCTGAGAGCAATCTTTTCAAGACAACCTTAGGGTAACGAACTAATTGTTGTACAAGTAGACTTAATAATATTACATAATTAAGCAAATTTGGAGTAACAGCGTAAAATATTAACAAAAATAATTATAAGTAGCTATTATTAAATTTAAAAATAAAATAATTAAGTATATACATATGTAAACGCATAATATATAGACGCGTACATGTATATTACATTATTTCATCATATTTCTTGTATGTGACCTATTCACATACAAAAATATGATCAAATATGAAACTATTTCAAATTAACATGATGCAATCTATTCTTTTCTTTCTAGGTGAATATTTTTTTTTAATCATTTTGTAACGGCCAACAAGCTGATGGTATATGGTAACCATCGTTTATAGTCGTGAACTATATATATATATGAAATATATATATCTCAAAAAATATTTTAACATTCGTGTAAATATGTGCCCTTTATGAGAACCAAGATTTTATGCATCCAAAAACTATTAACTTTAACCAGAGAGAGACTTTGTACAAAAGTTGATTGCTTGGGTACCTCTGTTCCATTCGTGTTTCACCCGTAAAACAGTTGTGTTTGCATGGCTGTGTTTCGGTTTGAAGGGTGGAATATGGCGTGAATTTACAGGGTACTGAGGAATAACACCTGAGTCCTCAGGAATGTCAACGCATGGGGGGTATCATGGACGAAACAGAATACTCTGTTATGTCCATGGCTCATGTCTATAGGCGACGGTTATCACTTTCCATCAGGTGGGCTGTCAGCTTGTTTGCCATTCTAAGTTGTATAAAAAAAAAACTATAATTTCATGGCCGTACCCCAATAATTATTTACCAATATCATCTATCTTGTCCAGGAATTCCACGTGGCGTACGTATTCGTGAGGATGGGCATTTCGCCACGTCCAGGCTTGTGGGCGCTGGAGAAATCAACAGACTACGGGAAGACATATAAACCATGGCAATACTTCTCGGATTCTCAATAGTAAGTTCAAACTTTTAGTATGTAGGCTGTCTACGATAACATAGCACGCTGCTCTAAAATCCAGAAATTCAAAACTATGTCATTAAAAATATTTACAATGTTTCGACTGAAAAATATATTAAGGGGGTATCATGGGCGAAACAGTATACTCTGTTATGTCCCTGGTACTGCTCATGTCTATAGGCGATGGTTACCACTTTCCATCATGTGGGTCGTCAGCTTGTTTGCCATTCTAGGTTGTATAAAAAAATTCTCCTCTAGTCGGACCGCTATTGAAGATATACACACAAACACAAACAGAAGACCATGTATATAGTCACACACATTGTTCATTATTACACATTGCCCGTTGTTCTTGGTTGAAATTGCATTCCGAATGGGCGGTAATGAAAAAATGACTATTCAAAAATGCTTAAAACTAAGTTTACTCGAATAAAATTCATGGAAACTAGATGTTTCTTTCTTTATTTCTTTCAATCATTAGAAAATTGGAAATTAATGTAAATTCCAAAATTTGCTTGAACATTTCTTCTTGTGAGAAAATTATATAATTATTAGTAGAAATAAATTTCAAGGACAGAAGAAGTAACTTACTGACATATCTAATATTATGTCTGTTCACGACCACAATGACCAAAGCCAAAAGTCTTAAGTTTTACTTAGACTTTACTCGAATAACATACGAGTATATACCCACTAAGAATGATTTTTGGAAATTTCCACAGAATTTTGAAATAATGGATCACTTAATATTATTATTATAATCATTTGTAATTTTTCACAGTGACTGTCAGCTTTATTTTGGTGAAGAGAGCCTGAAACCAATAACTCGAGACGATTCTGTCATCTGCAGTACTGAATACTCCAGGATTGTGCCTTTGGAAGGTGGAGAGGTGAGAAATATACATTTGTAAATAGAATATAGCGAGATTTCTCGCTCGAAAATTATAAACACGCACTCCTCTTTAGCAAGAAGAAGGGAAAATTACTGCCTTAAGAAAAATCCACTCCACTGTATCGCCACCTGCACATAATCCCTGGTATCGTAATTATATTAAATCCAGAAACCAGAGTCAACTGCATAGGTACTGAAGACCCCTTCGTCTATGCTGTTGGTAAATTACAATATGCGTTCAATTCGGATTTTGAACTTTCCTTTGATGTCAACGCAATCACTTTCCGTTAAACTTCTCAGACAAACAGAGTATAATGTAAGACATTTGAATTACTAACAATTATATAATTTCAGATCCCAATCTCTCTTCTCAATTACCGTCCATCAGCGAACAAGTATTTCAACTCGTCTGTTCTACAAGAGTGGACGAGAGCAACCAACGTACGACTTCGATTGTTGAGGACTAAAAACATGTTGGGACATCTTATGTCGGTGGCCCGACAGGACCCTACTGTTACCAGGCGGGTATGTACAGTTATATATGATTTTATATCATCATGTTATTCAAGGGATGATCTACAAAATGTATCAATCCATTGATAGTCTAGTAGATATGATACACCTGGATATGTTAGCCATTTTTTGTCGAAGTAACAACTTGATTCTTAAAAAACTTGGATAAATGTAAAATTATTTCGTTTACAAAAAAAATTTCATTAAGTCTTTATGTATTTATAATTACTTGTTAGATGGTCATTATAATTTGGAATGGGGGTAATACATAACAAAACCTAGGAATTATATTTGTCTCTAAACTTCAGTTTAATTTGCATAATGAAAACATTGTAAACAATGCCTATAAAATTAATGATTATGTAGCAAAAGGAACAAGATTTGAGTAAATTAGATGCATATCCATTTTTATATAAAATTCTTTATTTATATAAATGAGAATAATGTTGAAATGGTTCAGGAAAAAATTTTACTTTACGCCCAATATACCTAAGTGTTTTCATAATAGACATTCATGCTTTTTGCATTATGTTTAAAATATCACTCGTTAGATTTTCAAAATAGACGTATTTAATTGGACATGACGTTCCTGCATAATGTTATTCATGGCAGATTTGATTGTAATATTTTAACAGAACATGTTTACTACCGAGCTCCACTATGCTCGAATAATCTGACAGCACGTGGACAGCCTTTGTTCTCCTACAATAAATATCGTACAAACTCTAGTAAACGAGTTCCACTCAATCGAATAGAAATCTCTTATAAAGATAATTTGTAGTGGCCTCGATATATTTACTTGCAATTCGAATTGCTTTAAGAAGTCAATGTGAATTAAGAAACAGAAGTATAGACTTTATTTTACAAAATATAAAATCTTTACTGATATTATAGACGTGAAAGTGATTTCACGACACATCATAAAACATTTTAAATAAAAGTACCTATAATTTAGTAATATGTATTTATTATGTATATATGTATGTGTATGTATGAGTGTATATATGTATATATATATATATATGTATGTGTGTAAGTTTTTATTTTTTATGTATTAATGTTATATTATTATTCATGTACTTTTATTATTTACATATGTAAGTATATAGAGCTGTTTTTATTATATTATATATTCAAGTTTTTACTGGCTATTATTTAGTTTATCTTTAATTGTACGGTTATTACCCTTGTACATTCTACAGTTTTCTTTCAGCTTCTCATAGGTTGACTGTAAGAGATCCCTTTATGGGATAAGGCCGCCATTGTATATTAAATCATTTACCAGTGTTTAATCTGAGTTATGTACCATAAAGATTTTACAATACAATACAATGTAGTTATAGTGGGTGGAGCATCTATTATAATTTTTATATTAGCGACCTATTTTAAGTAATACATGTAATTTGTTACCGTTTGTTAACCTAAATAAAAAAAAAAGTGGATAAAATTAAAGATACGAGAAGATACGTGCCCTTTGAGTAGCCTTTGACATTTATTTTTATCTATGTATTTTCCCTTTAATATACATAATGTAAATATCTAGTCATTTATCTCTTTCTATACCTACATCAGCTTTCTTATGAAATATGTAGATAGAACTGTCGCCTGCAGTTTCGACAATGCTCCTGTTTATTTCGTTCTCATGAGAATTTATTATATAAAACTCGTTATTATTGAAAAAGGTGAGTGAAAAAATGAAATATACTGTCAAGTTACCTGTCTATATATAAAGTTCAATGGCTTGAGGGTTTGCTTCAATGTATAAACATCTATTCACACAGAATTTAATATTATTAGACTACCAAATATAGCATCGTGTTTATATCAACTCAAAAAGCTACAATAACGCACTTTCGATGTCAGTATAATGTTTTTACAATGTTTTGTATAAGTTACGAATAAATAAGTAAAATCACGATTCCATTATGTATTTATATCTCACTAGCGACCCGCCCCGACTTTGCACGGGTTCAATGCTGATACTAATAACAATAATAAATATAAAATTATCAGTGTTTCTCTACTATATTATGCATGTATTATACTTCCTCTTGAATCGCTCTATCTATTAAAAAGAACCACATCAAAATCTGTTGCATAGTTTTAAAGATCTAAGCATACAAAGGGACAGGCAGCGGGAAGCAACTTTGTTTTACTCTACGTAGTAATAAGTATATGTTTGACAATATAAAAATCCTAACTCCAAATATATCTGTTCCTTAGTACTTCTACAGTATCAAAGACATCAGTATTGGTGGGCGGTGCATGTGCAACGGTCACGCGGACACATGCGACCCGGCGGACCCGGCAAGCGAGAGCAACATCCTCGTATGCCGGTGTCAGCACAACACCTGCGGCCCGCAGTGCGCCCAATGCTGCCCCGGCTTCGAACAGAAGAAGTGGAGGATCTCGCAGAACTGGGACAGATTCGAGTGTGAACGTTAGTACATATGGATAGATTAATTTAATTCATGATCTTTACTATACATTTATATATTTAATATTAATATAATAATAATAATTATAAATGTTATATATTTAATTCATAATTAATAAATAAGAGGGGTAATTCCGTGACAAACGCAACCAAAGGCTCAGAAATAAATATTGGCTAAGGAAATCTATTGAAGTATACTTTTATAGTAAGCATTCCTATCATCCATGCCTAAACTTTTTTTTTATAAACAATGTTTTTACTTAATTAACAGTCATATTAGAGATAGGAACTATGGTAGGTAATTTTATATATCGCACAAGCTCAGCCTAGCGTAGGAATCAATGATAAATTTTGCGCTTACACAAACATACTGATGATAATAATAAATACATTTAAATTTAAAAATAAAAAAAATACATATATTTAATTTATACGTCGATTTTTGAGGACACTGAAAGGAAATAAATTATCAGCTGTTACTATTTTTCTGTTACTTTATAATTGAGATAAAATATTAAATTTATATTATCCATTCAATAAAGTATAAAATGCCCGGTTTTAGCAGTTTTCTAAAGAGTATAGCATCAATGAAATATCTGAAATGGAAAAAAAAAAATTGATTCATTTCTCGACTATTTAAGTTCTAATAAACCAATAGTTTTACCAAAGTAAGGCTATAGTTGCGACTTAATCAAATATCTAACAATAATTGTGGAAATGTGTACTTATATATTTATAATATTTATTAATGTTTGAAATTTTGCAACGCCTGAAACGTTTCGAGTATTACCTATGAACTTCTACAATACCAGAAATTACTGTGCAGACAGATACTATTGACGTCCTTTTTAAAAAAAAATATAAAATAGCGTTAAAAAATGGCGTTATTGAGCATACAAATGTTATAAAAACCTTCATCATAATTATTTAATACAATACTATCTTATCATCTATCATCAATTAAAAAAAAAATTAATCTAATTAATTAAATAAAAAAAAATTAAATAACTTTAAAACAATACATAATGTATTGTTAAAATTAGGCATTAACACAAACGTGCATTTCTTTTCACAGCATGCAACTGCCACAACCACTCCACCGAGTGCATGTACGACCCGGAGGTGGACGAGAAGCGGCTGTCTCTGGACATCCACGGCAGATACGAAGGTGGCGGCGTCTGCCAGAACTGCCAACACAACACAGAGGGCATCAACTGTAACAAATGCAGGCCTACCTTCTACAGGCCATACGGAAGAACTTGGGACGAAATCGATGTGTGCCAGCGTAAGTTGACTTTAGTTATTCGATAAGTAAAAGGCTCGTACTGTGCAAAAATCTGAGAAGAAAGGGAGAAAACAGAACTTTATTGTATATTTTGCAATATAATTACTAACTATAAACCACTTTTACTAGTTTATTTTGACTATTTATTAATTGAGAAGATCTATGAAATTTGTATTTTTTTTCTGTCCAGCCTGCGATTGTGACCTGCACTATTCGACGGGCAATTGCGCCGAAGAGACTGGCCAGTGCGAATGTAGGAAGGAATTTTTGCCACCAAATTGTGACGCATGCGCATACGGGTACTTCGACTACCCAGACTGCAAGCCTTGTACTTGCAACCTGAACGGCACTGAAGGAAACAATTGTACACCAATCGGAGGACTGGTAAATTTAGTTGAAATATTATTTTTTTAAACCATAATTCCATAAAAACGTAAACAAGGGCTCAGAAATAAATATTGCTTTAAGAAATCTATTTTAAAATAGTTTTATAGTAAACATTCCTATTATTCATGTCTGAACTTTTTTTTAATCATTTTCATTTTTTAATTCAATTAATAATCATAACATATATAGAAACAGGGACTATGGTAGGCAATTTTATTATTGTAAGTACGTTTGTTAGTCAAATATCCTTAAATGGCAGAAAAAACAAAGCAAACTAATACTATAATATTTTCTATCCTATTTGGGTTACGTTTTAAATTTAATCCGATAAGTATATTATTAAAATAATATCAGACTTGTTCCCAATGTAATAAACACTGTGATTAGGAGATAGGGATTGATAATAATGGGGATTTAACAGCCCCATTGCTAGCCATATACCCTGCCGGATAGACTTCCGCGTGGTTCCTCTGAAAACTTGATTAATCCTTCATTTATGAATTTGTCACTATGGGCCAACTGTCCTGTTTCATCCTCACATATCATCCCTCACTGGTACTCCTCTAGCGTATAAAGCAGAAGGAGTTACCAATTTATTATCACCCATTAAAAAAAAAATACACTCTGAGACCATTGAAATTGTAGATAAAATGTCTCTATACAATTAGCTGTTTTTTGAGTCGTTTTTGACAGTCACTGCTCCATCTAGATATATTTGATCATACTTGCTAACTTACTTATTTCTTTTTTTAATATTATTTCTTTCCCCAGTGCCCCTGCAAATACAACTACGCCGGGAACTCGTGCGAAATATGTGCGGATGGCTTTTATTCGTATGAATGTAAAAGTGAGTAACCATACAACATAAACAATCGCATTTTAATAAAGCTACGTGTATTAAATACTTATTATAAAATATTATTATTATTATCATGTAAAATGTATTAAATAAGGTAGTTTTCTTTTTTTTAATTTCCGTGCCTATATTATGTTTAAAAAGTTACTTATATTTACTTATAATTTGCTTATATTGATTCGGTGTATAAAAATGCACAAATCAGCAAATTAGCACGTGGTTATGCGATGATGGTATCATAGAAAAAAAACCTTTTTGGTATAAAAATTATTATTTTTGTATTATGTCAGCCGTTGACTATTAACTCCACAACATAGACCTTTCCTTTATTCATATCCAGTATTGCCAGTAGTTGCCACGCTTAGAAAAATATTAAGTATTTTTTTATTTTATATTATTTAAAAAAAAAATATTAAAAAATTTAAGTACTTTGATATTTTGATACAATTTGCAAGAATAGGTTGAGTATGGTATCATCTACTTCAATATAACGAAATATATATAATGAAAAATATTTGTAAGGATGTATGGATGGATATGGTAGGTGTCGTAAGAGGCGACTAAGGGAATGCGAGGGATTGGCAGCAGCGTCCCTCTTAAAACATCTCCAAAGCTTAACTGCGGTTACCAATCTGCCTGCCAAGCGTGGCAACTAGTGGCAAAACTCCCCAAGGGAGAGACTTTTCACACCAAAACTATTAGACGGATTTAAATTAAATTTTATAGACGGGTAGATTATATCTCAACTTAGCATACAGACTACTTCATTCACAGCTGATTCATGGAGCCGAAGCCGTTGGAAACAATTAGTATATTATAAAATACATTTACAGACTGCGAGTGCAATACTATTGGATCTGTATCTCAAGTGTGCGACAAGGACAGCGGCAACTGTACATGCAAGAGCAAATATAGCGGTCGCACTTGCAACCAATGCGAGGCTGGCTACTTCAACTATCCCACTTGTAAACGTAAGTAATTCTACTGCTACTAAGTACTAACACCACTAATGGGGGGGGGGGAAGGGATTGTTAATAATGGAGACTGAGAATCCCATTTTTTTTTTTTTTTTTTTTTTACAACACAGGGGGCAAACGAGCATGCGGCTCACCTGATGGTAAGTGACTACCGCCGCCCATGATCACCCACAACACCAGCGGCATTGCAGGTGTGCTGCCGGCCTTTTAAAAAGGAATATACTCTTTTCTTGAAGGTTATGTTGTCGTATCGGTTCGGAAATACTGCTGCTGGAAGTTGATTCCAAAGAATGGTTGTGCGTGGAAGAAAGTGCCTTGAAAAACGCACGGTGGAAGACCGCCACTCGTCCAGATGATTGGGATGAAACTTTAGTTTGTGGCGGGTTGTACGGTGGTGAAAATCAGCAGCAGGTATCAATCCGAACAATTCCTCAGAACACTCCCCATGATAAATTCGGTAGAAGATGCACAGAGACGCAACATCTCTGCGCAGTTTCAATGGGTCAAGTCGGACAGTAAGGCGTTGACTATCGATAATTCGAGCCGCCCGACTTTGAATGCGGTCTAACGGAAGGAGTTGGTACTGTGGCGCTCCTGCCCACAGGTGAGAACAGTATTCCATATGCGGCCTGACTTGGGCTTTATATAATTTCAGGCGGTGTTCTGGCATGAAATATCGTCTCACCCTATTGAGCACTCCTAACTTTTTAGAAGCTATCTTAGCCTTCTCCTCTAGATGACCGCAAAACTGGACGTCGCAAGATATATCAACGCCCAGAATTCCTAGACTTGACTTTTTATCAAGGGAAGTGCCCTGAAAGTGAGGAGATACGACAAACGGCGTCTTTTTTGCGGTAAACGCGCAGACTTGTGTCTTTTTGGGGTTAAATTGGACAAGATTTTGTTCACCCCAGATCGAAACTTGATGGAGTGAAGTTTCGATTTCAGACACAAGTCTATTCCGGCACTCATCGGTATGTGCCCGCGAGATCTTTGCATGACCGGTATATAATGTATCTCCTGTACTGTCGTCCGCATAGCAATGAATATTACTTATCTGTAACATATCATTGATATGCAGAAGAAACAGAGTCGGAGATAGTACACAGCCTTGCGGGACACCAGCATTCAAAGGTTTTAAATCAGAGCATGCACCGTCGACTACGACCTTAATGCTACGTTCCTTGAGAAAACTGGCGACCCAAATGCACAGTCTCGCAGGCAACCCAAATGAAGGTAGCTTTGAAAGCAGCGCTCTATGCCACACCCGATCAAAGGCCTTCGCAATATCCAAACTAACTGCTAAGGCCTCTCCCTTACTCTCGATTGCCACTGCCCATCGGTGTGTTAAGTAAGCTAAAAGATCACCGGCCGAACGTCCCTGTCGAAAGCCGTACTGGCGATCACAGATCAGCCGGTGCTCTTCTAGGTACCGGAGCAGTTGACGGTTAATGATGGATTCCATAACCTTCGAGAATAAGGAAGTGATAGCTATGGGCCTATAGTTAGCTGGATCTGAGCGATCTCCCTTTTTAGGGATCGGATGCACCAGAGCAGTCTTCCAAAATTTTGGGACTATGCCCGATGAGTAGCTAAGCCGAAAAAGACGCGTAAGAACCGGAGCCAACTCTGGTGCGCACGTCCTAAGCACAATTGGAGGAATACCATCAGGCCCACTCGACTTATGGATTTCGAGGGAGAAAAGTGCTCTACGCACTGAGCTATGCGTGAATTTAATGTCAGGCATAGAGCTCCTACAACACGTGATGGTCGGTGGTGGTTTCTCCCCGTCATCCAATGTCGAGTTTGACGCAAAGATGGATCCAAGAAGATCGGCCTTTTCTTTAGCGTTCTGGGCCAACGAGTCATCCTCCCTGCGCAAAGGTGGAAAAGATGACTTACAGAAATTCCCTTGTGCAGCTTTGGCAAGAGACCAGAAAGCTCGAGTCCCAGAGGGCAAACTAGCCAATCTCTTGCCAATTCTACTAATATGCTCTGACTTCGCTGTGGCTATAACTCTTTTGAAGGACCTAGAGGCAGAGTTATACTTCTTTTTAAGAGCACTGGTGTTAGGATCTCGCGACGCCACACCTTTAGCCCAGGTTAGGAAGTTGCTAGTAATATACCTAACCAGGTCGACCTCCTCGCAGTTCCCTCTGGAAACTATCATGGTTAATTTCCGATGAATTCATCGTGATGGGCTAACTGGCCTGTTTTCATTCTCATCTATCACCCTTCACTGGTGCTCCGCCAGCGTATCCCGTTAGCGCAGGCGGGGTTACCATACCATTTTCACCCATAAAAAAAAAACACCACTAATGGTGGGAGAAGGAATTGTTAGTAAATGAGAACTAGCAAATCCATTGCTAGCAATATACCCCAATAGTTCGACCTCCTAAAGGTTCCTTCTGGAAACCACCGTGGTAAATTTTTGTTGAATTCATGTTCATAGGCGACGATTACCACTTTATATATATATATATATATATATATATATGTATATATATATATATGTATATATATATATACATACGTATATATATATATATACATACGTATATATATATATATATATATATATATATAAAATATTTTCACCCATCAAAAAAAGACACCACGACCATTACCATATTTCTCATGGACAGACATCACCTACTTACAATTTTAATAAATTAGTAATTTTATTAATTACTTTGATAAATGATATTTCAATATAGGTTTTTGTATTTTATGCACGTAAAAATTTCTATTTTACTGTTTTACCTACTCACTTCTATCTGTTCTCCTCTAACCAAAGGTTGTCTGTAAGAAATTGCACTAGCAACAAGACCGCCTTTTGTTACTTTAAGTACTATATATTTTAATCTGTACTTTATGCTATCATATTTCATTTGAACTTTCTAATTGTCATTTTATATTTTTATGCTTCTGGTGTACTATTACCAGATATAAACTGAAGACAATGGCTGTATAGGCTTAATCTTTTTGCCTTTCCTATCTATAAAGGAAAACAAAACCAAAAAAGAAATTTTTTCTAGTACAATAAAGAGTTAAATAAATAAGATACATTAACTTGACACCGATATGTCTATAAAATACCTCATATTTTAATGTGTCAGTCTAAAGTCCAATTTATATAAAATCGCTTACAGTTTCAAAAACTTACACAGTTCATATAAATCTATGTCACACGAGTAGTACATAATGCTGAGTACGCTTTATTACATAGATTGTAACTGCGACATCAGCGGTACGGAGCCCAGCATCTGCGACGACATTACCGGACAGTGCATATGCAAAACCGGATTTGGAGGAGCGCGATGCGACCAATGTATCGCTGGGTATGTATTCTTTATGATTTCCAACTTTATATTAATATATAATATAAAAACTTATTATTAATTTACATACATACATATCTATCTGTTACGCCTGTCTTCCATTAGCATACGCAGAAACGATGGAACTCTAAATGCTTCGATTCAAACAGGCCTCTTTCGCTTCCAAATTCATTATCAATTTAATTGTAGTTAAATAAGACGATATGTCAGTTAGTCTTGGGGAAACTTAATTCAAAATTCATGTACGTGGGCACTTCTATCCCATTAGGTTTCTGCCATACCACTGCGTGCCAGTTTATGGCAATAGACTAGCTTGTAATGTAATAAGCGTAGAATGTTCATTCGCCACAACGCCCAAATTTCTCTGTCTGTCCCATTAGAGATTAATGTTATAATCATGACTGCATTTATTTTATCTTGTAAAGATTTAACCGTGACTAAATTTGTAATCGTTGCCGAAACCCTGCCTAATACAAATATACTATTAAATATTTTTATTTCTTGTTTAATTCCAGTAACATTACTATATGTGTGACTGCCTACACTCGAAATTTGACGACTAATATTACTACCGGAAGTTTCACAAACTTCCATAGCATAGTGTCTACCGTTCGGCACTGAAACTGCAAAAACGAACGGTTAACACTAGGTTTCAGGTAGCGATCTAATAATTTGCCTAAAGATACCTCTTTTAAACGTGAAACAAGTGTCACAAAACGTGTGCGAACGGAATGGCGGTCAGAGACGGATGGCTAATATAGAAAGTTGTGAAAGTGCTGGTAGTAATAGTGGTGGTGAATCTTCGAGTGCTAGCAGTCACACATGTATCAATGGTAGCGAAATTAAACAATATAACTCTAATAAAATAACCAATGATATGAACTTCCGCATGATAAAACTTAATTCAGTAAATATCTATGATTAGATACTTGGCAATATACTAATTACGAATTGATATAGAAATATTATTAAAATATGAAACTCAAATACACTGAAATATTTCGAAGCCGGAGAAATTTAAAGCTGTACGCCATGCTAGGACCAGTGCTCTTATTATTCGAATTCTATTCAATAATATGTAGTAATAAGTATATTGATTTGGTAATTTATATATGTATTCAGAAAAATCTATTAAATTGAGCACAATCTCTGCCAGTTTGGAATTAGATGAGCCTGTATAAAATTTCCAGAAACCATTGTTATGATATCCTAAAGTATCATGTTATTTTAAAGCTACTACATGGAGGTGCGAGGTCGTGAAAGGCAGTGCGTACCGTGTAACTGCTCCCCCACTGGATCTACATCGACGAGCTGCTCAGCTGACGGAAAGTGTAACTGCCTCATTAACTTTGGCGGGAAACAATGCGACCAATGCTCCCCCGGCTACTACAAATTTCCTGATTGCCTGTGTAAGTAGACGCAACAGAATATAATATATCAATGCTTCTCGTTTAATTGAAGCATTTATAGCTTTTTTAATATATACATTTGTACACATATGTTTTATAATGTGATACATAGTAGTTGAAAATACATTAAACCAGAGTTAACTTTTAGACCTATTCACCAGTCAAACACCAAAAAAAGTTTATTGGCACATGTACTCAAAGTTACAAAAGAGCGGAAAAAGCACTAACAAAGTCTAAATCTATAAAATAGTTTAAAACAATAACTTAAGCTTGAGCTTTGAGCTTAACGTCTATGATACTTGATTTACAATATAGATTTAATAGAAACATTTTATTGTTTACCTAACCGGATATTATTCGTCTATTTGGTAGCATGCAACTGTGATTTGTCCGGTTCATTGGGATCGACATGCGACGACAATGGCTTATGTCACTGCAAACCAAACTTCGACGGAAATAAGTGTGACCGATGCAAACCACAGTTCTATAATTACCCAGCCTGTGAAGAGTGCAATTGCGATCCGAGAGGTGTGGTAGCTTCATTCGCTGGTAAGTTTAAAATCTCTTAAAATTTATAGTGAAATATGTGGGTCCCAATAACAGACCCTGTGGTACACCAAAGTTATTATCTTAACTTTTTATGTAACAATCTACAGGTTGTGGATCAGTGCCTGAAGGAGAACTCTGTTTATGCAAAGATAGAGTTCAAGGCCGTATATGTAATGACTGTATGCCGCTGTTTTGGAATCTCCAAGATTACAACCCCATCGGATGCGAAAGTATGATCTTATTTAAATTATCAAGCAAATTTAATGTACAATTTAAATATAAGAAACTATATTAAAGTATTTATGTTATAGAATGTAATTGCAATATCTCCGGCACACTTGGAGGACTTGGAGTCTGCGATACTCGCAGTGGACAATGTACATGCAAGATGCACGTCGGCGAAAGACAATGCGACCAGTGTCAGAACGGTTTCTACCAACTTGAATCGAACAATGTATTCGGATGCACTGGTATGTACTTATCTTTTTCTTAGTAATTCTATAAAACTTAAATTAGGGAATCTTTTTAAAAATTGCTGCTGATTTTCACCACCGTACAACCCGCCACAAACTAAAGTTTCATCCCAATCATCTGGACGAGCGGCGGTCTTCCACCGTGCGTTTCTCAAGGCACTTTCTTCCACGCACCACCATTCTTTGGAATCAACTTCCAGCAGCAGTATTTCCGAACCGATACGACAACATAACCTTCAAGAAAAGAGTATATTCCTTTTTAAAAGGCCGGCAGCACACCTGCAATGCCTCTGGTGTTGTGGGTGATCATGGGCGGCGGTAGTCACTTACCATCAAGTGAGCCGCATGCTCGTTTGCCCCCTGTGTTGTAAAAAAAATCTCATTTTTGATGATAAATTCTGAAATATAAAATAAAAATTGAATGGAGTCGATAGTAAAAATCATACCTATATGTTTGAATCCTTTGCTTGTGTAACTGTCAAATATAAATAGTGATGTTTTTTTGGCTGTTTACTAGAAACTGGTAATAAATAGTTTGTGCAAGCATTGACATATTTTAGTCGAAACATCTAGGGCCAGATAAACTTTTATCATTACGGTCAAACCATTATAAAATTTTGTTATAATTCCAGAATGTGACTGTGATGTCGGTGGTTCCATAGACAATAACTGCGACAAGATAACAGGCCAGTGCCACTGTCACTCACGCGTCGAGGGTCGCAGATGTGACCGACCCATCCAAGCCCATTACTTCCCTACTCTCCACCAATTTCAGTATGAAGTAGAAGAGGGTCTGACGCCATCAGGACCAGTTAGATACAGAAGTAATGAGGAAGTGTTCCCTGGATACTCATGGAAGGGTTATGTGGTATTCACTTTACTACAGGTTGGTTTACTGTTAATATATGTCAGATTAATAACTAAAAACACACTACACTTAATTTTAATTTGCATTTTTCTCTGTAATGGCTATTCGATTATATTATACTACTAAGATTTAACTCTAGTTTTAATATAACATCTGCAAAATGTATTTTATTCAAGCAAATAAATTAATACTAATTCTACTGTGATAGTTATCTACGATATAAATGTTTACATTGTGAGTTATTTTTTTTTACAAAAAAATTTTCAAACTTCTCTAAAAGAGCATAAGAAATATTATATTATAAATATTTTTGACAATTAATTAGATTGTCACGTATTGATCTAACAAGGTCAATAATGTTTCATTTCAATAATTCTCTGTCATCACGTTCGACATTTATTTGTGTCGAATATTTGATATCTTTAGACTCCCAAAGAAGACTGAAATAGGCACATGTCTCTTAGATTAAACACAAAGTTTATTTGGGAGAAATCCCATTAATCAGTAATATAAAGCTACCACTGTACTGTATTTTCTTTTTTTAAAAAACTCTGTAACTCACAATTTAATATTTAACTCTTGTAGAGTGTTCACAATTTCATTTCTTTTCAGAACGAGGTAATAAATGTCGTGCATATATTGTCGAAGTCATCACTGTATCGCATGGTGCTAAAATACGCGAACCCACTCCAAGACCCGGTCGTCGCAACCATCATCATCACGCCGGAGAGCGTCGTGGATATTACACAGCAGAAGTGAGTATCGTAAGAGAAAAAAAAAATAGAAAAAAAAACATTTTTAGACCAAAGAAAACTCACTCATAAATCCACGCAGACAAAGTTTGGATTTGTAAATTCTAGTGTGTGTTGTCGCAAAATCTATTATATATTTAACATTACCAAGACCTAGTTAGGTATCTTATCAAGCAATACTATGTTTATTTGAAACCCAGAGAATAATAATAAAATTGATTTAAACCTTTTAATCAGCCCTCAATCCTAATAATGACTGTAGAATCTTGCACACGCCCTTTCCTTCATCATTTGCAAAAATAAGCACCTTGTGACCTTCAATCATTGGCGGAATTTGGTTGTTGTCAGTATGTATATTTTTTGAAAAGCTTTGTTTGTCTTTAGTTAAAGAATTATTTTGAGTTTTTACTTCTGTTTTATCTCTTTCACTTTGTTTCAGTATGTTACTGTTTATTTTCGCATCACTATCGTCTTGACTTTGATCTCTTTCATTGTGGATGTTAATTGCAGCTTCATTAAGTTTTACAGGTAGTTTATTTACTTTTGGTGTACTGTTTGTTATATTTTTCCTACTTATACGTGTCGGAGTAAAGTTGCTATCATTATTGAAGTAAGTAAGAGAGTTCGAAGTACGGCAGTTGCTGCAAATATTCGCTGCTGGATTAAACTTAATATGTTTTAAAGCTTTAATCGTTATATCATTTTGTAGTAATTTTTTTGAAAGTTTGCTATTTTCCAATAAAAGATTTTCGATTTCAGCGTGTGCTATGACTAAGTTCCTTTCCACTGTATTCAATTTGTCCTTTAGTTCATTAATTTCAATATTATTTTCTAAGGTCATACTTGGTAAGCTTTTCATGGAACTATCCATTAACATAGAATTATAATGACTGCTGCTTTGATTTAAACTGTGGGATATGTCCAATAAAGAAGTTTCTGAGTTACATCGTGGTCTACGTAGAGTTACATTGTCATTTTTACTAATGTTAGCCATTTTTGATAGTCCTATTTTTGCATTAACATGACTATGTTGAGTATTTGATAAACAGTTTTTACATTTCCATGTTTCTTTATTCTGTTTTGTCATTAAGTAATATTTTTTTTGTAGTAATATTCGTATCGATTAAATTTAACATACTTTTGCAAAGTGAACATTTTATAAATAAATTTTCTTGAATGATTTCTTCATCGGTATACATTTTTAGAGCTTCTTATCAATGCCCTCACTTTTCGCAATCACTTTAAACTTTAAATATACAAAAATAATATACTGTATTTGAGTTTCGAACTAGCGATTATTTAATAAGTAGTGAACACTGTAGCCATAAAAAAAGAAAATATGTAAATTCCTTTTCATTATTGAATGCTAATAAAGTACTGATATATATATATATATATATATATATTCCTTTGTATTTCAGATTCAGCGTGTTGCTAAAACCTACTACCCAGCCCCAGTTTGTGACCGTCTCTGGTGAAAAAGGCTTAGCTCCAGCACCTTTCATTATGAACCCCGGCAACTGGACGGTTACAATTAAGACCACTAAGGAAGTTATGATTGTGAGTAAACTTTTTTTTATACAACTTAGAATGGCAAACAAGCTGACGGCCCACCTGATGGAAAGTGGTAACCGTCGCCTATAGACATGAGCAGTACAACGAACATAATAGAGTATACTGTTTTACCCATGATACCCCCCATGCGTTGCCATTCCTGAGCACTCAGGTGTTATTCCTCTGTACCTAGTAAAGTCACGCCATATCCCACCCTTCAAACCGAAACACAGTCATGCAGACACAACTGCTTCACGGTTGAAACACGAATTGGACAGAGGTACCCAAGCAATCGACTTTTGTACAAAGTCTCCCTCTGGTAAACTGTAATATATCAGACGATAGACTTGTTTCTGAATATGTTTACTTCGCTCCATTATGATAAAATACGTTAGATGCTTCGTCTCATTTTTAAATAACTTTTAAATTAACTAAATAGTGATAAAACTACAGCTAAAGTAACATGGGATTGAATTGTAACCTTCCAATAGTCATGTAGCATTTTACCAAGTTATATTATATTTATGAAATATTTAAAAAAAATCTGTATTAATCTGCACTTTGTAACAGGATTTCTCATCTGTTTGTAACGACATATATTCATCGAGCCTGAGGGTCATCTATATTAAGGACTACAATTAAAAAATAATAAAAAAAAATATTTAATAGTAATAATTATATCAAATTCCAGGACTACTTCGTATTAGTACCAGAAGCCTACTACGAGGCCACTGTCCTCACCAAGCTGGTGGACAAACCATGCGTCATCGATGATAAGGAGTTGTGCCGTCATTACGTCTACCCAAGCGTGGCTGGACGGCCAACGGCAGACATCAACACTCTGGCTACCAGCGTCTCGGCATTTATTGAGGGAGACCAGGTAGGTAGAACAATGATCTGTATACTTAGGTACTCCCAGAGAATTTATATTATTTGCTACTTAAATACATATTTTAGAAATTTGCTCATAAGTAGCGGTGACGGTCGTAACAGTCTCTATAATAAATCAACAATTACATGAAATGTGAGAGAGAAGAGATACATAAAAGAATATCATTGATAATTAACTGCATAATTCTATAATCGATTTAGTATGAAATTTTATTCTATCTCAAGTACCTTAAGCATAGTCCTCAAAATGATGATTTTTAAAGTCATCATTCATCATCTGGAATTCTACTTGATAACTATTAAATTTCTTGAATTAGATATATAGATAGATAATTCATTTGCATTACTTACAGTACAGAAATAACAATACAGACATACTCAGTAAAATGAGATAAAAGAATAATAAACAAAAAAAAATGCAACAAAAAAAACAAAAAGCGAAATATATAAAACAACAATTATTAAATTATGAATTATATTCCTCCAATATTATGTATATAAATATAATAATGAGTAGGGATAATATTTATATTATTATATGTATCACATCTCCCATATTTAGAACTAACAGAATTTTTCATCGTGCCTCCCACCAAATTGTTTATAATTACTCCTCTCCATCCAAAGGTTGCCTGGAAGAGATCGCTCTTAGCGACAAGGTCGCCCATTGTTTTCTCAATGTATGATTATTTTTTGTAATTATTTATATTTATAATAAGTTTACTCTTTTGTAATCTTGTTTTAATCTTTTGGAGGAAACAATAAAGAATATCTATCTATCTATCTATTACGAAACATTTTGGTTTTCCTATATAATATTTTAAACATATTTACTTGAACATAATATCTTTATTTGCAGCAATTAAATGAACTCAACATTGGACCTAACACCGTACCATTACTGAATAACGACCAGAACGAACTACAGTACGACATAAAAATAGATCCGCCTGGTCGGTACTACATCCTGATAGAGTACATCACCCCAGCTGGCCCTGGCACCACTACGGACGGCCACGAGATGTTCAGTCCAAGGAACACAGCAACGATAAGGTTCCAGTCAGGCGATGGCCCGGAGTCATATGCGATCGTCAATCTAAACGATTGCCCTTACACGTCGCCATGTCGGCAGGTCGTTGTCAATGACCTCTCCATGATATCGGTATTCAACGTGACAGCTGCCAACAACGTCATCTATTTGGATGTAAGTCAACGTTTTCTGTGTAACAATTTATTCGTTTTAAAGTCCTCGACAACCTTTACCAGAGGGAGACTTTGTATAAAAGTCGATTGCTTGGGTACATCTGTCCCATTCGTTTTTCAACCGTGAAGCAGTTGTGTTTGCATGGCTGTGTTTCGGTTTGAAGGGTGGGATATGGCGTGAATTTACTGGGTACAGGGGAATAACACCTGAGTCCGCAGGAATGGGAACGCATGGGGGGGATCATGGGCGAAACAGTATACTCTGTTATGTCCATGGCACTGCTCATGTCTATAGGCGACGGTTACCACTTTCCATCAGGTGGGCCGTCAGCTTGTTTGCCATTCTAAGTTCTATAAAAAAAAAAAAATACCACTTTCCATCAGGTGGGCCGTCAGCTTGTTTGCAGTAAAAATATGATTAACATCATATTAGTCGGGAACTGTCTACTGCTAAACATAAACCTTCCCCATACGGACAGATTTGCCAGTAATGGCCACGCTTGGCAGACAACTTCTATCAATCTTTGATGAGATTTTTAAGAAGGACGCTGCTGCCTATCCTTCGACCATTAAATCCCTTTAATTGCCTCTTACGACATCCTCGGGAAAGGAAACTGTAGCCTTATCTTGCTGGGACCACAAGGCAAGAATTATCATATCGTAGATCAAAATTATCTTAGATAAGGAATATCTTTCCTTTCCTAGAATTTTGTAAAAGGCAATTGCGGAATTAAGACGTAATACACTAGTGCAAGAGAAAGAAAACTCAAAAGTAAACTTTATACCGAAGCTGTAAACCAACATGGTAATAGCGTAACAGGTATTGGCCATACCTGATATTAAAAAGTCATTTTACATGAAACTTGTATAAGTTTGTAGAGGTCATTGGCTCTCTATTCTGTTTTTTTTATGGGTGAAAATGGTATGGTAACCCCCCCCCCCTTCCTTCCGCCTGCGCTAACGGGACACGCTGGCGGAGCACCAGTGAAGGATGATAGATGAGAATGAAAACAGGCCAGTTAGCCCGTCATGATATATTCATCAGGAATTAACCATGATAGTTTCCAGGGAGAACCGCGAGGAGGTGGACCTGGTTGGGTATATTGCTAGCAATGGGATTCTCAGTCTCCATTACTAACAATCCCTTTTCCCCCTCTCTATTCTATTTGTCTACTCGTATAAGAGATATAATGTAATATAATGATACACATGTTTAATTTTCCATGTTCTCCATCAGCCTTAATACTGGTTTACGTACTCAATACTCAATTTATCGCTTTTTCATTAATTTCTCCAAATAGGGCGAGCGGGACACATTAGCAGGTATCAAGTCCATCATAGCTATACCGGAGTCAGAATGGCATTTGGACTACATTACTCCCCGGCCGTACTGTTTGCGGAGAAATGGACGCTGCGAACCAGCTGTCTTCTCGGCTGCAGTTGATTCTAAAAAGGTAAAATATTAACATAGCCAGGAATTTTTAGGACAATTTTTTCTACTTTTTAATCTGGTGAATAGCCCTATCTGCTAAGGCAGATAGGGCTATTCACCAGATTAAAAAGTCAACCTATTGATAAGTCAATAGGTTGAAAATCAGCACTGAATTCACATACGTACCACTCAGCTTCAGCTAAACTGGAAACCCTTTCGATATAGTTATAAACGATTTTATAATTCTCTTATATTTTGTAATTAGTATATAATTTGGTGAATTGTGCTAAATATATAATTCTTATTGTTGTATGTTTAGGCTTAAGAAAGTAAATTAAAGTTTCTTCCAAAATATGGTCTCAAACTGGTAACTTGATCAAAAGTGATAACAGAACCAGTATCTGGACTTCATTATTTCAATCGATTATTGTCCAAATTTGTGATTTGTGGATACCATAAAATAGTATTTCTTTTTCCCCTTTTTCTTTGATAGTGAAGTAATTAAACTAAAATTAACAATGCCATTCTGTATTAGGTGGAAATTGAATCAGGATCGGGCGGAGACGCTGTGACTCGTCCGCCTATCCTGGACAACTCAACTACAGTCGTCTACCTATCATCCGACACAGAACCAGTGACGGTGGAAACAAAAGTACCAGCGCCAAGCGATTACAAGTTCGTCGTGCATTATTATCAACCAGAAAATCCGCGTGAGTACTTTTACACCACTCAGAATTTTACAATGTTTCTGGTCTCCTGCTGATCATTTGTCAATGTCAGTCAAAAAGTCAATGACTTGAACGCAATTGTATTATTATTATCATCATCACATCAGCCTTTAAGTGTCCACTGCTGAACATAGGCCTTCCCCACAAGGGGAGCTTTACCAGTAGTTGCCACGCTTGGCAGGCGGGTTAGCAACCGCAATTAAGCTTTGGTGATATTTTAAGAGAGAAGCTGCTGCTCATCCTTCAATTATTTAGTTCCCTTAGTCGCCTCTTACGACGCGAAAAGAAAGAGGTGGCCCATTCTACGCCGGGACCACACGGCATTTATTTTAATACTACTCAAAAATATTCTTCACTCTGATGGTATACAAACATCACATACATTACAGTCATATGATCTTAAAACTGAGCAATATTTATTTTGAAGTGCACAATAGGTTCGTTGTCCAAATTTGCTAACAATAATTAATTGATAATAGTCACATATCTCAAAAAACTGACAAGAGATGGGAAAGAGAGGTTCTCCAGCAGCGACCCCGTACGGGCAAACGCAATTTAGGATGACCTCCCACTAGATGGAGTGGCATCAAATGTATTGCAGGAAGTCAATGAATGCAAGTGACTCAGGACCGTTCCTTGTAGCAGTCTGTGTGGGAGACTTATGTAGCAGCGGTGGAAAATGTTTTTTGTATTTAGAATGACAAACAAGCTAACGGCCCGCCCGATGATAAATGGTAATCATCGTCTATAAATATGTATTTAAAATGTTGATTTATTTTCCCCAGAGAGTAACATCAACGCTAAAGTGGTCATCGATGGTCAAACCTATGAGATGTTTCTTCCTGTAGAGCATTGCCCTTCAAACTCAGGGTGCAGGTCACTATTGCAGCTTCCTGATGACAGGAACCAGTTTCCTGTTAATGAGAACGTCACTATCACTTTTATGGTAAGACTTCTTTCTTTTCTTTTTTTCAATGGCAATTGGTCTCTATTTTACGACCATTTCTGCTAGCGTCAAGTATTTTATTTTAGTTTTTCGTTCTTCAGAATATGGCCAAGTTTAACGTTTCCCGCCTTTTTCGGCCATCATGTTATTCATTCAACGAATCACTATATTGACTAATAATAAAATTGTTTCGTAATTCTTTTTTTTTCTATAGATAATTTTTGCATACAACAACAGTGTATAAAAAATATACTTTAAATACAGGGCAACAATAGCAAAGGAGTTTGGCTGGATTACATACTAGTTGTGGCTGCACCGGACTTTGTAGAAGGAGCACTCAAAGAAATAAATATGGTGGACAACACACGGCAGTTTATTGAGAATTGTGCAGCTGACCACTATTACATCAGTTCCAATGAAACTGGTAAGATTTTACTACAGAGCTTTTGTTTACAACAAATATTTTTAAAATCTTTGGAAATATTATGCACAGCAAGAAAAATAAAGAGTCCTGTTAGCATGATACAAATTTTTCATGCATATATAGACAAATATGTAAATAAAGTCTTAAAACTATAGTCCATAAAATGGCAACGCTCAAACCATAGCGTCACAATGCATTGTATGATATGCTCTTTATACACGTATTATATACGACTTCATATTTTTAAAGCCAAAATAACCAATACAATAACTGAAATAAAAGGCATAATATTTTGGCTTTCTAGATTAGAGATTCCTAAACTTTTAAGATAACGGAACGCCCATCAAATGTCTTTTATTTTATGCAACCCCATATCAAACGATTACAGATCAAAAACACTGTAATTTAAAGAAGAACAGAAGCTTTCCTTAGAAATATTTTAAAAGTATAACACTTTATAGTTTCCTTTAACTTTTAATGTGAAGAATGAAATTGTTTCACCATATAAATAATTTCTCGGAAACCTGGTAACTTTTTTACGGAACCCACTTTAGGAATCACTGTTCTAGATAACACTTCCACTTTTCAATGGATGCATCTACAACTTTCACACTGACAATAAGAAATATGAAAAAAAAACCTTCATTTTCAACGTCATCATTAATATTTATTGATCATGGGTTCTCTCCTAATTCCTACAACAACATGAATATCAAACATAAACTATATGTGCCAGGTTTTTGCCGTGACGCCATGTTCTCGATCACCTCTGAGTACAACAGTGGAGCGCTGGCGTGCATGTGCAGTTTCACCGGCTCCACGGAGCTGGAGTGCAACACATTCGGCGGCCAGTGTCCGTGCAAGCCCAACGTCATTGGACGCTCGTGCAGCGCCTGCAGGACCGGATACTACGGCTTCCCCAACTGCAGGCCCTGCCATTGCTCCGACGCGGCCATTTGCGATGATGATGGTGAATAACGTTTTAAATTAGTATTTACTCTTTGTTGTATTATTTACTTTGTTGTATTATTTATTTTGTTGTATTATTTATTTTGTTGTGTTGTTTATTTTGCTGTATTATTTATTTTGTTGTATTTATATTTTTTTATTCAGGCCCATCCAAATTTATGTATTTTAAACGTGAAATTTTATTTGGTATATCTTAGCTCTTTAATAACTTAAATTGTTTCAAAATTCTGAGTGCATATACTATTATATTTACGATAAAAGACCTAGTCTAATTTTATCTTGATCAATTTGTATACGATTTATATATTGATATCTAGATCACACGAAGTCGCAGGAAAAGACGAGTTTTTAATGATTCCTATTCGTCCAACAGGCATGTGTATATGTCCGAAGAACGTACAGGGCGAGAAGTGCGACAGCTGCAAGCCGTTCACGTTCAACTTCGACATGCAGCGTGGCTGCGACGACTGCAACTGCAACCCACTTGGCGTTATTGCCAATCGGATGCAATGTCACAACGAGACTGGGAATTGCGAGTGAGTAATGCCGGATGTATTCCGGATTCGATAATATCAGGATGATTTTCAACAAATGCGATTTCTGTCTAATTTCAGCGAACTTTTTGGTTTCTAGTCTTCAAAAAAGTTATTTTGGAAGCATTAGCTTTTGCAGGAACTGCGAATTGAAATTGTTCACCGACACCCTGATAGAAAATAACCTATCAGCCCTTTTATAGTTTACCACTACCCAATCTTCTACATTTGCCCACATTTTGCTCCGCAAAAAAAAACTACTTCCATCGTCAACACACATGTATATGCCAAGATGTTTAAGAAAACTTACATTGTGGTCAATTCTGGGGCACCATTTCTCTAAGCCTATATTATTACCTAGCACCTGGGGACGATTTTGAGAAAAATACTAACATTACATTTTTTTTTAATGGGTGAAAATGGTATGGTAACCCCGCCTGCGCTAACGGGATACGCTGGCAGAGCACCATTGAAGGGTGATAGATGAGAATGAAAAAAAGCCAGTTAGCCCATCATAATGAATTCATCAGGAATTAACCATGACAGTTTCCAAGGAGAACCGCGAGAAGGTCGACCTGGTTAGGTATATTGCTAGCAATGGGATTCTCAGTCTCCATTGCTAACAATCTCTTTCCCCCCATATTACATATATTAGCATTATTCTCAAATTTAAATGATGAATTGATGTAAGTGTATGAGATGAAATCGATCATATTGTACACATTGCATTAAAATATATTATTACATGATTTCATGTAAAACTTGCATACTGTTATGTTTTTTCCCAGAAGTAGCCTTATATCTTTTTGTTTATATGCCTCTAAGTATGTTTAGAAAATGCATTTTTTAGAACAGGTCGCGACGTAGAACCTTCGCATATCGATTATTTTTTACAAGCAGTGTCTCTAAAGTCTGAGATAATGAGAGAAAATTCAATATGGTATTATAAATAACAAGTGAGAAATTTACTTTTTAAATACGTATTCCTATTGTTATTTCTTAAAAGGAAAAATTTGATACTTATCCCCGTTTATTGTTGTCTTCCAGCTTTTAAACTTTTTACCAAAAGTAGCATCCTTCTATTTTAAACCATACAGTTGCAAAGAGAACGTGATCGGTCGTGTATGCGACCATTGCGTGCCTGGCCACTACGCGTTCCCCGACTGCTTGCCGTGCTCGTGCGTCCGCGACGGGACTACCGACGACGTTTGCGACCAGAACACGGCGCAGTGCTACTGCAAGAAGCACGTTTACGGACAAGTAAGCTATTCTCAAATGACAGATAATAAAACGATAACCTCACTTGCGTTAACAGTATACGCTGGCAGAATAGAAAAATATTATATATATAAGGTGAGGATGATATCAGATCAGTTGACCCTTCAATTAGAACTATTTGACTATCATACATTCCATCATAGAAACTGTACGGAGGATATATTGTTAGTAATGGAGGCCTCCCTATTACCAATAATCCCCTCCCCCATTCGTACAGTTTATCTGTAATTAACAGGTGTTATCGTAATAATCCTTGATCTCTTCATATCTCATGTACCTACCGACGAGACAAATAAAGCAAAATAACATTAACCCCCTCCTCTTCTCATTTTCCCTCCATCCACTAAATGAAATACTTCAAGGGATTAATTGATCTAGTTTAGTTTACTAACAGCTGAAACCGTTGGATTTAAATATATTTTTTTTTTTACAACTTGGAATGACAAACAAGCTAACGGCCCACCTGATGGAAAGTGGTAACCGTCGCCTATAGATATGAGCAGTACCATGTACATAATAGAGTATACTGTTTCGCCCATGATACCCCCCATGCGTTGCCATTCCTGAGGACTCAGATGTTATTACTCTGTACCCAATAAATTCACGCCATATCCCACCCTTCAAACCGAAACACAGCCATGCAAACACACCTGCTTCACAGTAGAAACACGAATGGGACAGAGGTACCCAAGCAATCGACTTTTGTACAAAGTCTCCCTCTGGTAAATTTTACTCAGGGTTCTCTATATAACCAAGAAGGAAGTTTTCAAAGTTCCAATGAGAACAAAAGGTTAACGGTCTCCCAGAAAATGGTCCCCAAAAAGTTATGCCCAAAAATTTGAAAATTTCTAACGACATCTCACAGAAAATCTTTCTCAAAGGACTTAATGAGTTTTAATGGAGAACACATTGGATATTTTCTTTCCCATGCAAATGAAGTTTCTGGGCATAGTAAATAACACATTTTTATACCTATACTAGAATAGAATAGAATAAATATTTATTGTGAGTTGTACATTACAATTTTTCGTAAGATATTATTAACGTCTTAAAGGAAAACAACCTACCCATACATCGGGCATACAATACGATTAATTACATAACATTAATTATTTTACAATCATACAATGAAATCGTCAATAAAGTTGAAAATAAAATAAAGCACGTCAATCAACAGTCACAGACTAACTCATGGTCACCATTAGAATATATTAATGATCACCTTATATATTAATTAAATTATTTATAATGTCAATATAAAAAAAAAATGTCAAAGAGCAAAGAATTCATTCAAATTGTAAATAGCATTTACCAAGTAGCCATTTTTTTTTTTAATAATAATTTGAATTTAGTATTAGGCACTTATATGATAATTTTATTCTTTAGTCTTGTGACACCTGCAAAGAAGACTATTTCAATTTGCAAGAAGAAAATCCGGACGGCTGCACAAAGTGCTATTGCTTCGGAAAGACTACCAGGTGTACCAGCTCGTCGCTGTATTGGTTCGAGGTAAGAATTTTGTTCAAATAACTGTCTTATTTTTACTGGTATAGTAATATATATATATATATATATATATACATAGAGCTGGCTGGAAGAAGATGCATGAATTAGTTGCACCGACAAGAGGAAACTCTTAAATTAAAAAACAAAAAAATTATATTATCTGTGATATTTTACAGCATTATTGGAATGGCTCATTATAACGATTCATTGATTAATTTTAAAGATATTATATAAATTAGTACAAACTACGACAGAAGATGATTTTAATAATGTTATAGGTCATGAAGATCTTCATAGATGATTTTTCAAGTCTGTACGTTTTTTTATGCAACTTCGAATGAAAAACAAGCTGACGGCCCACCTGATGGAAAGTGGTAACCGTCGCCTATAGACATGAGCAGTACCATGGATATAACAGAGTATACTATTTCGCCCATGATACCTCCCTATGTGTTGCCTTTCCTGAGGATTCAGGTGTTATCCCTCTGTACCATGTTTATTCACTGCCATATTCCACCCTTCAAACCAAAACACAGCCATGCGAACACAACTGCTTCACGGTAGAAACACGAATAGAACAGAGGTGCCCAAGCAAACGACTTTTGTACAAAGTCTCCCAATAGTAAATGTAATCCATACTGAATGTTTCTCCATTGTTTCTGCCGACTCTAATGGGAGACAAACATGACAGATATGTATGTATGTATGTGTAATCCATACATACATATCTCCAACGCGATGGACTGACCTCATCAAAACGGCCACACAGCAATCTATTGTGGAATGCTCTCGCTCGGCGGCGAACAGAAGTAGACGGAGACATCCATCCGACGGTCCACCGTCATTGTAAAAACCACGACCACTCTGCCAAGAGACTGAAGAGAGAGATGTGTAATCCATACTCTTTCTTCAAGTAGGTAGCAGTAGCGTAGTATAAAGATTTTGTGATAATATTCAGCTTCGATTATCTTGGAACTAAATCATAAAACATAATTTCAACGAAATTGTAAAAACCAAGCCTGAACTTGATATTCACAACGATAGTCATTCTGTATTCATGACTAAATTAAAGTGTTGATATACCTCCCCATTACATTATATTTATTTATATTTTATAATAATTTGAATACAATTTCCATTATTTATATTATATTATTATTCGTATTGTTAATATCTTTACTTATTTAATAATTTAATTATATTTTAATGTTTGTCAAACACAAGGCATGCTGTGGTTGCCTATAAATGTAAGAACAGTGAGATCTGATCTGCCAGTGTATTGTATTAAAATTTAGCTTTATTGTAGCTGTATCTTATGTTGGTAATCCTATAAATAAATAAATAAATAAATAAATTTCTAGATCAACGGAATGAGTGACTGGCAGTTGTCTAACATCGATGCAAACCGCACCCTCAGTATATTCCCGCAGTCGCTAGATCCGGCACCAATAAACGACACTGCCATACAAGCGAACCTTCTTGGTACGGGAGACGATAGTCCCAAAGTACTTTATTTCGCTGCACCTCAATATTACCTTGGTAAGTTTGTATTTCTTATTTTTTTTTAATAAATATATTAACGGCTACTATCCTTATTTGTACCCATCACTGTTCGTATCCGGTATGGTAGGTCTAGAAACGCTCGAGGTAAGGCGAAAGTGCAATTTGATGATGCACTATTATCAGTTGCTCAACGGCGGAATAGACAATCCTGCAACTCTTAGCCGTTGTTCTTTGTACGCACCCCAACGCTGCATGCGATTGCGTGCTTGTAGACTACTATCGGCACCGCCGGTTCGTACCTGTACTGCTCAGTTTGCTCCCACGTATCAGGCTATTTCTCTGCTCAATTCTCTGATTGCTCAGCAGCCAGATATTGACATATTTAATTACAAAAGAAATATATTTTTAAAATGTTGTACAAAATTTGTAAGTTTGTAAAATAAAACTTCGGCTCACTACACGTTTTGGGAAACTGTAAGTGTGGTGAGTAATTTTCAAATAAATAAATAAATAAACTGCTGATGGTTTTTTCTGGACCTTAAGATCCTAGGTATTTACTAGGTAGAATGCAATGTTGAAAGAAATCAGGCAAATACTACTAGAGTATAATAGATAGATAGATACTCTTTACTGTTTCCTACATAAGATTACAATAGTAAACTTATTATAAATACAAATAATTACAAGAAAATATTACACTAAGAAAACGGGCGGCCTTTCCGCTTAAGAACGATCTCTTCCAGGCAACCTGTGGATGGAAAAGAGTAGTTATAAACAATGTGATTGAAGGCACGAAACTCTGTTCGTTTTTTAAATATTATTCAAGTATATATAAATAGTACTTGTTAAAGCCTAACAAAGAGAAATAGACATGGAACATCGTAATTTAATGAACTTTTAGCTTGCTAGCTGCTAGCTATTATCACTTATAGAACTATAGTTTGCACGATGGACTCAGTCTGTATTTTTTTATTTTTTATTTCTTATTAATATAAAATTATTTCTATTTATATTATTGCTCCACGTCTTCAAATACAATACTAAACTAATATTACATAATATCTACACCAATTACGTGATTAATTTTAATAATTCTTGTAACACCGAAATGTATACATATTACGTACGTATAGTAAGTACCTACGCCGTAAGACCCATCTAAATGTACAGCGCAGGCGCGACCGAACTATAGGATTGCGCCTCTCGCGCTTCCAGAAAGTTCGCGACTAACGGACGATATAGTAGTAAGGCGATGAGTGTTCCAGAGACATCATTATAATAGATAAATAGATAGATAATTTATTTGCATTACTTACAGCACACAAATTACAACATACATATACAAAAAAAGCGAGATAACATAAATGATAAAAAAAAAAAATACACAAAGCTAAATACAATTTTCGTTTGTGAGTGTGCCATAGCAATACAAAATGGCCACAACTCAGTTTATTGCTTCGCCCTCAAAAGAGTAAAGCACTGATATTCTGTTGCGGCCAAAGGGAATAGGGTTATAATAAAACAATACTACCGGATTATCCGTACAATAAAAAAAAAAAAAAAGATAGATATACAGTAAACAGACAGATATGACAGTTTATCTAGCAGACAAATGGAACATAGAGGTAACTTGCTGGAATGTCTAACTTTTGCCTCTCAATTACTGCCTTACCTACAATACTGTTTCTTGTAATACACACAATTTCGTAATAAATAACGTGTTTCCCACGTTACATTCTTTTGTTTTTCAGTCGTAAAAGTTTATTTCCAGATGTCTGTATTTTTAAATTCTTACTTATTTACTTTTTTTTTTATATTCCGAAAGTTAGTCTCTGGGTTTTTGATGATAAAGTTGTTTATTGACAACAAACTTTAAAACACTCTATTATTTCCTTATAGCACTTCAAAAGTTGACTACAAGTTGACAAAAAGAGAGCCCTGTATGAAAATAATACCGCTATTGTATGATCAATCTTTTTCAAGTACGAGTATCGAATGTAAAGTTTATACAATGACGAATAACCGGTTTAAAGGGTTGGATATGGCAGTGAATTTACAGGGTACAGACAAATACCTAAGTCCTCAGGAATGGCAACGCATGAGGGGTATCATGGGCGAAGCAGTATACCCTGTTATGTTGTGATGGTTCGCCTATAGTACAATAGGTTTAATACCATATAAGTACATGGAAAAGAAACAGGGTTTCCTATGGGTGACCGCTACGAAAACTGAACTATTTAATATAAACAAATTGATTGATTAATGATGATTCAGACGATGATGATGATGGAATAGTTGTATTTATTGCACTATTACAGTGTTGGTTTGGAATATCTGCTCATGCTTAATGTCTCATGGTGAAGTGTTTTCATACCATTCTCTTGTGTCGGAGTGATCCTGGGATTTCAGTTCCGATCCTTTTGCCTCTGGCAAACAACAACTTATACTGGAAGCATCGTGGGGCTGGTGGAGCCACTGTAATGTTGAAGTAAATGTACTTATGTTTGGTTTGGAACTGAGAATACTCTTCCCTTATTACCATAGTAATACCCTTCCCTACCTTTCAGGAGGAAGAGAAATAGATAGTTGGAAAGTCTTCCACTGGTCTGGGCATGTGGGGGGCTCGACCACTCCCCCATTTTTTTTTTATTACAGTTATTCTGTAATTTAATATTAAATTAACTTAACTTCCTAGTTACACGAATTATGAGTATAATTCATTATTTATTCTTAATCTTTAAAGATTTATCAATCATCTTCATTATTTAACTCCTATCGTATACCAATTAAAGAACCTTTTGGTTATTACACACACAACGGGTCCTACATTACTAGACGATCACACATTTATTTATCTGGCCAGATGATCAAGTGTTCTACTCTAAGATCTGTTCAATATTATGTATTTATTGTAAGGGTTTATATGGTTCATAGGATGTTTGGGGTGTATAAGGCAACATAGGTATGGGGTTATATTGAGGGTGTTAGGCCATTCTTTAGGGTAGGTTTTCATTAGATTTTCGTAGGTTTTCATTAGGGTAGGCTTTCGTAGGCTTTTCGTAGGCTTTAGTAGGTTTTCCATGTGTAGGTTTAGTTAGAGGGTAGTTATTTATAAAAGGGAACAGGGGGGGGGATCATCACAATGTCCATGGTATTGCTCATGTATATAGGCGACCGATACCACTTTCCATCAGGCGGGCCGTCAGCTTGTTTGCCATTCTAAGTTGCTTAAAAAAATTAGCATCAACGGCTTTATTAGCAACAAACTGTAGTCACATTGGTGTTATAAATTAAGAACTTGTCATTTCCTTAGGTAAACGTCTAACATCTTACGGTGGGTACCTAACCTACTCCGTGTACTACACGGCGAGGGACGGCGGCCGCGCTGCCGCAGCCCCCGACGTCATCATCGGCGGAGCCAACGGCTACCTCGTCCACAACAGCATCGAGCAGCCGCCCTCGCTGACGACCTGGACCCACGCGCTCAAACTTTCAGAGGACCAGTTCACCAACCTGGACGGCTCGGCCGTTACCCGTAACCAGTTCATGACTACACTGGTCAATGTCACCAGTATATACATCAGGGCTACGTACTGGCATGAAACTGTTAATACTGTGTAAGTACTTATACTTAGGTAGCATTTCTTTATCTTTTTAAAGTCGCGACCCAAAAATAATCTTCTTTTACTGACACCTTTATCGGAGGGAGATGATAAAAAGGCCATCTGCTTGAGTACTTCTATCCTATCATGTTCCATGTACCCTTAGCCATTTGCATTTTTGTTATATTTTCTTAAGAGAGGGACTGGCTGAAAACCAGGCACTGTGCAGCTGTACACATTGCACTGGGACACTCACAGCATCAGCTGAGCCAGTTCCTTTTGTCTAATATGGGACACTACTTATATATGTAATATTTATTTATTTTCTTCTATAATTGTGTTTTTTTTGCAATAAATATTTTATACTCTTATACTGTGTTTCGGTTTGAAGAGTGGGATATGACAGTGAAATTTCAATCTACGGAGACGTAATACCATAATCTTAAAAAGTCGCAACCTATATAAGGTAATATTTATATAAATATGTGAATAAAATAAATAAATATTATTAAATAAAAATGGATATATAAATATTTGTACCAGATTTACGAACTTTATCCTCTTTTGCACAGACTATCGAGCGTATCACTAGACGTGGGTACGGATGAATACGTGGAGTACTCGAAAAGAGCTGACTCCGTGGAGGAATGTCAGTGCCCCCAGGCTTACAGAGGCTTGTCGTGCGAACAATGTGCCGTTGGCTACTACAGACTCAGCTCGGGGCCGTACGCTGGACTGTGCGTGCCCTGCCAATGCAATGGGCATTCGAGAGAGTGTGACGTCAACACTGGCATATGTTTGGTAAGTTTACTTCGACAATAAGTCTCACACAATTACACCAATGGCTTGTTTTTGTTTTATTAGTTATTTTTTATTTCCTGAGTGAGCGTATAGCGAAACTGTAAAGCTGATTGGGGGTACATTCCGAAATACCCAGATCCGAGCCAGTTTAAAATTTTTTTTTCCATAATTTTCTGGATCTCGAAACGCATCCTGGACCTCGTTACGTTTACATTTACCATCGTTAATAAGTGATATGATATTCTCATAATTATCTGTCAAAAGATCAAAAATTAAAAGAACTTAAATTTTACAGGATTGTACGGATAACACAATGGGTGATCATTGCGAGATGTGTATCCCAGGTTACCACGGTAACGCGACAGTTGGTACCCCCCGCGATTGCCTCATCTGCGCGTGTCCTATACCCTACGCCTCGAACAAGTAAGCACAAACATTATATCGATTGGTTAAAAATCAAATGCGATAAATTATATAAATGACCCAAGGTCTTCTTGCCGCTTCTATATTTTTGAATTTAACTTCACGACTCACTCTTCACTAAGGGTAACATCGTTAACATATCTAAGTAATATAAAAAGCAAATAAGTCAACTGTTGCAGTTACAATAACAGTAATACTGGCTCTTAAACTGACTCTGCCTCTACGCTCTATTTGGGAATTTTTATCCATTTATCACACCACATGGCTGTGTAGTCCTAGCATAGAAAATGCCACCTTTTCTTTTCCCGTGGGTATCGTTAGAGGCGACTAAGGGACAACTGCACAGTAACCGCTTACCTTCAGGTAGGCCGTATGCCCGGCCTGATCATACCTGATCGTAAGCGGTTACTGTGCCCTATGAATGTCTGCAATATCAGGAGTATTACCTGCACATTGCTGACCCTGAAGAGAACTCTTTACCCCTTTTTTGAAAAACCCTATGCTGTAGTCTTTTGGAAAAACCTCGACAGGGAACTTATTCCATAATCGTTCGTGGGAGAAAACATGTCTGAAATCGCGTTGTAGGCAACCACCTACACTCTAGGTTATGAGGGTGAACTCCCTGTCGAGCTGTGTGATGATTTAATTTTTGATAAGGATAAATTCAGCAACTATTCATAGTATATCAGAATATATGGCATAGTTCACTTAATGGATTATCTTTTCAGCTTCGCGGTCAGCTGTGAGCTGAGCGCAAACGGTTCTTTGATATCGTGCGAGTGTCAGCCGGGGTACGCTGGAGCGAGATGCGACCACTGCGCCGCAGGATACTACGGCCAACCGGAACAAATTGGTATTGCTTTTGTTATGCTACTTGAAGTGACAAAGGAGCTGACAGATGACTCGATGACCGTCACCTCCTTGTATAAATAGATAGATAGATAATTTATTTACATTACTTACACCACACCATCGGAGAGAGACTTTTTACAAAAATCGTTTGCTTAAGTACCTCTTTCCCATTCGTGTTTCTATCGTGGAGCAACTGTGTTTGAAGGGTGGGATATGGCAGTAATTTTTTTTTTATACAACTTAGAATGGCAAACAAGCTGACGGCCCACTTGATGGAAAGTGGTAACCGTCGCCTATAAACATGACATAACAGATAGACAAATTTATAGGGTACAGAGGAATAACACCTTAGTCCTCAGGAATTGTAATGCTTGTGAGGGTATCACGGGCGAAACAGTATACTCTGTTACGTCCATGGTATTGCTCGTCTATAAGCGACGGTTACCACTTTCCATCTGTTGGGCCGTCAGCTTGTTTGCCATTCTAATTTACATAAAAAAAGACAGTACAACAAACATACCTACTCACTGAAAATAGATAAAAGAATGCATATATATAAAAAAATATATATAAAACAAGTAACAATTTTTTCTTTAATCAAAATGGTCACAACTCAGTTTATTGTATATATATAAATAGCATTATGGAGATCAGACTTCACTGATCACTTTGACATTCACAGTCTCCTTTCTGAATTATTATTTCTACTCATTAAGGTATTATTTCTCTGTACTTTAATTTTACATTACCCATCTATTTCTTGCAACAATTTTATTTATTTCTTTATTTATTTCGAATTAGGCACACCAACAGAATACATATAATACATAAATTAAATAACATTTTTTTGTGTAGCATGCGGATATGCATACCTATAGCAGGCGTACACAACATTGACTACAGATTACATGCATATAAATGTTATAATTAATATAATAAATTAAATTTATAATTACATATTCTTTATTACAAAATTCAATTAAATATAAAACAAGACTGGACAATATCATCAAATCTACATGGTGTTCAGGATCTTACCGCGAAACACTGCCAACGAATCATGGCTTACGTCTATGGTATATCCGGATCTAAACCGCATATATGATTATAGTTATTGCATATTCTTGCAAGCGGAGCACTCAATCCTAAATTAGTTTTGCACAGTGGCACATATAATATCTTATTGATGATTAAATACAGATTTAAATTGATTAAAACTAAATAAATCTGAGGAAATATAGAAAAAATGTTAATTTGTCAACAGGTGACTACTGTAAACCCTGCAATTGTTCCGGGAACATCATACGAGATGAGCCAGGCTCTTGCGATAGTATTACAGGAGATTGTCTCAAATGTGTGAATAATACGGCAGGCGCCGCGTGTAATCTATGTGCACCAGGCTTCTACGGAGACGCTATCTTCTCGAAAAACTGTACTGGTGAGTAGTGAAAGGATGGGACTAAGTGAAGAATACCATCAAATACATCCGTTGATCTTACTGTATGTAATATATATATATTATTAGAAGCAATAGTATTATATTCAAGTACTATATGTGCATTAATAAGAACTAGTACGTGATCTGTTATTTTTTAAATGATATTCTTTTATTTTTATTTATTTACAATTTTTTATTTTTATTTATTTATTTATTAAATACAAAAAAAAATTTACAACAGCGAGTACATTGGACCCCGCACTAGGAGAACCTGTATCGCGGGAGTCCATATGAGATTACCAAGACACGGTGGTTTACAAATATAAATTAAATTAAAATACTAAGCCAGTTTTACGAAAGCAACAAGTTAAAATGAAGTGCTTCGTGAAGACATGCGCATAAAACTGAAAATTATGTAAATACTCTAATATTACATAAATAAATACATACAATTAAATATACTAAAGACATACACTACTATATACGAATATCAATAATTATAATATTTAAATTTATTTAAAGTTTGTTTCTTTTATTTGGATAAACTAAAAATGACAAAATAAAGAATAATACATTATATTAATAAAAGAAAAACATTAAGTAAATTTGTCATCTACACCGTTTACCACAGTTTAATATAGATAAATAGATACTTTTTATTGTTTCCTCCAAAAGATTCCAATAGTAAACTTATTATAAATATAAATAATTACAAGAAATAATCACAATGAGAAAACAATGGGCGACCTTATCGCTAAGAGCGATCTCTTCCAGGCAACCTTTGGATGGAGAGGAGTAATTATAAACAATTTGGTGGGAGGCACGATGAAAAATTTTGTTAGTTCTAGATATGGGAGATATATTTAATTAAAATTACTTTTGTTCTTCACACGTATTCTGTTAATATCAGGTGTCCTTTGATGATTTATTTAAAAAAAAAATAAGTATTGATCACGTACACCAATTTCTCTAAATTTTAGCTACAATTGCCAACAAATGAATGGGTATTTATTCAAACAATTTATTTTCTATTGGATTAAGATACCTGTATCCTTAATTTATAATTCTTTCATGTAGCATGCATATGCGACGATTTGGGTATGGATCATTGTGACCCCACGACGGGAACGTGCGTTTGTCGGCCGGGGGTCATCGGTGAGAAATGTGACCGCTGCGCACCTGACCACTGGGGTCTCGACAGCGGGTTCGGTTGTACCCCCTGCGATTGTGGCCCAGCTTCTGAGTCCACACAGTGCGATGACTCTACTGGACAGTGCAGGTACGCATCAAGGATTTTAATCTACATTTATACCCTATAATAGATATCGTGTCCACTCTGTGACTTCATAAAACCGTCTTTCCTTAATCATTTTAAGATCACGACTCTTATTGACTTTAGCTACTGAGATGTTCCAAATTAAAAAAAAAAAAACTAAACATTTCAGAGTCATTGACGTTATCATGCTACCTATGTCCCAACGTATTTAGTATTTGAACTTGATCAAAGCAATATTGCATTTACTTACTTTCTTTGCATGGGGGGGGGGGCAATGTTAAAAGAATAACTTACCGCAATATTTAATCCTATTCACTGACAAATATTTGGGCGTGTGGTCCCGACGTAGAATAGGTCTCCCCTCCTTTTCCCGTGAGCCTCGTAAGAGGCGACTAAGGGACGGCGAGGGATGGGCAGCAGCGTCCCTCTTAAAACACCTCTAAAAGCCGAACTGCGGTTGCCAACTCCCCTGGAAGCGTGGCAATTACTGGGACCCCCCCAAAAGGGAGGCTTAAGGTCAGCAGTGAAGAGTTAAAGGCTGATATGATGATGGCTGACAAAGGGTTATAATGTCAAAAATATATGTCTAAAGCAAATAGCGATAATATTACAGATGTGCAAAAGGCGTGACTGGCAGACACTGTGATCAGTGCGCGGCTGGCTACTGGAATTACACGAAAGAAGGGTGTGACCGTAAGTATTACAGTCTGTTTTTTTTTTTTTTGATGGGTGAAAATGGTATGGTAACCCCGCTTGCGCTAACGGGATACGCTGGCGGAGCACCAGTCAAGAATGATAGGTGAGGATGAAGCAGGTCAGTTAGCCCATCATGATGAATTCATCAGGAATTAACCATGATAGTTTCCAGGGGGAACCGCGAGGAGGACGACCTGATTGGATATATTGTAGGGAATGGGATTCTCAGTCCCCCTATTACAGTCTGATTATAAACTGTACTTTTATTATAAACTATCTTTATAGACTCCTTCATATCAACAATATTATTTATTTATTTATTTAAACTTTAATGCACAGTAAAATTCTATGTACATTTGGCGGACTTAATACCGGGCGGTGTTCTCTACCAGTCAACCATTGGGAAAATAAAGCAATACTTAATATATTTATTTAGTATAAAGATATAATTAGATCAACATAAACATACATCTAATATAATAAATAAATAAATATATGCTTATAATAAATACATATATAAAAAATACTATGTAAAACAACTGTAATAGAAGAGCAAGTAGCAATCTATGATTCAAACAGAGTAACCAACAAGATTAAATTTAAAGGCAAAGTGATTTTTCTAAAAAATAGGTGCGCAATTTATGTTTAAAAGCTAGATTGTTTAGGATAGATCTTATGTCGAGTGAGAGTGTGTTCCAGTGTTTAATATTATTGTTTATATTCATTTATGAAATTGTCAAAATTTCTAATAATTCGATTAAGCACCTTTTAAGGTTTCCTGTATAAAAGCGTACTTAAATTTTTTTTAAATATTTCTTGGGAGAAATTTTTGTTTCTACTTACTGTAAACCTTATTAAAACAATTATTATTTGCAGCTTCTGTTTTAAATCAATTTTGTTATCATTATTCTATTAGCTATTGCATTCTGTCATCGAAGAATCTAGTCTAAATTATCTTTAAAAAAAAATACCAGAAAGTACTAATATTAAGTTCATAATTGTGAACAAATATATCTAGAATTATAGATGCCATCATGCTAAGTCCCATAAGGGACTTATACTTAATTAAAATTATAAAATTAAAAACGTAATTAGTTTATAAAAACTAATTAATAATGTATATAACAGATTGCAACTGCAACACTGGATATTCACACGGGTTCACGTGCAACTCGACTGGTCAATGCGAGTGCCTGCCAGGAGTCATAGGCGAGAAGTGTGACCGCTGCCCTGAGAGGTATGAATTTTTTGATAAAAAATATTATATATACCACTAAAGTAAAACATAGAAGGTTTGAAACCTGTTATTATATTATATATTAAATATAATAATGTATTAAATGAAACATTTATATTACATGAGCATAATTTTAATAATTACACGCCTTTAATTTTATTATCAACTGAATATTCGTAACATTGTATGTGTTCCCCAGATGGGTATTGATACCGCACGAGAGATGTCTGGAGTGCGACTCGTGTACCGATGCCCTTATATTCTCTGTTGAAGATATGACTGATATGCTTGCTAACGAAACCCAAGAGTTCAAGGTAATTTTATAATATATAATTATATTTTTTTTTTATACAACTTAGAATGACAAACAAGCTGACGGCCCACCTGATGGTAAGTAGTTATCGTAGCCTATGAACGCCTGCAATACCAGAGATATTACGCGTGCGTTGCCGACCCTGAAGAAACCTCTTTACCCCCCATTTGAAGAACCCCATGCTGTAGTCTCTTGGGAAAACCTCGGCAGGGAGCTCATTCCACAACCTGAGTGTTCGTGGGAGGAAACATCTTTGAAACCGCGCAGTACGCGACCATTGAGGCTGTAGGACATGAGAATGAACTCCCTGTCAATGGCAAGCCGTACGATAGTAGAAAGTGGCTGTGGGCATCATATTGAACAATTCATCTGAGCACAATCCATTGTACAGGCGGTAGAACACGCAGAGTGAGGCAAAATCTCTCCTAAGACTTAAGGGTCATTGTCATTGTCTTTATTTACGCCTTATCATCTCAAATGATTACTTGATAATTCTTAATACAATGTTCTGTCTACTGATAATGGCGATATGGTAATTTAGACAATGGCACGTTACGTGAAATATATTAAATAATTTTCTAATATTATATTTCGTATCAGCACGTAAGAGTAAATATAAAATGATATTGTAACTAGCTAGGATCAGAGTATTCATCATGTAAACCTGAAGTACACCAGTTTACAACCACCAACGAGTGTGTTTCACTCACCACCGACCTTACTCAATACATGGCGTTAGTAACTATGAAGTGACCACGTAGCTATAAATATGGATCAGGGAATACTCTCACAATGGACATTGGCATGGAAAAGGTAACGAATTAAACTATTTTTTATAATTGGGAGAGTTAAGAAGAAGAGGAAATATAGACCAAATGGGCCAACAGCTGGCTCTGCAAGAAAACTTTTATCGTCAATACAGGACTAAATGGATACTATATAATAACTAGATCCATACTTTTGGATTGAAGATTGTAACAGTGGAAGCCCCTCTCTCTGTCATGTTGAAGTGAGTGATCTATCTATCATTTCTTTTCTCTCGTGCTCATGTGTATTGTGTTAAAATAGTATTGTGAGTCGTGAATTTATCTGAGACAAATTAAATTTAAAATAGTAGCTATTAAATATATGCTGGAATTTATTAACAGTATTTGATAACTAAATAATATATTGAGTGCTCGAAAGTTGATTAAAGTTGTCAGAGCCACTAAGATATTATATTTTAATGTATTTTCAATTGTTCCTATACTTTATAAAGCTTTTTTTTAAATGCTATTATATAAAGTGCTATTTATATTGATTAATGACTAATAATTAGTCATTAATCACGTTTAAAACTTAGTTTTTAGTTAATTTTCTCATAAATTTTTATACTAAATTCTTAAAGCATTTTAATAGCTGACAATCGTCACATATTAATAAATTTTGTTTTACAAACAAAATTATGAGGTGCCAAGTTAAAATTCAAACCAAGTTGTAACACCATTGATTAATTTATAGAAAACATTAAAAAATGGTCGTTACCATAAAAATCACATGCATGTATCTTGTCCCAATTACAAAAATGTCAGCAAGGTCAATTTTAGAATTTGGGAAAGAAATAAAAAGATTATTTATTGATTCGATAAATATTCGGACTGGACACCTTCATTCAAAGTACGACATTGTATTGTCGATTAATGAATAAAATACAATTAACCAATTGGTTTACAGATTAAATAACAATAGATTATCTATGTAATCTCACATACGAATATACGTGAAGCTATTGTGTTAGCGACAGAAGACAAAGAATTTATTCCAAAGCCTTTTCAAACGCGTTTTAAATCGAATTCAGTAAAATTTATTAAGAAGAGAAATAATAATGCAAGATATTATGACCATATTCGGAAACGAGGTCAAGTGCAAAGTAAAAATTATAAAATGTGCAATCAACAAATTGGAGTAACGCACAGTAAGGAAGGCTGTACAATAAATAAAGACAAATGTATAAATTACATCGAAACCTCAGCTGATAATGAAAACAACGAGAAAAATTCCTCAAAAAACGTTGGCCACAAGGACACAAATATGAAGATTTTAGCCCTTAATAGAAATAATATTGTGAAATATTATATCAGTATTTAAACAAGGATATAAATTTTTCTCAAACGTGCTTGGAAATGTGAACATTATTTTGACAATCTTCTTTGAGATAAATCAAAATTGCCGTACTGGCCAGATACATTCGGGCAGCGGCCGGCAAAAGTTATATGAAAATCCATATCTGTCGTGTTTTGCGGCCAGATAAATTACTATGTAAACTCATATCTGTCCTATAATTTAAAAATGGAAGGACCTTTTACTTCGAAACATGGCTACCAAGGAGGTATCTAATAAAAAGTTCTATTTAAATTTCGAACAGGCTTGAAAAGAGAAAGCTGTTTATTGAAAAAAAAAAAACAAAGGAACATTATGGCGCGTGAAAAAGTATTATTGTTAGTTATTCATCATTAAAAAGTAAAATTGTGTTTTTGATTTTCGCGCATTGTTTGAGAAAAGTAGTATACAAACCTTGGCCACAACTAGGCATTGATGGACTCATGTATGTGTGCCTCGGCTACGCCTCGGCCCACATTTGCACGTTCGTCCATCAATGCCTCAGTTGCTGGCCGCTGCAATAATGTACTATAACAGCAGATTCAGGCGTGTCATTTTCGGTATTGAAATACGATTGCCTAAAGAGTTTACCATCTGTTAAGATTTATAATGTTACGATAAAAGGCATTTATCTATACTTACAGGATTTCTTTATTTGAATATTCAAGTTAATAAAGCGCGTTTAGGAAAATAATCTATATATTTAAAAAGGTAGAATGCAATTCCCATAATATATTGGGTGAAGATTACTTCAGAGAATTTAAGGATATTATTATAAATATATATTAAGGTATAAAACTCTACAAGTCTAGTAGAAAAAAACGTATAGGTACTCTTCAAGAAGATAGAAGAAAATGTTTCTTCAAATAAAAAGAAAATTGAGACGACTCAGGGGGTATCCTGTGCACAAGATATCGTGGAAATTAAATATTGAGTAAAATATGAATAATGTATAAATAAATCAATGTTATTTAATAAAAATAATTAGAGATGAATTCAAGAGATGTACTCGTATAAGAATTCGAATTAAGTTTAAAACAATGGTTAGTGATTTGTAATGAAAAATAAAGTAGTAACAGTCCATAAAGTTAGATCTAAGTATTATAACGTTGTGTATATTCCGTCATAGAATGGGCCACCCCTTTCTTTCCCGTGGGTGTCGTAAGAGGCGACTAAGAGAGGACGAGGGGTGATCAGCAGTATCCCTCTTGTAATATCTCTAAAAGCCTAACTGCGGTTGCTCACCCATCTGTCAAACGTGACAACTACGAGCTAAACTTCCCTTATAGGGAAAGCTTATGTCCAGCAATTAACAGTTAATGGCTGATATTAATAAAATTATAACGAGATATTTTTTTTATTTTTATTTAATGGTATTTTTGTAAATAGATTGATACTTTCAGAGAGAGAGGACGGATACCCTAACACTTTTTCAGAGAAGGTGTGATATAGTAATTGATATGTAGTTGTATGTAATTAATATGGTAAGTGGTATGTAGATTATGACATATCCGTTAAAAATGTTAAAACGCATGGAAAGTTAAATGATGTTCTAACGTTATATCTAATATTAGTACGTAAGAATTAATGTAAAAGTGCATTGTAACTAGTTAAGATCAGAATACTTCTCGTGTTAATCTGCAGTAAGCCTGTTTATGATCAACGAGTATGTTTCACTCTTCACCAACTTCCCTTATTACAAAGGAAGTGTTCTTCAAACTGTAATAACACTATTTTAAACAACAAATATATCTTGTCCAGGACAAAGCGGACTCGTTCTTCACAACGCAGCGCCTCAACTACATATCGAATCAGACGGAGCTGCTGAGACCCCGGGTCGCCGAGCTCCGCAATGTGGACGTTGAGCACGTGACAGTGGAGCTGAAAGTATTGGAGGAAGCCGCCGCGAAACTGCTGCGATCGGTATGATTAAGTAACTTGCTCCACTAGACTAGTGACAAACTAATTTATTAAATAATATTATAAACATCATTGATTCATTTAGTAGGAGCCTGCCAAAGATATTAGAAGCGGCTCAGATATATCTGGAGTCGGGTTAAATACTTTTATTATAATTTTATATGTTAGCACACTAGGTTTATAACATTGATTTGGCTTTTGCTGTCATATATGATAATGATGATGAATAAATATTCATAGAATCATCATCGCATCATCAAAATAAACTAATAAGCGACATCCAATGTCAAATTTTCTCTCATAGGAGTATATAATAGATTCATTTGATACTTGTCTGGGTATCTCTAGCCAACACGTGTATTTGCCAAATGACTATACCTAGAACCTTCATATCTATATATATATATATATATATATATATATATATATATATATATATATACCATTGTCTTCAGAATAACAACACAAGCAGGGTAACATGTAGGTCACAGTGGGTGCTTTTATTCTTGCGTGTAAACGACGGCTTAATTGGGATAACAATAAACTGATCACCCCGTCTGCGTTGTTAGTATGCGTTGACAGAATACCAGTGAAGGACTGTAGATGAGAAAAAAGTTAAGTCAATTGACCCATCGAAACGAGTTCACTAAGAATTAACCACGGCTGTTTCTAGGGTAGCTGTGTAGAGACTGACCTAACAGGGTTAACTCATTTCATCAGATAGGCTGTCAGCATTTACCATTCCAAACTGTATAAAAAAATATTTATCCAATTTCCATCAGGCTGAATACACGGCGGGAGACAGCGATGCTCTAATTGGTAAAGCGACGGATCTAGCAGCTGAAGCTGATAAAACTTTGTCAACTGCTAGAGAGAGCGGCGATCGTGCGAGGGAAGTAGTCACGCAGGTTGCTAACTTGGCGAAAGGCTTAGAGTTCAGCCAACAACCCAAAGTTGACATAGCGTTGACTGATGCTAGACAAATCAGGAACGATCTCGCAGGTAATTAAAAAAAAAAAAAATTTTTTCCGGAATGCGTTATAAGCCGAGGACAACACTGACCGACTTGGCTGTTGCACTTTGTTTTGCATCATGCAAAGACACCGTATATATATATATATATATATATATATATATATATATATATATATATATATATATATATATATATATATATATATCCTATGTTCTCCTCTAGTTATTCTGCCAAAATAAGCACCTGTTTACAATATGGTAATTTACCAGTCACTATTGGGTTCAACCAATAGTTTTAAGAAGCTTAGAACTCACTACATCCAGCTATTACGGCCGTCTATAGGGGATATCTATATGCAACTATAATTGAAATAATGACGATGATGTCATGATTTAAATACTCGTTTGTATTACAGCAATGGATTTCATCCCGAAAACTCAATTGGCCAACAATATGTTTGCTAACGCCACCAACCAAAACGAACGGATGAACGTATTCGTTCAACCTGTCTACGAACAAGCTAAGGTATTGTAACTTATGTTATCCGCTCTTACACATAAGATTGAAATTTGAATACAACAACATAGCGTTATGAAATTATAGGGTACGGAAATATAATATATTAACTCTGAGAAATAACGGGCCCATGACCATGTTACCCCTGTATACTGCCATCAGTATACTATGTGATGTTCTTGGTACCATTCATGTTTGTATTTGTAGGTAACAAGAGGTAGGTATCAAGTTTGGTAAAAAAATAAGGATCTTAACTGATTCTACAGAATAAAATCATCCATATTCTTAAAAGATCACAAACAGAATCTGTTTTATTTATTTATTTATTTTTTGGAAAACGTACAGATGAATTACAGTCAATACATAATCAAATTTATATGTATGTTAAATCAGGAATCGTTTTCACATTTGCGTAATGACACAATTGATCGGTTTTTATATATTGCAAAATACATAAATAAATATGTTTTGAAAATAACTGCTGGAGAATTAAAATAGAATGATGTAGACTTCTCTGAGAATTACAGTTGTTTGTTTACATGTATTTTTCAGGTCTCATAAAATATATGAGTAATCAATAAGACTCTAAATCGAATAATCAAAATAAAATGTTTTTTTTTTTTTATTTTTAATAGAAATTCGATGGCTTGAAGAACTCCACGCAAGATTTTAAGAACAAACTAGAAAACTTTTTAGAGTACACAGATCTGGCACAACATACCGCTAGCTTGGCTGACAACCTTAACAGGAAGAATAAGTGAGTCCAACTAATATTAAAAGAAAGCATTCAACAAACTCTTTCTTCTATTTCCTTTTCACTACTTCCTATGCCACTGTGTTAGGTTGACTGGAAGAAATCTCTTTTACAGATAAGTTCGCCTTTGCTAACATTGTTATTAACTTATTGTTGTTACTGTATGTTTTAGTGCAATAAAGAATATATATATTTTATAGACATTTCTAGATACAACGTCAAATTGTCTTCTCTCAAAAGCAATTAAACAAATTACAATATTTCTGATAATATATCATTTCTTGTTAATTTATTATTGAAAATTTGGAATTTGATGGCAAAATAATAGCAAATAAATGTGACGTCGACTATGGTAATTTTTGAAAAAAAAAATTACAGGCAATCAAACTTCGGGGACAAAGTGAACACAGTGATGAAATTGAACAAAGACGCAATGAATGACCTAATATACGCGGCGCAGAACACCAGCAATGCCTCGATACACAATGCTAAGGCGCGGGACACAGTGGCAGATTCAGAAGCGGCGTTAAGAGAACTATCCGAACAGAACCAGCTCATCGAAGATGTAATGAAAGACCTAGCCGAGAAACTGCCCGACTTGAAGAACTTAGCTGGAGAAGCGTTCAGCCATTCTGCCACTCTGAGGAATCAAGTAAGTAAATGATATTTGAATAGTTAAAAAAAAAGTTATCAAATAATTTGATTTTTTACGGCATTCTACGCAATTACGTTACAAATTGGAATTAGATATGCAAAAATTCTTATGCAGAAAATGGCATTCTTTTTTTTTATGCAACTTAGAATGGCAAACAAGCTGACGGCCCACCTGATGGAAAGTGGTAACCGTCGCCTATAGACATGAGCAGTACCATGGACATAACAGAGTATACTGTTTCGCCCATGATACCCCCCATGCGTTGCCATTCCTGAGGACTCAGATCTTAGTCCTCTGTTCCCAGTAAATTCACGTCATATCCCACCCTTCAAACCGAAACACAGTCATGCAAACACAACTGCTTCACGGTTGAAACACGAATGGGACAGAGGTACCCAAACAATCGACTTTTGTACAAAGTCTCCATTCGGCAAAACAGGGCAGAGTTCGGGAAACTACGCCACATCTTTTTATCCAAAATACCTCAGAATTTAAAGACAAAAGTGTTTAACCAGTGCATGTTGCCAGTAATGATTTATAGAACCGAAACATGGTCTTACACGATTGCTCTGGCTATGCTTGGAGTCTCTTTGCGTAATAGAATCCGAAACGAGGATATCCGCAAAAGAAGCAAAAGAACCGACATAGCCCGAAGGATAAGCAAGCTAAAGTGGCAATGGGCTGGTCACATAGCTCGAGGAGCCGACAACCAATGATGAAGAAAGGTCCTTGAGTGGCGACCGCGTATGAGCAAACGTAGTGTAGAACGACCATCCCCCCCACTAGATGGAATCGATGGATGCAGGTGGCTCAAAACCTTTCTTTATGGCAGTCTATGGGGGAGGCTTATGTCCAGCAGTGGACAGATATTGGCTGAAATTATGATGACGATGCAGAAAACAGCCATCTTTGATAGACCCTAATCTGATGTAATATTAAAAATAATTATCAGGGAAAATATTACTTTAAAAAAAAATATAGATTTTCTACTTATCTACCCGCGCGAACCCATACACAACATACTGAGTATCGACTAAATTTCTCATATATGAGTATAAGGAAAAATCGTATACACGATTAAAGTCGCTATATCTTACGAAGAAATATCTTACATTATGCAAACTTTCAGGCAGCCAACCTACGCGACCTAGCTGAGCGTGAAAACAACAACAGTCGCACACAAGAGGCGTACAAAGCCGCGTCCGCATACTCTGTAATAGTGCAAGAGATTGGAGACGCCAAGACCGCAGCCGACGAGACGGAGGCAGCCGACAGGAGGGCCACGGACATCGTGAGTATTTTTTATACAACTTAGAATGGCAAACGAGCTGACGGCCCACCTGATGGAAAGTGGTAACCGTCGCCTATAGACATGAGCAGTACCATGGACGTAACAGTCGGCAAAACAGGGCAGTGTTCGGGAAACTACGTCACATGTTTTCATCCAAAATACCTCAGAATTTTTGGAGTATTCAACTCCTTGAAAAACTTTCATATACTTATTTATGTACAGGTTAAAATCAAAATGCTGAGTATCATTTTAAAGTTGCGTTCTATTAGTGAAACTGAATATTTTTTCCTAAGAAACTTTTGTCGAAATAAACAATGAAATTTAAATCTCTCACACTTTATCTCCAAAGAAAGTTAATGACTTCAACAGTATATTATGATAATACTAACATCAAACAAAAACTGAATTTCTTTCCCTTTCTTCTTAACTGTAATTGTATTCATTTTAATGGAAGTATTATAAAAAATTACTATTAAAAAATCCTTAAAATTGAGTTTCTTCTTTTCAGTTGACTCCTAAAGGATAAGGGTAGTTACTACCAGGAATATTTCTCCCGACGAATACTTTCCAAGTTTCCCTGTTAAGAGCCATAGGCAACTTCGACTAAATATTCAGTGTGATGGAAGCTCAAAATTAAATTTACTTGACAGAAAAGTTACAGTTGAACATAATTTATATCTGTTTCTAATTATTTCCCACAGAAAAACATGCTGAAAGATCAAGTGGATCCGGCCCGTGAGCGATCGCAGATACTGCTGGACCAAGCTCAAGAGGCCTTACACACAGTGCATAACGCTCTGGGCCCCAATTTGACCCTCGCCGAGAACTCCTTAGAGAACGCCACCAGAACGTTACGGGATGCTGATGAAAACAATACTGCTATAGAACTGTAAGTATTCGAATATCTTGGTGCCTTTATCTCAAGAAGAATAACCAGATAGCAGAGACTGTTATAAATGAGGACTGTTCCATTTTATGCTGCCTTTTTTCGGTTAAAAGTGAGATGTTATCTCGGAAAATCAGTGCAAGATAAAACGATGAGAACGAAGGCAGTTTTACCAGAAATTAACCACGATTGCTTCAAAGGGGGATCACGTAGAGTTTGGGCCTGATAGCTCATTTCATCAGGTGATTTGTCAGTACTTAATAATCCAAGCTGTATAAAAATAAATATGTTGTACAAAAGTACAAAGAGAGTGTTATTACTACTCTGTTTACTAAATAGTAAATATATACCTAGTGAGACGTTAAACATATTTCATAAGTTAATTGTTGATTTTAAACAATTACGCAGAGATCGTATCGCGTTGCCAGTACTCGGTGCATCACCACTGGACGATGAGACAGAAAAGGCGAACAGAGTGAATGCTACGGTGAAGAACACTCTGGAGATAATGTCAGAGATCGGCAGGAATCTCGCGGACAGCAAGGACTGGGCACGCACACTGCCCAAGCAGGCCAACGAGGCGCAGGCGCATATCGACAACATTAAACAATTGTGTATGTATTATGTTTTATTATAAGCTTTTATCTTTTGCGGAAATGAGACTGTAAGTTCCATTTCCCGGCGGGCCAATTTATAAAACGCACATTTATGTATTAATTCCGTGTATTAAATGTTTGAGCGTTTTATGTTTTACCCTCAGATGTTTATTTTCTGGTTTCTTATAACACAGCATACGATAGTTTGAGGAGCAGACGATTGGTGTGTTTGTAAGTAATTTTTTTTTTAAGTTACATACATTATTAGTTAAACAATTTATTTAAATTAAATTTTGCAAACTGAATACGAACCAGTTCTTCCTAACCGATTTTGCATACACTTGCATTGTTGTTAACAATACAATATGAAATATTCAAAACTGTAATATTCTTAAAATGGCTGCCACCACAAGATGGCGGATATCAAATGAAAGACCTTGAATAATAGATAACGATAAAATAAATAATAAAATAAATAAATTAATGAAAAATAAGATAATAAATATATTAATTATTATATATTATAATAAGGTATGACTTTTATTAATTACAGTGGACAATGTGACCGACTTATATGGTAAAATAGTATCAAAAGAGAGTGCAGTAAAAGATTTGCAAGAGGTCCACGACCCACGCCTTCCGGACGCCGACCGTAAACTGGAGGAACTGAAGCGGTTGATTGAACAGGTACGTTCTAATATATCTATTCATTATATGATAATCAATGACAATCACATCATCATCATATCAGCCGTTGATATCCTTAATATATATATGAAAGTGTTGCATGATTAAAAAATTTTAAAGCATGCTAGATTGAAAAGTTGAAGCCTTCACCTGCTACGCTCAATGTTTTTTTATTTCTATTTATATATGGCAACAAACTTAGTTTTACAACAAGTGACTTTTGCAGTGCCAATAACAGTCTTTTAAATATAGAGTCATTAGTAACAAAGAAGTATTAGAAATAGTATGGAGGATATATAAGAAATATAAAAACCTAAGCACTTATATAGACCTAAGTATCAAAGCTTAAAAAAAAAAGGAAATTCCGATTAGGTTGTTGAATCAATTTACTTTTCAAGATATACAAAAGAGATCTAATTCATGAAATAATTTATTAAAAATGTTAATGCAGAGGTAAAGAAAAGAATTACGTATAGGTATAGTTTTTATGTAAACGTGGGGGAACAAATACAGCTAGTCTACGAAGGGAGAGAAAAGAGGAACGCGATTAGCAAACGTTATTTTACTTAGGTGTGTTGGGAAGTCGATTAGATTATTCAAAATCTTATATAGGTTTTTTTTTATACAACTTAGAATGGCAAACAAGCTGACGGCCCACCTGATGGAAAGTGATAACCGTCGCCTATAGACACGAGCAGTACCATGGACATAACAGAGTATACTGTTTCGCCCATGATACCCCACATGCTTTGCCATTCCTAAGGACTCAGGTGTTATTCCTCTGTACCCAGTAAATTCTCGCCATATCCCACGCTTCAAACCGAAACACAGTCATGCAAACACAACTGCTTCACGGTAGAAACACGAATAGGACAGAGGTACCCAAGCAATCGACTTTTGTACAATGTCTCCCTCTGGGAGACATTGTACAAAAGTCCACATCAAACATTTTACATCTGCTATAAAGAGGCAATAATTTATATTTACATAAAACATTATTATATTATATAATGCATCCTGGCCACTACGATAATTCAAGAACTTTACAAATATTTTCTATTAAATCTCTATTCCTTTTATGTACTATATACATATAACAAATAAAAATTCAATTTCACGTGAATAGGCGAGAACAGTAGCCAACCGTATCCAAGTGGGAGTCAGTTTCGACAGCCAGTCGACGCTGCAGCCGCGCCTGCCCGACAACCTGGATGAAATGGCCACCACCACCAACGTCTCGGCCTACTTCCGCACCAAAAGGAAGGACGGCTTCCTTCTGTATCTTGGCAACCCTAAGGGCACCAATTTGAGGAAAACGAAATCCGTAAGTCTGACTCAATTGTTAGTCGTAGTATTATATCACAATATCAGACAGTTTAATATGATTCCTGGTATCCTTGTTTAACTCATGATTTTTAAGGATCAGTAATCTTCTATATATGTACTAGCTGACCCCGTAAACGTTGTTTTACCACTTATTGCGAAATATAAAAATCGCGATTAAAAGACAGGGGTTGATCGTAAAACGGTGAAAATTTAAAGTTGTGTGTATTTTTCAATGCTCAATCATAATAAAATAAAAAAGGAAAAATTTGTTAAAAAAATAAAAAAATTTTTTTTTTGGATAGGGTCACCCTTGTCATTGAGGGGTATGAAAAATAGATGTTGGCCGATTCTCAGACCCACCCAATATGCACACAAAATTTCATAAAAATCGGTAAAGCTGTTTCGGAGGAGTTTGGTAACAAACACCGTGACAAGAGAATTTTATATATAAGTATAAGATATATAATATAAATGAATTGCTGTTCGTTAGTCTCGCTAAAACTCGAGAACGGCTGGACCGATTTGACTAATTTTGGTCTTGAACTATTTGTGGAAGTCCAGAGAAGGTTTAAAAGGTGAATAAATATGAAAGTTGTTACGTTCAGTTTCATTCTTCTCTGGATCTGAACTAGTTTTTCTTAATTATGGATTCCTTTTGTTTGTTTTAAGTTTATTTTATACAAAAGTTTAGATCTTTTATTTATCGATTAAGGCAGTACGAAGTCTGTCGGGTCAGGTAGTTAACAATAAATTTCTAAACAAGCCATAATTAGTACAGTCTTAACTATTTTTTCATTTATTGCCACTATGACTACATCATGGTGATATAGCCCTACTTTTAAAACAAATAATGATACTCCATTTAGTAAAATAATATCCTTCCTGTATTAATACTAATATATTGTTACAAATTACCAAATATTATCAGCTCTTTGGCCACTAATAGACAAAATAAAATACTTGTTTCATCAGGACGACTTCATGGTACTGGGAATTCGGAACGGCTACCCATATTTGATGATGGATATTGGTGACAGTACCTCTGGACGCGAGCCTGTTAAGATCAGCAGCGACAAGCTAGTCGCTGACAACAAGTGGTACCAGGTCATCGTCGACAGGTAACACTTTTTTTATGCAAGCTAACGACCCATCTGATTGATAATGGAAACCATCGCCTATAGGCATGAGCAGTACCATGGATATAACAGAGTATACTGTTTCGCGCCTACTCTAATATAATGATATTCCCCATTCCTGAGGACTTAGGTGTTATTCCTCTGTACCCTGTAAACTCACTGCTATATCCTACCCTTCAAACCGAAACACAGCCGTGCAAATACAACTGCTTCACAGAATGGGACGGAGATGCCCAAGCAGACGACTTTTGTACAAAGTCTTCCTCTGGTTCTGTCTGAAATTATTAAAATATTTGAATCTTAAAGATGTAACTCATGCTAGTATAGTAACTAATATTTTGTCCCTTATATTTATTCCTTTTTTAGTCCTTTCTGTGGCAGAGTTAAATAAAATATCTACAATGTGACACCACTTCTTTTAATCCTCAGGGTCATATCCAAATGTAATGAGGAGTCCCTGATCTATTCTCTTTAAAAAAGCGACTCCTGTAACAGCTGTCGCGTTTTGACTCGTGCTTTCTTTCTGGAAGGGAATAAAAAATATTATAAATATCTCTCAACCAATATGTTTGTCTCCAGAGTGGGTCGTAAGGTCAAATTCTCAATACAAGAGACCCTCGATAACGGCACGGAGTACACACATTCCAAAGAAGCTGTATTACCTGGTCAACATACGATCTTCAACTTAGACCGGCAAAAGTCTAAACTATATGTAGGAGGCGTACCACCCGATACGACTCTTCAAGGCGTCGACGTCCGCGACTTTGAAGGACAGATCGAAGAGCTCATGGTCGGAAATACTCCTGTTGGATTGTGGAACTTTGTTGGTGCATCCGACTTGAAAGGAGCTAGACAGAGGTGAGTGCTTTTCATAAATAATAACATTATCAATTCCAGTAACATATTTATTATATTTTTGCTTCCGATATAACTGCACTCATCAGTAAGAATCTCTGCGTCCGCAAAAAAATCTGCTCAAAATATTTAATATCTATTTTCCGTTCCAAATTGCATTAAAAAATCTTGCTATGTATTACTGCTCTACTGCGAGTACTTCGCTTTCTTTCGTGGTCACTAATTTGTGACTATTTTATATCTTCTTCTTCTTCTTTTTCTTCTTCTTCTTTCTTCTCTTTATAAGTTTTCAAAATTCATATTTAGTCGTTCGTTTTATTCTTTGTACGGCCAATGTGTTTCTTGCTTTGCTTCTTCATTTGGTACAATAGTTTTGCATAGAAATATATATATAATTTTGTCTTTATAACCAAATGAGGTGAATAATTTATAGACAGCCATCTTGTTATCCCCACAGAGACAAACTGCTGCCAAAAGCGACTGGTCCTCAAGAGTATCGCTTCAATGGATTTTCACACCTTATAATATCAGGAAAAGGCTACCTGGTCCCGCAGAAGAACCACATCCAACTGTTCTTTAGAACTTACGCGCCCGACGGTCTCATTTATCTGGTTGGAGAAGACAATGATTATTTCTTCTGTGTTCAGATGCAAGAGGGCAGAGTGAACTTGCAGGTATACTTTGACTTTATTTATCAATCACTGTTATTGTACATGCAAATTATTATATAAAAAACTAACTGAAATTGAGAACAAGATAGCAACCCATCTGATATGAAAATTAGTATGCATTAGCACAGTCTAAAGAACTCTTGTTGAGTTAAAGCTTCTTACACTGGGCTGGGCAGTTTGTCACACATAACATTAGGTTGCAAAAAATATTTGTCCGTTATATATTTATTTTGATTTAATTTAATATTAAGGAGTATAAAAGGTACAATATTTGGTGATATTAAAAATACATTAATAATAGTGCCTAACTTATTTAATTAAATCTATGGAATGAAACAGGTGGCTCTTGGGCCAAGGGAGGAGGACCTTGTCAGCATACACACATCGAAGGCATACAACGATGGCAAATGGCACAAACTAGACGCAGCGAGATACCTCAGCAATTGCTCCCTAAAAGTAGACGGAGACACCCTCAGGACCGTGTCCTCATCTTCGGCGACAGAAATCCCGGCTGTGGATATGAACTTTGGAGGCATTTCTTCAGACGTCCACAGTTTACGATATAAAAACATAAATAGAATAACAAACAAAGGCTTCGATGGATGTATACGACAAATCAGCATAGACAGAATCAACGTCGAACTCAGCGACTCTATCGAATCTATAGGAGTTGCTTACAAGTGTCAAGTAAGTATATTATACATAACCTTTACCTAAAACATTATTTACTTTTATTAAATTATGCAGAAACTGAAAATTTCATTTCAAATCCTGACTGCACATGTGCACATATATATACACATATAAACTTGTTAAAACACAATTCACATACACGCACGCACGCACACACACGCGCACACACGCGCACACACACACGCGCTCACGCCGACTCATATCCACAACTTTTCGCACGCTTATACTTATATTTTCATCCATTAGTATATATATATATATTTTAATAACAATGCATATTCTGTTACAGAAATTTATATGATTTACCACATATTTTTTTGTATATATTAGTATTATATAAGAAATCTAGTGGAAATAAATTTTACTCGAGTAGATAATTTAGAATTAATCATTTTTTCTAATAGGCAATTTTTATAACTATCTTCTATTCTACCACCTAATTCGGAATGTAATTTCAACTTTAGAATTTCAGCCAACACTCAAGTGTAGCTATTCAAGATCCTAAACACTTTAATAATTATACTTTTTTTCTCTGCCTAGTTCTCATCGCTGGTTTCGTTGTCTGGCGAGAACAGTTACCTGCGATTCAACGACATCACGTCTGAGAACCCGCAGGTGACACTCCGCTTCCGCACGTCGGAGCCGGACGGGCTGCTGTTCGTGTACGTCAGCAGGACGCAAACAAAGAACGACGAGAGCATGTCTCTCTCTATGATGAATGGTAAATTATGTTTACCCTAATCTTTACCCACGAGATCAGGTTCATGTGGCCGGGATATATTGATTAATCGGGATAGAAAGTAGACAATCTATGTTAAATTCTTAGATTATAAAAATAGAGCATCGAGCCACCAGAGGAAGAATTTGTACAAAAGTCGATTGCTTGGGTACCTCTGTCCCATTCGTGTTTCAACCGTGAAGCAGTTGTGTTTGCATGGCTGTGTTTCGGTTTGAAGGGTGGGATATGGCGTGAATTTACAGGGTACAGAGGAATAACACCCGAGTCCTCAGGAATGGCAACGCATGGGGGGTATCATGGGCGAAACAGTATACTCTGTTATGTCCATGGTACTGTTCATTTCTATAGGCTACGGTTACCACTTTCCATCAGGTGGGCCGTCAGCTTGTTTGCTATTCTAAGTTGTATAAAAAAACATAGCCTCATAAACGGGTCGACATTTCGTCAGTTGATTATCGAATTAGCTAACTCGTCTTTTTATAAGTATTCTATACATTTACGCATAAATTATTTAATAAATAAAAAATTAATTTACGCATTAAAGAGATGCAAAAAATCATAATACAAAATAAATATAGAAGTTATAAAGGAATCACTCATTATTATTTATCACGCAAAATTGTATAAAAAAAATTGAGCCGTTTTTCTCATAGTGTTTCTATGGAGACACTCTATCTATACAATCAAAGGGTAAATTATACGCGTATACTGAACTCCATGACGATTGGATGGCCGTTAAAATGCCAAGACGGTTTGATTTCACTGGTAACAGATTAATGTTTGCAACTCTAATAAATGTCATTTTCGTTACTAAAAAACTCGAAACGAGCGTTTTTTAGTTATCCAATAAACATTTAATGGACACTATCTTACCTTATTTTTGACACTAATTCGCAATACATGTTGAAGAAGTCTAGAAATTTCCTAATTTATAAATTAACAGGTTCTTTTTTCTTCAGATGTATCTACATAGTTTACGTAGTTACATTATACAAACCAAGTTATCATATTATTTAGGTCAATTGGTGCTGGGCAGTAAACGTGAACTGCTGGACACTGGACTGTACAAGTACAACGACTCCGAGTGGCATGTGGTCACCGTCACGCATGGCTCCAAAGCGCTCACCATGGTCGTTGATGATTATGATACCTTTAGGTAATATATAGAGAGTATATAATAACTAATACATAGAGCAATTCGAAATTATTACCTTAACAGTAAATTTCTTGAAAAGATACTGTGGTAGCTACGAATTTTTTTCCAAATAATTACAAAATTTAAACAATATTTTAATTTATTCAAAAATCCAATGAATCAATTCGTGTTTTGCTTTATATTATTCTCAATTTCGTGTATAATATAGTATATGTCATATATGTGTAAGTATATTTGTTATTCATATATATTTATTCGTTTATATATGTAATTTCAGTATGTATGTATATCAATAATTAGTAGTACCGCATTCGAGTATTCTGACATTTCCCTATGGTTGACTGGGAGAGAATGCTTTTAGCATTAAGTCCGCCATGTACACATATTTGTACTAATGAATAAATAAATAAAAATGCTCTAATAGAAAACTCTATTAAAAGGATGCCATCGACAGATCAATGTACAAATCTTTGCTTTTGTGTTTGTCATATTTAGTCAAACATTCTTGCAATGCCTATTTTATTTTCGGAAATTTATAAACAAAACAAATGATAACTACCTAATAATATTTGGGAAAAATGTCTAAGTTCACTGAGAGAACAGTCTCTTAAAGATATCCTAATGATGTCGATTCTAGTCTGCATGTAGTTCTATACAGAAATCATGTACCTTATATTATATTATATATAAATGTACCTACACTTACAATATACATATGAATGTATTGTTGAAAATAAACAGCACAGACACAGCGCCGGAACCTCTCAATATCCTGAATGGTGTGCTTTTCGTCGGCGGAGTCCAACCGGGATACATAGTCAGCGCTAAGATCGGTTCCAAGAAACCGTTCCGAGGCTGCATAGCAGACACCACTATCAAAGGCCTGGTGCTCAACTTGCTAGCGCCATATAATAATAGCAGCATCACCTTCGGAAGATGTGGGGATATCATTTCCTATGGGGGAGTACCAGGTGAGTTCCTTTGAAATTTTGTATATTCTTTATTGCACTAAGATGTAGAGTAATCATAACATTTAGAAATAATGTGAGCAAAGGCAGCCTTATGTCTACAAGAGATCTCGTCCCGTCTCATTTCGTTTCATCGACCTAACGCAGTACGTAGGAATCAATGAGTAAGCAACAAAATGGAAATATTTTTTTCACTGAGAATTCTTTTATATTTAAATAGATAACACTGTTGCCACTATTTCTTTGTCACCAGGCGACACATCATGGGCGACGCCGGCCCCATCTGAAGCAGTACTTCCCACCCCAAAACCACAACCCGAGCTCGAAGCTGTACCAGAACAAACCGAAGTACCAACTACCACAGTCCAAAGTAAGTGCATGAACCAAAATAGATAGCAACTTATGCAGAAAAACAATTGCCACAATTCAGGGCGAAAATACACTAAAGCAACATTTTCCCCGAAGAAACGCGAGTCGAAAAAACTATAAAGAATTTGATAGGAATGGAATTGCCATTGTTAACAAGTCCATGAGACAGAATGAGATAGCTACATCGGATGTCTCATTCCAACTTATACACTTGCTTACGATAACGACATTGATGGATTTGCTTGCCTTAATTTCGAACTCTGTAATATCCATGATCACAAACAAGCATTTCCAACAATTCCTAAAAAGCAAGATGACATTTGAGACTCTAAAAGTACGTCATTCTTTGAACATTTTTATGTTACGACCCCAAAATGGCTAAAGAGTGACGTTTTTAGAGTAGTGAACGTCATCTGTGTCTTTAAGCTAAACTATTACATTACTTTTCACTCCACTATTCCACGTTATAGTAAGTATTGTTCTATGTCCGTAGTTCAACCGCATCTTCGGTCAGGCATCTTTATAGAAGCTACAACGACAAGAGCACCAGAAGTGACGAGTAGGCCGCTGACCACGCTGGCGCCGACCACGCCACGCCCGCGGCCTCGACCAGAACCAGGCTGTTCGCTCGCGTATGACCCGTACTATACTACTGGCAACCCAGAGGAAGGATACAGATTTGGTAAGCAATTCTACATACATACATACATACTTACATATCTGTCACACCTATCTCCCATTAGGGTAGGCAGAAACAAAGGAACGCCAAATGCTTCGATTCAAACAAATCTCTTTCGCTTCTTCCACATTCATCAATCTTTTCATACACGCTCTCCGGTTACGGGAACTTTTAATTTGGCCCTTCTTCAGCACGTCGCCTATTGGGTCGACATACGTCCGTCTAGGGCGACCCCTACCGACATCTCCATTCAAAGCAATTCTAATATTTTTATTTATACAACTTAGAATGGCAAACAAGCTGACGGCCCACCTGATGGAAAGTGGTAACCGTCGCCTGTAGACATGAGCAGTACCACGGACATAACAGAGTATATTGTCTCGCCCATAATACCCCCCATGCGTTGCCATTCCTGAGGACTCAGATGTTATTCCTCTGTACCCAGTAAATTCACGCCATATCCCACCCTTCAAACCGAAACACAGTCATGCAAACACAACTGCTTCACGGTTGAAACACGAATGGGACAGAGGTACCCAAGCAATCGACTTTTGTACAAAGTCTCCCTCTGGTATCAGCGTAATAAAACAATAAACTTGTACCATGTAACGTGCTACAGCTTGACGTTATTATTACTGTTGCTGTCTGTATGCAACCGTAAAGAGAAGGAGTATATTGCAGTCGATCATCTCATGAGTGTTCTTATGAGATGGACAAATTCCAGTTCCACGGAGACTAGTTTCTTCGATTGTGGCTGCATAACTAAATTGTTACTGAAGTTATTTCCTCGTTGAGGTAACCAGATGTGGAAAGAGTATTTGTGTTGATTTCTAAACAAGTCTTAGTAGATATCTAGGTGTAAACTTACTCTTATTTATAAGGATATTATTTGTTATCATTAAATACTAATTGATATTCCAGGATTCATAGTGGCTTATTTAACTCTAAAGAGACGTCATTCTTTAGTCATTTTTGTATCGCAACCTTAGGATTACTAAAACAAACCTTGCGATGTTGCATGGGATAATAATTATATTATACTTTTCTATACTAAAATCAATTCCATCCAATTTGGACATTTCTCAACAGGAAACTCAATTAAATTATATATACATACTTTGTTTACAAGTGAATTCATCCTATACTAAAACTCATTCTGTTATATCCTACGTTTTAACCAGGTTCACGCAACGACAGTCGCATTGAGTACGCGACACTCCCGGGCCGACAGCTGGAAGGGTTCGACTTGACCATTAGCTTCCGGACCTTCGACAAACACGGCGGACTCATATTCTATGCGACCGCGGATGCATCGCCTGAACAGTTCCTTGCCGTCTACATGAAAGACGCAAAGGTACATTGGACTTAGTATAGTCTTGTCTAAATATTCGGAATGTATTATAAACTTGAAAATATGCTCCTCTCTTACCCCATTTTGATTCATACCTCCAACGGCCCAAATAAGAGGCTAAGCGCGGAAAAGATAGTCCAATTTTATATTACATTACATTACCCCATTTTGATTTCGCTAACGGATCGTTCACCGGAAGATCGAGTATAGACCTCATTATAACTCAATAGCAAAAAGCGGACTTGTACTGGACGATTAATCTAATGCTACGTTTGTGACAGCTCCACTTGTCGTTCAACTGCGGCGACCGCACCGCGACCGTGTCGTCGACGCAGCTCTACAACGACGCAGAGTGGCACACGGCTACCATCGTACGAAACAATGGCCACGGCAAGTTGACCATGGACGGCGAGCATATAGGCGACGCGAGCGTGTCCTGCTACGAGCCGGCTGTACTCACCGCGCCTTTCTACTACGGGGGACTCAGGAATATCACCTCTTATTACAACGAGACCGTGGTGAGTATTGACATCGATACATAACAAAGTTACAGGTGTTGACGTAACAAAGTCACTGTCCTAATACTCATGTATGAATTTGCCACATACAAAAGTCACACGTGTGTATGACGTAAGTATACCCCTTTCAGACCTGAACGATACGGGCGTGAGTTGTAACTTTAAATAATTCTAAAACCGCGCGCAATTCATTTTTACTCACGAAGCTGAAATAACATTATAGTGAGATTCTAAACCAGCCAATAGGAAATCATTTTAGCGGTTAGGTGGTGCAGTAGTCTCGTGCGTGCCGGCGAGATGGCTTGGCTCCAAAACACGAAAATATATTTAATCTGAAAGAAAAAAATCTTGGGTCTGAAAGGGATACTTGTGGATATAACAAGGACATAAAAATACAATATTATTTCATGCTGTCGTCAGCAGAACAGCTGTTAATTAATATATGTATAATAATAGCTGATAATCGTTACAGAAACATCTTTATAAGTACTCTGTAACAATTTCAACAAAACTTGACTATCTTTTCATTTACATAAATAGATCTTGTTATTACATTAACAATAATTATAATTTATTGTTAATGTAATAAATTTATAATAAAAAAAGCAGAAAAATAAATAATAGTAGTACTAACTGGTAATAGAAACTGCCTCAGGAATTGCTATATATGCACACCTGCAGTATGAGTATACATATCATCATCATCCTCATATCAGCCTTTAACTGTCCACTGCTGAACATAAGCCTCCCCCTTGGGGGATTTTGCCAGTAATTGCCACGCTAGGCAGGTGGATTGGCCATCGCAGTCAGGCTTTAGAGATGTTTCAAGAAAGACACTGTTACCCATCCCTCGCCCTCCCTTAGTCGGCTGTTACGTCACCCACGGAATAGGAAGGGGTGGCCTTTTCTATGCCAAGACCACACGGCCAATACATATCATAGTTGAAACCAATTAATAGGTTTTGTACTGTTTACCTAAATTGTTTTACATAGTTCGATATATTTGCTAACAGGGCTTTATATTTAAAAGAAACAGAAATATAAATATAGGTAATACTAACTGGCAACAGGAGCTGCCTCAGGAATTGCTAAATATACACACCTCCAGTAAGAATATATATGGTATATCATAGTTGAAACTGATTAACTAGTAGGTTTTAAACTGTTTACCCAAATTTCTTAGACAGTTCAACATATTTTCCAACAGGGCTTCTACCAGACCTTTAAGGGCTGCCTGAAGGGCCTCATGATGAACGGACAGTACGTGACGGACATTTTGTACCGCGTCAACTCACTGCGATGTATCGACGACGTAGAAGACGGTGTCTACTTCGGTCCGACTAACGACGGACACAGCAGCTATCTGAAGGTAACATTTGTTTTTTTTTTTGTTTTTATTTACTTAGGTACGGCAACAGTACACATGAGTCTGTTATGTCCATGGTACTGCTCATGTCTATAAGCGACGGTTACCACTTTCCATCATGTGGGCCGTCAGCTTGATTGCCATTCTAAGTTGTATAAAAAAAAAGTTGGCTGGGAAAAAATTTCATCAGATGTTAATTTCGCCATATGCAACCATTATTATGTATTTTTGTAAAACTTAACTAATATATCCATAGAACATTATTATACCTATCCCAGTAAATACCTACATAAGTCCATAAATAATATTCCACGTGTCAGGCAAAAATGAAAGGCACATACTTTTGAGAGCAAATACATACCTACCTGTATGTATGTCTTAAAATAAAATGACAGATAATACGCGACCTATTCCCGAATGAATAATGACTCACACACTCGCAATTATACATCCTAGTGTGTATTTTTTTAAATGTACAACACAGGAGAATAAGAATATTAAAGATTTTAAACTATTATTATATGAGTAAAAAATTAATATAACCGCCCGCATATTTAGAAATTTTGCTTCAAATTGTCTTTAATTACAATATAATCAATAAAAACTACAAATCACGATTCTAACGCCATCTAGTATGTCGTGTCTATTTCGTTTAGGAACCAACCTTCTTGAAGATTAAATATTAGTGATTTACCGTTCATACCAAAGGTAGACTGGTGGAGAATGCTGCTACAATTAACTCTGCCTTTTGTACCATTTTTTTCTGTATTCAAGTCGAAGTTATTTAAATAAACAAATAAGAAGTAATTATGAACAATATAGGTTACATTCTAATTTTGAGCCATCGTGACGAATTAACCACGATTTTTTTTTGGGGCTACTGCGTGGAGATAGATCTGATACGGTAAATTTGCATACCAAACTCAGGTCGTATTTATTAGGTACTGCGGAAATGCAATTACATGAAATCGCAAATCAGTTACTAAATGAAATACTTGTTCTAGCTCTACTCCCGTTTCGTTGTTGGCAACGAGATCTCTGTCTCGATGGACGTGAAGCCACGCAACACGACCGGATTGCTGTTCAGCGTGCACGGTAGAAAGGACTTCATGATCATGGAGCTCCTCGAGAATGAAGTGGTGGCCAGGGTCGAGAACGGACGGGGCCCATTCCAGGCCAGCTTCAAACTGGGCAACAAATTCTCGCTGTGCGATGGCAAATGGCACAAGATTCATGGTATGTGTAAAAAGGAATTTGGAAAAAAACTGTTTAGTTTCTAAACGAATTTTTACAAACAAGCTTAATTATGTATATATATTTAATAGTTAAAATATATTTTATTGCACTTTTAAAAAAATATATACAAGGATCTGTTTAACAACTTGTTAGTAAGGATGAGCTTACGTCTGAAATGTTGAGTTTAATTGTTTAAATTGTATCTCCAGCCTCCACAATTATTATTTTTAATAATTGCAACATTAGGCATAGACAACGAAAGAGAAGTTACGGTAGAGTAAGCGAGAGGGCGTGGTATGATTCTCTCTAGTGTGTGTGTAAAATAAGTAATATATATGGCTGAGGAAATTGTAATAGATAAATATAATAAAAGTATAAGTGGATTTAAAAATACGTGTTTTTTATTGCTTGGCGCAAGTGGTCATGCTTCGTTATATCAAGTATAAATCAAATTGTCAATATGAAAAATAAGGTTCTATGATGTAAGTCGCCAAGTTATAGATGGGACCGTTTTAAAAGATCGTCACCATCTTTTATTTCATCATTGCCGTTCAAGCTTATTCATTCGATATCCACATGACAGAGTTGATAATATAAGTACCATACCACCATCTTGCTATTTGGCGGTGGCTATTTTGAAAATATTACAATATTGAACTCGATTCTGATGTGTCACTAACCTCAACCTATAATTTAAATTTAAATTTGATATCATAGCGAAATCTTTATTCTAAGAACCAATATAAACTAAATTTATAATTGATTAAAATTAAAATTAATATAATTTAGTTTATTTATAAATCAATAATTTCGCAAAACTATTAAATATAATATTATTTTTATTTATTTATTTATTCTTTATTGCACAATAAAATTTTGTACAAATGGCGAGCTTAATGCCATATGGCATTCTCTACCAGCTAACCATTGGGTAAAAATAGAAAGCGTTTGAAGAGCAGATGTGGTGAAAAATATGTGACAATTATAGTAACACATTAAGGCAATACACAATATAAATATAATATACACATAAGAAATGCACATATAATACATAAACATTACTTTTAATATATATGGATATATATATATATATATATATATATATATATATATATATATATATATATATATATATATATATATATATATATACATATACATAAATTAAAACAACGATAAGCATTATGAGATATAATAACTATTAAGTAACTTGTAACTAGAGCTGGTTTTGTTGATATTGGGTTAAGAGATAAGTTGAGAGATAAAACACCTCAAAATCTACCATATTGAATATTGCACATTATACAGGCAGAACTAAAAAGTAAAAGCAAAATTTTAGCATAACCCCCGAAATTGGTTCAGAAGAACGGGTTCTAATTGACGTGATCACATTATACTGTGGTATCAAATTGAAAAGTGAATATTAGAAATAGATTCCAAAAATGGCGATTCAGAATCGAACCCACTGTATTTACACCGCACCATATCTTTGCAGGCGGATTGGCCATCACAGTTAGGCTTTAGAGATGTTTTAAGAGAGACCCTGCTGCCTATCCCTCGCCCTCCTTAGTCGCCTCTTAGGACACCCACAGGAAAGGAAGGGGTAGCCTATTCTATGCCGGGACCACATCAGCCAGGGAGCCAGGGATCCCCTGGAAAATTATCTTAAATACACCAATGAATGAGTACTTAAACTACGCATTGTTTTCCAGTGGTGAAGTCGCGCCACGTGGTGTCGGTCGGTGTGGATGGCCACTTCTCCGACGCCGGCGTCGGGCAGTCTCCATCCACGGACACCCGGTACGGACTGTACATCGGCGGGCACGAGAGGCCCGTTCACAGGGTTCCAGGTAAGTTACAGAGAACCTTACTACTACAAAATACTGTGCTGCTCTTAAATTATATAGACAGAGCATCGAGTTTCAAAAACAGGTCAACTTTTTGACAGTTGACAGTTAGCTGTCAAAAAGTTGACCCGTTGACTAATTTTTTTTTATTAGTGTTGTATATACTTACGCTCGAAATTGATCTTGACGTATTTATATTTAATTATTTAATAAATAAAATCAGTTTTTATTAAAAAGATACAAAATATATAAGACAAAATAAACATAGAAAGTATAAAGGGATCACTTATAACTATTTATCACGTAAAATTGTATGAAAAAGTTGATTCACTTTTCTCGAAGCATTCGTGTAGAGCACCTTAAATTGTATAAGTAGAGACACTATCTAAGAATCTAATCTAAAGTGCTGCCATAACAACAGTTTACTGACACCAATATCCATTAACACGGACAAAACTTTACACAAAATAAACGTTTAAATTCTGAAATTACTAGATATATAATACAACCAAAAATAAAGAAATCAAATTTAAAATAAAATCTCAATATATTTTCAAAATTATTTCTTTATGTAACATAGAAATGGAAATATGCAAGTTAGAAAAGTTCTACATCTATTTCGTTGGATTAATTTTGTATTTATTGGTAATAATTCTTGGGCACAAAACCTTCGTCATGCATGCATGTTGACACAGAAGGTTTTTTAACCCTTCTTTGCATAATGGTGGAAATTTCCATCATACTCGTAACATTGAATGCCCAAAAATTATATAAAAGAACAAGTACATTTTAAGTTGATCGTGCCTGGATACTTTTTTAATGTCCATTACAGAAAAAAAACATAGCTGTCAAATTTATATTTTAAACATTTTTCCTTTAATTTTGAACATGAATTATATCAGCTTAATTTATTTCACCAATAAAAAAATCATGCAAAGAAGGGTTAATTTTCAAATAAATGTATAATGAAATAATACTACTAAAAATGTGTATTAGAATTGTTCTCTTTCATTTTACGTTCTCACATATTTTATATGTCAATTATGGACTAAACGTCGAGTAATGTTATACGTGTTAAAATATATTTGCAGTCAACTTGTACTTTACTACCACTTTTCTTAGTATTTTATTTTATTTTTTTTATTTATTTACTAAGGTACACGGGCGAGGAGAGGCTACGTCGGCTGCATCAAGAACATAAAGATCAAAGACAAGAATATTCCCATACCGCTGACTGGAGCCGGCAGAAACACGCATATTGGCGTCTGTCCCAACGATTAATATATGCCATTGGATAAATTAGAAAAAATCCTAGACTCGAATTTCTTATTAATATATCATGCTGTAAATCAGATATCAGGCTGAATGTTAAAACTAAGCTCAGATGTAGTAGAAATCATTAGTAACCATTTAAAGTGTACAAATTTTTTTACGCTAATAATTTTTCCCTTAAAACCATAAATTGGAAAGTTAATAAAACATTATAAGTTTTCCATACTGGATACAAATGCGCGACGATAATATGGATGGCCTAAAATTGTTTTCCAACCTGTTTCTTTGAGGGAATATTCGGTTTCACTGGTAACTGGTTCTCTTATAAGGTTTAATTTCATACAAGTTTACTAGCCACTTCTACAATATAATTAAGTTTTAAGACGTAAACTGTATAGGAAGACAAACTAACCTTCAGTTATTGTAAAGAGGCAGCAATATATTTCCTCTATAAATAATATCATAAAGTCACAATGTGTACTTACCTCAAATACTGCATAATCGGGTATCTATAACTTAAGTTCATAATCTATAAATGTATAAAGCAAATCTTCAGAAATTAAAAATATTCTGGAAGTATGAAAACGTATTACCTTCTTGTTCTATTATTGTTTTTAGATTCACTATTTTGATATGTACAAATATTCTACTTACATTATGTAACAATATTTCCAAACCTATATATAAATATACAGACTGAAGACCACAATCTCTTTTATTATATTTTCCTATACTCACATACCCCGTTAAGGACATTTTTTTTTAATAAATTTAAAATACCAGTAAGACATTTATAGATGAGGATGTAAAGAGCAGCAATATGTAGTACTACTATCAGTCTCAACTATTCCATAATGAAAGCAAAATTTTTTATTTTATATTTACAATAATTATAGACATCAATAGACCTAGTGCTACAGGTAATTGGAATATGATTTTGATGTTTCACCATATCTATCATTAACTGTCCCCTACTGAACTTCTTGGGAAAAGCCTCCCCCATGAGTATTGCCTATAATAATGTTTTTAGTGGGACGCTGCTGCCTATCTCTCTACAAGGTGATTAAGGGAACTTAATGGTGAGACCATTAAGTTCCCTTAATCACCTTTTATCACACCCACGGGAAAGGAAGGAATGACCTATTCTAGGCCAGGATCACAAAGAGGTTTTGATGTTTGGGTTACATAAAATAGATATAACAAAAACAAAACATCATTGAGACAAAACATGTTTTTAATAAAGATATCATAACAATGAACAGTTTATTTTTATTAAAAATTGGTTCAATAAAAAATTTAACAAAAACAGAACATCACTGAGACAAAATGTTTTCAATAAAGAAATCATAGCAACAATGAACAGTTTATTTTCATTAATTGTAAAGAAAATAAACATACTTGAAAATTGGTTCAATAAAAATTAAACAAAAACAAAACATCATTGAGACAAAATATGTTTTTAATAAAGAAATCATAGTAACAATAAACAGTTTATTTTTATTAATTATAAAGTAAATAAACATGCTTGTAAATTGGTTTAATAAAAAAAATATATACTTCTAACATAAACTAAATGTGGTAGATTAATACAAAAAAATTCTTAACCTAATTCAGATAAAGCCGCCAGAAAACTGACGGTAACTACAAAATATATAAACTTTTCATGCAAACAGACCGACACAGATGTTGCCGTTATAGACCTACATATTCGTGACAAATTCGTTTGATACAAATAGATACACAATAGAATCTGAATTATCCGAATATCGGTTATCCGAATATTCAATTATCCGGACTTATTTTTTTTACTTTAATTACCAATTTAGATATATATTAATTAGATAAATAGGTATCATATAATACATTATCTTTATGGCTCGTATTTTTTTTTTACATTGTATTGTTTAAATGATATATACACAGCCCTTTACAGAATAACAAAATATTAAAATTTAATTGCATATTGTTTGATTTGTCTTTGAAAGCGATTATCCGGATTTTCGATTATACGGAATACCCCTGATTTTGTTTGATTCCGTAATCGTGATGCTATTGTAGTACCTATCTATACATAGTACAAAAACTTAACTTATATAAAAGTGCCACTACTGCCAAATTGTATATAAATTTAGTCAAGAAAAATATTGAAATAAAAAAAGTAATAATATTAAAAGACAAGTAATAATGTAACATTATCGCGAGAAGCAAAGAACTACGCACACTCAAACCGAGTATAAAATGACGAGTACACAATTATAAAAGGTTGGTGGTGAGATCTTCACAATGCATCCGGTGGTGGGCCGTACCACTGGTCCTGCTGCATGTCCGCTTCTATGATGGCCATGGAGATCAGACAATCGATGTGGTGCGACATCCAATCGCGCTTCTGGCAGTACATCGAGCAGTACGGAGTGCGACGGCAGAGTGAGCAAACCGCTGTCGCCTCGCGGTTGCAATTCGCGCACTGTCCAAATAATACTACACATCAGGATAGCTGGTAAATATCTCTTCCAGAGAGCAATATAACTATTTCGACGTATCTTTCTTTACTAATGCAATTTTTTTTAAGGAATTACCATTTATATTTATTAAAATTTTGCCATTATAAGTTGCATAAAAAAGCACTATGCTCCATACTTGATCAAGTGGCAACAAATATGAATGTTTTGACACTTCTAACATTATTATTTTTAATAAGAGCACAAATGGGATTGCTAGCATCAGCATATATAAAAACAACAAACCCTCATAGTTTCACCATTGGCGTTCACGCTGGCCGCTTGCTGCGCCCACGCTTGTTCCTGCTCGAAATGCCCGAACTGCTGAGCGGTGAATACTCTGATCTCTTCGATACACTGCATAAAGTCTCCAGCCAAGCTGATCATCCCTTGAGTTATGTCTTCCAAACGATTAATCACAGCATCCACTGAAAACCCTATAGAACACAACGTAGTCTTGAGTATTTAATTAAAATTTGTATATTTTATTAGCAATGCCAATATGCCATTATACTGAGCATCCCGGGTTTATTCTACTGGTGTACTTTCTAGTGAGTGACATATGTAATTTTTTTTATGCAACTTAGAATCGCAAACAAGCTGACGGCCCACCTGATGGAAAGTGGTAACCGTCGCCTATAGACATGAGCAGTACCATAGGCATAACAGAGTGTACTGTTTTCCCCATGATACCCCCCATGTGTTGCCATTCTTGAGGACTCAAGTGTTATTTCTCTGTATCCTGTAAATTCACTGCCATATCCCACCCATCAAACCGAAACACAGCCATGCAAACAACTGCTTCACGGCAAAAACACGAATGGGACAGAGGTGCCCAAGCAAACAATTTTTGTACAAAGTTCCCCTCTGGTACATTATATTAACCAATTTCTTTCTTTTATTAAAGAAAAAAAAATATTCATATTTAGTGGAAGAAGAAAACATGGTGACAAGTCCTTGCCAAGTTTTAAGGTATTGGTGCAACAAAGTGGAAAAAAATCATAAAAATATTGGTGGCACACATATTGCCACAACCAGTAACATGCAAACATCTTTTCCAACATCCACATTTATAGTATCACTGAGATAGTAATAGTAGTGTACCAGAGGGAGACTTTGTACAAAAGTCAATTGCTTGGGTACCTCTGTCCCATTCGTGTTGCAACCGTGAAGCAGTTGTGTTTGCATGGCTGTGTTTCAGTTTGAAGGGTGGGACATGGCGTGAATTTACAGGGTACAGACGAATAACATCTGAGTCCTCAAGAATGGGAACGCAACGGGGTATCATGGGGAAAACAGTACACTCTATTATGCCCATGGTACTGATCATGTCTATAGGTGACAGTTTCCACTTTCCATCAGGTGGGCCGTCAGCTTGTTTGCCATTCTAAGTTGTATAAAAAAAAAGGGTAACATGCAACTAAACTTATTTTATTTTCATAGAATAATTAAATACCCTAGCACATGAAAGAAGACACCTGCTCCAGCATGACAAGTAACAAACAATATTAATGTAGAAGTAGAATATAAAAATTAAAAAAATAATCTGTAATGGATGACAGAATAGTCATATAATGTAATATGTAATTTCAAAGCATACAAACAAACAACAAAAATAAAAACAACCGCATATTAACAAACAAATGGGCGTTCCGAATGTAATCCATTCAAATTTCATAAATCACTTACGCTATAAAAATCAAATATAGACATTTGGAAGATTTTATATAGATTCTAGTTGTACAAGTGATTATTTCAAAATATACATGCCACATGTTCCTCCTGGCCAATCCACCTCCAAGTGGTTCCCCACGGGGCGGTCAACCTGACGGTATATTTTTTTTTTGATCGGTGAAAATGATATGGTAACTCCGCCTGCGCTAACGGGATACGCTGGCGGAGCACCAGTGAAGGGTGATAGATGAGAATGAAAACAGGCCAGTTAGCCCATTATCAGGAATTAACCATGATAGTTTCCAGGGGGAACCGCGAGGAGGTCGACCTGGTTGGGTATATTGCTAACAATGGGATTCTCAGTCTCCATTACTAACAATCCCTTTCCCCCCAAAATTGACGGTATATTGTTAACAATGGGACTGGTAGTCCGCATTACTAACAATCCCAAACCCCCTACATACACTGTTGGGTATGGGTCCTCACAGGAAAAGGATATAATAATATAAAAAACGGCAAAAGAAAAACTAAAAACTAACCTGTCTCAGGCGCTGGTATAAAATCTATGTTCTCCAGTGAGTTATAGTCGATATTCTCTAAATCTTCAGGAAAGAACTGCCACGTATCATTCGATAGATTGTCGTCATTTATTAAGTCAAAGTCGAAATCAAAGTCTATCATATTATTAGCATCCTCGTATATTTCTGGCCACTCTTCAACATCGTTGACATCTCTTCTTGTATTAATGGTGTGAATATTCGAATCGATCCCATTGTTATATAACAAACAAACAAAAAACTAATATTAAAAAGGGAAAAGGATTAGATTGTTCTCAAAAATTGCTCAGCAGTTTTTAAAAATTCTTCTACCATCTATAGAAAGCTACATTTTTATCGATTATTAACGAAATCGAAACAATTACATCGGTACTGAACAAAAATAATTTTAAAATTGTTTTTCTTTACCTTTCTGAACCGTTGCGCTCCATTATCATGTAACAAATATAAAATAAACTAATAGAAAGTAGAGAGACGTCTAAACCCGACGTGACTAGCAAATCGTGAGATTCAGAGTGAGAATCTGTTAGGTCGAGGGTAGTTCAGTATGTATATATCATCTATGGGCAGTTCGTTCGTAATACCAATTTTTTTACTTGTCAGTTTTTTTTAATTCAGACCACCTTCACAGTAGTGATGATATTATTTGCCGTAAAATGGGGGGAATAGAAATAGCGAGGTAAATAGAATAATTTTCGGGAAAATTTTTAAAGAGAATAATCACGATAAATTTTGATAAGAAAGTGTTTAATGATATTGATATATTTGATAAAATTTAAAAAGACCCTTCTATATTTTACTAATGATGGATTAATATTATAATATATTTATTTTTATAATATTAATATATTTTATTTATGTCTCCTCACAAACAACTTAAATTTACACATAGGTATTCAGGATATAATATGGAACTCTGCTGTGAAGAGCTGGTGTCTGTAATAGGTTAAGACCTGTAGTACATATAATATAGATAGTATTATAGACGCTAGTGTTTCTGTAAGCCGCCTCTAAAGTTGATGATTTGCGAACGTAAAAATTCCAGCCGATTGAGAGAAATTCCTGTTGTCTTATATACGAACACCTTATTTTTAAACGAGTATATGTTATATATTAATGATTCGTAATCAATAGAGATAAAAAAGAATTTTGTATTATTTTTAAATTACTAATTAAAAATTTACGATGGTATTATTTTTTTTTTTAAATCTTGCTATTTTGCTGTAAATACGAGTAATAGTTGTTAAAGCCTGACAAAAGAGAAATAGCGACGTCATTCACATTGTATTACCAGAGGGAGACTTTGTACAAAAGTCGATTGCTTGGGTACCTCTGTCCTATTCGTGTTTCAACCGTGAAGGAGTTGTGTTTGCATGGCTGTGTTTCGGTTTGAAGGGTGGGATATGGCGTGAATTTACTGGGTACAGAGGAATAACACCTGAGTCCTCAGGAATGACAACGCATGGGGGGTATCATGGGCGAAACAGTATACTCTGTTATGTCCATGGTACTGCTCATGTCTATAGGCGACGGTTACCACTTTCCATCAGGTGGGCCGTCAGCTTGTTTGCCATTCTAAGTTGTATAAAAAAAAATTATAATAACTTTTAACTTGGCTTGGGCGCTGCGCTTTCTTTTGTTTTTCTACCTATCTACCCGTTTTTAAAATTACTTATAAAGCTTATCAATTTAATTTGCATGAATGTACCCGTTCTGTAAATTTTATTAAATTCTTTATTAATAATAATGTTATTTCTAAATATTTCGAGTGTTTTAAGTAAGGCAATCACTTCAAAGACAATACTAAACTAATATTACATAATATCTTTATATATTTTCAGAAGTCCATATTTCTAAATTCTTACTTATATTATTGTTTATTTTGTACAAATTGCAAGAGTTAGTCTCAAGGCTTTTGGCGATAAACACAACTTTAAAATATTCTATTCAACTTTTAAATAATTGACTATAAGTTGACAGAACGAGTCTCATACAGAGGACTGTATGAGATAGGACCGCTATTGTATGTTCAATTGTTTGCCTAATGTTTTTTTTTTTTAATGTATGTTAATGGAATGGTAATGGACTGCCCGCCTGCAGTAACGGTATACGCTGGCGGGACACCAGTGAGGGATGATAGGTGAGGATGAAAGGGAAGGTCAATTAGCCCACGCTTACCACTGTACCACAAGAAATTAAATACGTTAATTTCCAGGGAAGACCTATAGTTAATCTGACAAAGTATATTGCTAGTAATTGGCCCGACAAGTGACTCTCACTTTACTGCCATATAAAGTTATTCCCATAGATAAAATGTTGAAGGATGGAAATATAATTGTGTAGCTTGCAATATTATTGTGTAAGTGGGTATTAGTATCGTTTCATGATGTGTTTGTACGATTTATTGATTTCGACGAACTATTTACAATATGTCAAATTTATAGAATGTATGTGTATAATGTTTTATTATTATTTTATTTATTTATACTTATTATTAATTATTTATTGATACTTTTAATTATTTTTTTTATACCACTGAGGTGGCAAACAAGCATACGGCACACCTGATGGTAAGCGGTTACCTATAGCCTATGAACGCCTGCAATACCAGAGGTATTACGCGCGCGTTGCCGACCCTGAAGAAACCTCTTTACCCCCCTTTTGAAGAACTCCATGCTGTAGTCTCTTGGGAAAACCTCGGCAGGGAGCTCATTCCATAACCTGAGTGTTCGTGGGAGAAAGCATCACTGAAACCGCGTTGTACGCGACCATTTAAGCTGTAAGGTATGAGGGTGAACTCCCTGTCGATGGTGAGCCGTACGATGATAGAAAGTGGCCGTGCTGTAGGCATCATATTGAATAATTCCTCTGAGCACAATCCGTTGTATAAGCGGTAGAACACGCAGAGTGAGGCAAAATCTCTCCTAAGACTTAAGGGTTCGATAACGCTTGCAATTAAATCTTACGATACTCACAGGAAAGGTAGGGGCGGCATATTATTTATAAATCATTGTTATTGCACATGTAAATTATTATAAGAAAATCCAACCGAAATTGAGAAATTGGTCACGCCAAGAACGCAGCCGACGAGACTGATGTGGCCGACAGGAGGGCCACGGACATCGTATTTATTTTTTTTATTTATTCTTTATTGACCACAGTACAGAAAATTTTCTGGTACAAAAGGCGGATACAATATAGCGTTAGCGTATATATATATACGCTTGGTCACGGGACTCACGCGCAAGTCGCGCAGGCGCTTTGTGATTTTAGCTGCGCGCGCATACCGCGCACGAGCCAGCGACTAGAGAGTGTTTTATTAACTTGGACAATTTAAAAATTTATTCGTTTTATTGTAAAATAATTATTGTTCTTTTTAATTATTAATTAAATATATTTAAAAGATGAACCCTACTATCAATCCTATATAATTATACGATGAAAAATTGAAAATTGTTACAGATAAACAATTACATGTACATATCCATATTGACTTACAAATCACAGCCCATATAATGGAGAACTACTGCACATAATGATTATATAAATATACATGCATTGATACATTAAACAAATAATACTTAGGGGGCATCCATTAATTACGTGAGCTCTTTTTCGATCAGTTTAGACTCCCCCCCCCCCTTAGGTGAGATTTAGTGAGATTTGCCTTGATCCCCCCCCCCTTACGTGAGATTGACGCAAAAAATATTTTAACCTTAATTTATATTTATTATTCGGGAAAATAATAAATCGTTCAGGTATACTATAATTAATTTATTTAAATTAAATAAAATTCAAAGTAAAAACATAAAAACAACACTTTCTTTTAAATTTTTACTCAATCCATGGAGGCTCGTGTATTTTTTCAATCGAAATAATTGGACACATATCATCTGGGATTTCTAGTAGTGCAGGAAGACAATCACTGGAAACGTCTACGTTTATTTTTAATATTTTAGTAATATCCTTAATATTTTATATTTTTTTAAGTTGACGTGGGATTTTTGATTTACCCCCCCCCCCCCTCGGTTTAAATGAGATTTGGTGAGAATTCATTAGACCCCTCCTCCCCTATTCTGAGCTCACGTAATTAATGGATGCCCCCTTACACATATTTATAGAATATTGAATTTATTTAAAATACACGTTTACATACAATATTACGTTGAATTTAAATTATACCTATATCTAATTATTTCCCATAGAAAAAGATGCTGAAAGAAAGTGGGCCCAGCCCGAGAATCAAGCTCCAAAGTGTTACACACAGTGCATAACACTTTGGGCCCCGACTTGACCCTCGCCGCGGGTTCCTTGGAGAATGCAAACAGGACGTTAGATAGACAGAAGATAGAAAGAGGTGAAATATCTATGTACAATTAAATTAACCTACTTGATGGAAAAGAAAGTAATGATGTTGACAAGTGGCTATGTGATGAATATTTACAATATTTATTTACAGACGCCACATGTTAATAAGATATAATGGCGGAGAACCAGTGGAGGATAAAACGATGACAAAGACCTTGCAGAGTAGCTAACGATAAAATAAATGACTGAAAGAATAAATAATAAATTAATGAATATATTATTGTATTAATCACTGTATGTTACATATAAAAATAACGTATGATAATTGTACTTTATTAAGTAAACAATGTGACCTAAGTGGCAAAATTGTATCAAGAGAGTTCAGTAAAGGATTTGCAAGAGGTCAACGACCCCACGTCTCCCGGCCGCGGACCGTAAACTGGATGTGAAGGGTTCGTTGGATAAAACAATAAAAATATAAGATACTGAATAAAGATATATTATATTGTTCCCTAGTACAATAATAGATGTTTTAAAAATAATGACGTTTCTCTAATAACAAAATATTCATTGACATAAAAAGAAAACAAATAAGTTCTATTTTTAAAAGTAACATAAATATAACCTCAACACCGGAGGAACTCAAGCGGTTGATTGAACAGGTAAATACCATTTATTTATTCTACCAAACTATTTGTTCTACCAAAGTATCTATAGATTATATTACAATCAATGGCAACCATATTTTTATCATCATTATCACATCAGCGGTTAACTATTTTAATTGATTGAAAAATTTTAAAGCGTGCAGGATTTCAACTCTCACACGCTACACCATGCCGGAATCGATGCTTTTACCGACAAAGTTACCGTTTTCGTTTTCGAAATCAACAATCATTACATTCACGCTTACTTTAACACCTACTTCAAAATGTTCAATCGCTCGATAGTTATTGAAATATTATTTTTTTGATGGGTGAAAATGGTATGGTAACTCTGCCTGCGCTAGCGGGATACGGTGGCGGAACACCAGTGAAGGGTTAGATATGAGAATGAAAACAGACCAGTTAGCCCATCATGATGAATTCATCAGGAATTAACCATGATAGTTTCCAGGGGGAACCGCGAGGAGGTCGACCTGGTTGGGTATATTGCTAGCAATGGGATTCTCAGTCTCCATTACTAACAATCCCTTTCCCCCGTTATTAAAATATTATTTTCATATTTTATACCAATTTTTACCTATCTATTTTTATTAGTAACACACAAGTTTAAGGTCTGAATCTAAAATAATTACAACGGCTTTAAAACCAAAACTCTCTTACTTAATCTGTTATCCTTTTATGTACATAATAAATAAAATACAATTTCACGTGAATAGGCGAGAACAGTAGCCAACCGTATCCAAGTGGGAGTCAGTTTCGACAGCCAGTCGACGCTGCAGCCGCGCCTGCCCGACAACCTGGATGAAATGGCCACCACCACCAACGTCTCGGCCTACTTCCGCACCAAAAGGAAGGACGGCTTCCTTCTGTATCTTGGCAACCCTAAGGGCACCAATTTGAGGAAAACAGAATCTTTAAGTCTGATAGAATGAACTTGCAGGTATACTTTGGCTTTATTTATCAATCATTGTTATTGTACATGCAAAAAAAATGTAAAATTCGTCACGCCAAGAACTCAGCCGACGAGACTGAGGCAGCTGACAGGATGGCCACGAATATCGTATTTTTTTTTTTATTTATTCTTTATTGACCACATTACAAAAAAAAATGTCTGGTACATCTTCAAATTATTATTATATTATATATTTATTTAATTTTATTGCACCATAAATAAAAATATACAATGACAAGTGAATAATTCAAGTGAAATACAGTAACATAAATACACATTGAAATATATACATAAAGGTACAAAAGGCGGTGTTATCGCTAGGGCAATCTCTTACAGACAACCTTTGGTTAATCTTTGGAGAACAGATAGAAATGGGCAGGTGGCGCAAAAGTGAATAAATAATTTTTCGTGCATAAAATACAAAAACCTGTAACGTACCTGCATAACTTCCGTAGTTACATCATATAGCAAAACTTATAAATTTAAAAAAATTTAGAATAATCAAATTGTCTTCCAATTTATTATACTCACATACCCCCTTAGACATATTTTTATAAATAAATACCAATAATAAATATGGTAAATGAGAATGTAAAAAGCAGTAATATGTAGATATGTACTATCAGTCTCTCCCTCCACCCGTCTCATATATTAAATCATTCCATGAAAGCTAAATTATCATCATCATCATGATATCAGCCTTTAGCTGTCCACTGCTGAACATAAACCTCCCCCTTGGTAAGTTTTGCCAGTAATATATATATATATATATATATATATATATATATATATATATATATATATATATATATATATATATATATTACCTTGTTTGCCTTTCTTTCATTCCCTTAATCGCCTTTTATGACACCCACAGGAAAGGAAGGAATAACCTGTTCTAGGCCAGGATCACAAAGAGGTTTCGATGTTTGGGCTACATAAAATAGATATAACAAAAACAAAATATCATTGAGACAAAATATGTTTTTAATAAAGAAATCATAGCAACAATGAACGCAGTTTATCAATTATATTTATTTTCTTTAATTGTAAAAAAAAAATATAATTAAACATTGGTTCAATAAAAACAATATTATACTTCTAATATGACCTAATGTGGTAGATTAATACATAGGAATTATTTTAATTTAATTTACACAAAGCCGCCAGATACACTGACTGTAACTACAAAACATATAAACATTTCATACAAACCCGTCACAGATTTTGCCGTTATAGATCCACATATTAGTTTGATACAAACAGATATACAGTAGAATCTAGATTATCCGAACACCAGTTATCTAAATAATGAATTATCCGGACTTATTCTTTATGGTTCTAATTATCGATTTAGAAGTGGTATTATGTATTAATTGGATAAATAGGTATCACATAATACATTACCTTTATAACTCGTAATTTTATTACATCCTATTTGTTTAAATGACATATGCAAAACTCTTTACAAATTAACAAAATATTAAAATTTAATTGCATATTGTTTGATTTGTCTTTGAAAGCGATTATCCGGATTTTCGATTATACGGAATACCCCTGATTTTGTTTGATTCCGTAATCGTGATGCTATTGTAGCACCTATCTATACATAGTACAAAAACTTAACTTATATAAAGGTGCCACTACTGCCAAATTATATATAAATTTGGTCAAGAAATTTATTGAAATAAAAAAAAATACTAATGAAAGACAGTAAAAAATATAAATAAAGACAGTAATATAATAATAATAAAATGGAGGAATATCGAGATAAGAACTACTCACGATCAAACCGAGTACAAAATGACGTCACAGGCTTGTAGTGAAATCGTCACATTACAGTAGATGGAATGTATCACTGGTGCTGCTGCATGTCCGTGTGTATGGTGGCCACGGAGGGACAGACACTCGATCTGGTGCGACGCCCAGTCGAGCTTCTGGCAGTACGTCGAGCAGTACGGAGTGCGCCGGCGGAGCGAACTACGATTCGAAACTACAATTTGTCAAGTTTTGTCACATGGCCCTTATAATGTCAAATGTCTGTTTAAAGCAAATAAATATTTCATTTCATTTCATTTCATTATAAAACTTGCAAATGAATGTACAGGATGTAACCAACCAGTAATCATCATCATACGAGTATACACGAAACTTTAAAACTCGCACAAATTTCAATTCAACTAATATTTTAAAGTGCAAAAATTTGTTAAAATACTTATTATACTTATAATATGACCCCAATGTGAAAGGTTAATACATAGGATTTATTAATTTTATTTACACAAAACTGCCAGATACATGCAAAACATGTAAACCTTTCATAACAACCCCTCACAGATCTGCCATACAGTATTTATAATACATTTATTTGATACAAATCTATCTTTGATAAAATCATATCTAAACATAGTACTAAAACTGAACTTCATATAATTCAAAATAACGTGACGAATCGTTATTACAGCGATTAAAGGAGTCACTGCTGCCAAACTTATACATAAATTTTTTGAGATAACTTAAGGCCTTTTTCTAAAATTACCAAAAAATCATTACATACTTTACTTTTTTTACAACAATTATATGTTTTAAACTGTTGTCTTTTCCCCCATTAATTACAGGTATCTCTGCATCAACCGCTAAGTTTTTTGTGGCACAGAATATTTAAGACCTTTTTCTAGAAAGGAAAACTAATCAGGGTTAAACTTAACATCTAAGATTGTACTCTTGAATAAAATGTATGTATGCATTTAGTGAATTTCATTTAAATTTATTTTTGTCGAATTAGGGCTCAGTTAAATTATAAAATTTAAATTATTTCTGATAAATTTTGAAATGTAATCTCGAGTCTTTTGGTCCAATGTATCAAGCTCTATGTTGTGTAATGTTGATGTGTTATGATTCAGAATACAGGACATTTAAGTGGGATTTTAAATTAACTCTATTTGCAAACCATCTACGTAACTCTTCATTAAGCGAGACCAACAATCAGTGCTTTCTTTAATGCGATACTAGCAGTCTTTAAAAAGACCTTGTTATGAATAGATGTATAGTTTATAATCATAGACCATAACACCATACCTCCTTATTAATAAAAATTCAAATAGGTTTGAAATTTTTATATTTATTTTCATCATCATCATCATATCAAAGAAGTTAAACTTCAGGAGAAAAGACGTACTGAGGAGTGTTGTGAGCTCACAAAGTGTACTCTCAAGTAGGTCTACAGAATTGTTCGTAACTGTATGTAACAGTTACCACTTCCTATATATTTTTGCTATATAAAAATACCGATGTATAGACGCTTATTAAGACTTCATAAAAAATAATTAGAAGAACATAACACCCGAAAACAATTCATAATCATAATTTGTATATGCGAAGCCATATAACATCCTTTGAAAAGGGCATTAATCCATTTGATATATTTACACAATAAGTAGTCACAAATCATTAACACTTCCCAAATCGATTAACAGATTATAAAATGTTCACAATAATATATATAAAAAAAAAACATTACATTGACTGTACAAGTAAAAAAAAAGAATAGGAAGCGACTAAATACTATATTTGGTAAATAAAAATACATCAAATTTCACTCGCTATGGTAACTCTTAAAACGATGATTTCATTACATTATCCATAATTTTAATATATAACTTGCCAACCCGGCAAAGTTTTGGCCTCCAACGCCACCTAACCGGCCCGTTTTTCACACATGTATATATATAATACAACTGTAGAGGTCGAATGTCTGTACACAGAAAAAAAACGGTAAAAACCAAGTCAGGGGAATGTTAGAAGTGAAATAGAACGTATTTAATTTTTTTCAAAGTTTTTGTTTCTCTAAAAACATAGATATAAGACAAATTCAAGGATTAGAGTTAACTTTTTATTTTAAATTGATATGCATTGGTTATGTTTAAAATATTCTTAGTGTACTCTTATACGCGAGACAATAATAAACTAGCAGCTAAGACAAAAAAAAATGGATAATGTTATGAACATATAAATAGCAAGTTACGATTTAAAATTAAATACAACAACGTTTAGAAGAGAAATATTAATTATAACAATATTGCAACAAAGGTACTCTACCTCTGGTTATTTCATTAGAATTGCTTTATTTAATTCATTAATATGTATGTGACACTCCAGATTAGAATATTATTAGATGTTTAGGTGAAATTAAATAATTCTGGTCATTACTTGACTAGAATTATTATAGTGATATGGACTTGTACGAGATAATGCCTGGTTCAGTAAAATACATTGCTACTGTCGCAATATACAATTCGACTTTCATAATAATAAATGATACGGTCCCTGTAGAAGAAAATTCCAAAAAGATCTACTGGGAAACCTAACTTCTTCAATATAAAATAATAATAAGACAATATACTTAATTGATAAAATAATTGATAATAATTGACAATTGTGACTGTTGATTGATGCAAATACTATTGTTTTTTTTATCTCTCTATTCTTTGTATTTTTTCAGTCATATTGTAAGTATAATAAAATTATGTTTACAACAAACATTATTTAAACATAAAAATATAGGATATTTTATATGTCGCCATTAAAACTATATGTGGAAGTATAACACTTCAGAACTGTAGACATACCTCAACAAGTGTTTCCATTTTCTATTGTGGTACACAGTTCGCGATCTATAAAAAATAAAGTGCTTGAAAATTCTCACATGGTTGGCAAATTAATATTGTACTGTATATCTCATGAAGGATTGGTTGAATCTAATAAAATATATTTACTAAATAGTCTTGGCTTTGGGTGTTCTGGGTAAAGCCCACAAATTATTGTAATAATCCGAGAACTAGGCAGTTGGTATGATTCTGTGGCACATAGTATATATTATCTACCACTTTAACCTAACACATTTACAGTAGAATCTCGATTATCAAAATCCAATTAAACCAAGGGTATTCCATATAATCGAAAATCCGGATAATCGATTTATCAATCAATAATTAAATTTTGTTTTCATTATATACATCATTTAGACAATGCAATATAGAAAGAAATTACCGAGCTATAAAGATAATAGCTTACGTAATACCTATGTAAATTAAACTTTTGGTTAAAAATTATTAGTTATTAATCTTTGACATAATGAATCACATCTAATCGTCACGGCCAAGTCCCTGATTTGCTTCAGTTGTAACAACTGTATGAGATCCGATTCGTCCTGTCTTTCAAACTATTTAAAAGCAACATCCAGAGCTTCAAAAGCTTCCGCGTACGATGGTACTCGATATATATTACCAATTTCAGTCTCTTCTTCGTCTTCTCAATTCAATTCAATTTATTTATTGCATTCTACAATCTTCTTTCTTGGTATTATTCAAATTGGCAATGATTTCTTCATCAGTTACAATTTGGAATCCAAGATCTTCTCTATCGCAGTTCAGCCACCCTTTAATATTTTCTTCATCACACCCTTTACCAATGCTAAGAATTTTTACTGCTTCTGTTATTTCTTTGAAAACGTCGTGCGGTTTAATAGAAGAATTGAATGGAGTCTATAATAATTAAGCCATGCTATTGTTAATGTTTGCGATTCAACAGAGTTCCACGCTTCTACCAGCATATAGTAACAACTTTTTAAATTTATCCCTTTAAAAAATTCAACATCTTTTCTATTTCACTGCTGTCCGCTGACAAAAGACTACGCAGTAGCTGCTTTCTGTATTATCGGTTTAATGTTTCAATGACACTTTATTCCATAGGTTGCAAAGTCGATGTTATTTAGGGGGCAAAACTTTATTGTAAACTTCCCATTTTCTCGGTTTATTGTTTGCGGAATAGTGAGTTGACGCCTTATATACCAAGAATAACACATAGCACTCTTTTTCCACCTCCTTTTGAATTTCTTTTAAATTTCTTCACCTCAGGAATAAATGTAGTTTTATACCAAATAAAAAAATATCTATGTTCATCCATGTTTTTTGTTGGTTAGCGTAAGTGAAGGGTCTTTTGACATGTTTTAAACAACCTGGATTTTTTGATTTGCCAATAAGGAAAAGTAGCAACGGATGTGTTCCTTTAGCGTTCGCGCAAACCATACCCATAACTCTGCAATACTCACTTTGTGCCCCAGTGCTACATTTTCACGGGGCAATCTACTTGGTAAAGCTTTCCAATTAAAACCTATTTCGTCTGCATTGTATAAAAAATCGTATTCATCATCATTCATTTCTAAATCGATTATTGGAGCTGTGAAGAATAAGTCCAGTTATTCGAATATTCGGATAATCGAGATTCTACTACACTAACATATTTACAGCAAATTTACAAAAAAATTAAAAAAAAAACAATGCAATTTTTATGTATTAGTTGCAATAAACTGTTCATTAAATAATGCAGTCTTCACCACCTTTTAGAATATATTATACAACAATAACAAAATATCATGCTAACGACGGTGATCCATAGCGGAGTAGTATTTACAGTCTAGTTGCAGTGGAAACTTTTGTTTACAGTAATACTATTGTGATGAAATTTAGTCCAATTCATCCCTACTAAGATACAAGACTGCATATTCACCACTAAGAAAACCCTATTTGCTTCAAAATTTCAGAACACGTCCGTTACTATCGCCGAAAATAGTGGGATTCTTGGTATAGACATTTCCAGTACAATTGGGTTCCGAAATCATCTGGAGAACAAAATCGAAGTGGCGTTCAAAAAGCTCGGAATGCTAAATGAAACAAAGCAGTACTTCTCTCCGAAACAGAGACTGCTATTATATAAGTCACAAGTCCAACCCCAATTGGAGTACTGTTCTCACTTGTGGGCGGAAGCTACTGGATATCAGTTTAGTCAACTTTGATGGACCACATAAAGAGGCGTGTTATGAGAATTGTCGATGATACCAGGTTAACAGTCCGTATTGAGCCCCTTAATTTAAGGCGAGACTTTACATCTATTTATATCTTCTATCGCCTTACATAGGCGGTAGAAAATACAATTGTATTCTAAAGAACTCTTCAATATAATTCCTACAGCCACCTTACACCATTGAGCACATCGAATCAATTCTCACACTTTTGAACCAGAAAGTTCACGCACAGTGCAGTTTAAGAAGAGCTTCCTCCCGCGAACACTAAATTTGTGGAATAATCTATCTGCCGAAGCTTTCCCAAGAGACTACTGTATGGAGTTCTTCAAAAATAGGGTATTAAGGTTTTTAAGGTTTTAAGGATCAGCAACACGCGCGTGACGTCATGTCCATAGACTACGGTAAGCCCATTTACTATTAGACAAACCGTATGCTTGGTTGCCACCATAGTTGTATAAAAAAATGTACACTTGACATGGCAACATTTTGACAAAATGTTTACTTCGAGCCTACCGTAATCTCTTAGAATCACAAACACTTATATTTTATGGTGAAGATGACAAACAAGCATACAGCACGTCTGGTGGTAAACGGTTACTGTAACCTATAAACGCCTGCGATAGTAGGGGTTTCACGTGTGCGTTGCCGACTCTTTAGAAGCCTTAATATGCCTTACGACATATACGAGTACATGTGACAATAAGCGAGTCGCACATTCTCACTGCAGCGTCTGTCAGCTTAGAAGAAGTGTACCGTCAGCGAGCTTATTACTATTAGATATAGAATGTATAACTTTAGATCATAAATAAAAACACACTTTCAAAACTCGATTTAGGCTGCGAAGTTAACAAAAAGTGTATATTAACAACAAAAAATGAATATTAACAACAAGTACTATCTGCGAACTCCTATTAAGGTAGGTACCTGCTATAATATCATCTTTTATGTAGTCTCACGTAAAACTACTTGATTTCCTTTATGTTCTATTGAAACAGACTATCCCTATCAATTTATGGCGTATCTTTAATTATACTACTAACCAGAAGGTTATTGGTGCTGGCTCTCGACTATGAGCATGATAGACTGGTGCTGTTGCGTGTCCGTGTGTATGGTAGGCACGGAGCGAAGACACTCGATTTGGTGCGACGCCCAGTCGCGCTTCTGGCAGTATGTGGAGCAGTATGGAGTGCGCCGACAGAGCGAACATTCCGCTGACGCCTCGCGGTTGCAATTCGCGCACTGTCCAAATAATACTACACGTCAGGATGATTGATGACCACCTCTTCCAGAGAGTAATATAACCATTCTGACGTATATTTCTTTACAGAGAGAATAATCCTTAATAAGCTTGTAAACGTGGAAGTGAGTTTGTTGCTTTTTGGCTTGCTAACATCAACTAATATAAAATTTTGTATGCACAAAGTATTTGAAGGACTTATCATCATCATTTCATTATATATCCACTGCTGAACATAGGCCTACCCCATAGATCGCCATAAGGAAGGCTCCTGAGCCACCTGCATGTACTGACTCCCTGCAATGCATTTGAAGTCGTCACTCCATATAGTGGGGTGTCGCTGTACACTGCGTTTGCCGTACGGAGTTGTCACTCAAGGATCTCTTTCCCCCATTGGTTGTCAGTTCTTCGAGCTATGTGACCAGCCCATTGCTACTTCAGCTAGCTTATTCTTCGGGCTATGGCGGTTATTTTGGTTCTTCTGCGGATATCTTCGTGTCGGATTCTATCACGCAAAAAAAAAAAAAAACTCCAAGCATAACCCTCTCCATAGCCCGCTGATTAATTTGAAGCTTTTGCATACGGGCAATCGTGTAGGACCATGTTTCGGTTCCATGACTCACCACTGGCAACACGCACTGGTTAAAGACCGTCGTCTTCAAACTTTGAGGTATTTTGGATGAATAGATAAGGCGTAGTTTTCCGAACGCTGTCCAGCCAAGTTGGATTCGTCGGTTGACCTCTCGCCAAAATTGGACTTACCCCTTCGGACAACTTGTCCCAGGTATACATACTCGTCGACAACTTCGAGAGTAGTGTTCTCAATCGTAATCGATATAGATGTGACATGGACGTCAGACATGATTTTAGTCTTGTCCATGTTCAACTTAAGACCTACCTGTTGAGAAGCACTATTGAGGGCATTGAGCATAGTATTCAGATCCTCCAGGCATTCGGCCATGATTACTATGTCATCGGCAAATCGAAGGTGAGTGATGTATTCGCCATTGATATTTATACCATATCTTTTCCAATCCATTAGTATGCTGTGTTAACGACGTGTACAGTTGTCTATAGAACTTTTCAATCTCACTTAGAATCTCAGTTGTGGCGGAAATTATATCACCTGTATCGGTCTTCAACATTATCAGTTGGATTCGCTCAATAGCCAAATCTCTGGCGAATACTTTGGAATCTTGATTCCGCTCTCTTGACCCTTCAATACATTTGTATTGACCTGGCATATGTCACGCCGTATACATTAAGAGATTTGCATATTAAGCTACCTATATTCTGACGTAGATGTTGAAGACTGGGACCATAATTCACGCCGTTTCTTCATAAGATCTAGAATGCGATCAGAATTTTTGGGGTTTTTTAGCAAGCCCCAAAGCTTGCAAAATTTAGCTCCCACTGCTTGGACAGTTTCCACTAGCTTATTGTTGATATCGTCTGCTGTTTGTTTGAGGCTACAATTGCCACCGTCCATCAGGTCTGTTAGCTTGCTTGTCATGTCTGATATATTGCAAAAAAATATTTAGAATTTCTCTTCTTTGTTGAAACAAAAAAACGAACTGGGATACGACAATGAAATAACATGGTATAGAGGGATAATACTTTAGTTCTTAAGAATGGCAACGCATTAATCGTATCATGGGCTGCTGCAGTACCAAGGACAAAACAGAGTAAATCGTATCTGTATACTCCGTTATGTCCTTGGTACTGTTCATAAAAAACAGTTATCTCTTTCCATCAGGTGGGCCATTAGCTTTTTTGCCATTCTAAGTTGCATAAAAAACACTGGCCTCCATACATGGTCAAGTGGCATGAAAAAACATGCACCTTTTGACACTTGTAAGAACAAGAATTTTGATTGGGGGAAAAGACGTGGTTATCAAAAAAGTGATCTACCGGCCCCAACACTAGCAATATTTACACTGTCAGGTCGATATCTGCGCGGTAGGCCCGGAAATCGTCGTGGTTAATTCTCGACATATTCCTCAACTGACCTGACTTTCTCCTCGCCTATCATACCTCACTATTCTCCTGCCATTGTAAGCGAAGTAACCATTCTATTACTATCCATTACAAAGATCTCTCATGAGAACTTACCTTTTTCGACTCCGATTCATCAACGTTATGCAGTGTAACCTGCTCAGCTTCAACATGAGCGTCTACACTGGCCGCTAGCAGCGCCGACGCTCGCTCCTGCTCGAAACGCTCGATCTGACGAGCGCTAACTATTCTAACGTCTTCGATGCACTGTTTCAGCTCACCAGCCAAGCGAACCAGCCCTTGAGTTATGTCTTCTAAACGTTTTATCACGCCACCCATCTCTGGTAACCCTGTGAAACATAACGCAACTTTAAGCTATTAATTACCATTTTAAAATAAATATTCTTTATGGTAGTCTATGGGAGAGGCCTATGTTCAGCAGCACGGATGATGGCTGAGATGATGACATAAAATTTACTAATGAATTAATACAAAGGACGATTCTTGTCAAAATAAACCTATACAATTGCATAGCACAAAACATAAATGGCAAATCCCTGGATAATTCCACAGAGAATTTATCTTCAGCGAACAATCATTCTTTTGCGCAAACCTAAAAGAACTCATGGTGAAAAAAAAAACCAAGCACGGCACAGTAGTATTAGAAAAAAATCCTTGTAGTTTTATTGATATCTAAGCGAATAAGTATTGACTTATTCGCCTAGCCAGGATGGTGGTAGTTAGTCGACTATCACTAGTATTACATAGGGAAACTAGTCAGTCTCCCTATGTGGATAGGTCTACACCGAGCTGGGAGTAAAATAGTGGTACAAATACACTTTGTCACCATATAGAATTGCATTATATTCCCATCACAAATACTCTGTCATATTTTTAAGAACTCTTATGCATAACCTTATTTCCCTTAGACCATCATATCATTTCCACTACCCATATTGAAGTTCTGGAAATAACTAACAACAAGGTACAACACAAAACAACTTACAAACTAATTGCATATAAGCCTAATGATCCGACTACCTGACACTAAATTACTCGATATACATTTAAAAATTATTTTTATTTAGAAGAAAGATTAATTTATGAATTCAGGTTGTTTATGATAAGTAAATTCGCAATGCAAATAAACAACTGTCATTCAAGACGCATTGTACCACAGATGTACACAGAAATACATATAAATAAATCATTGTGGTAGATAAATTAAATATATAATAATAAAACATGCAGTTGTGTTTGCATGGCTGTGCTTTCGGTTTAAAGAGTGAGATATGGCGTGAATTTACAGGGTATAGAGGAATAATATCTGAGTCCTCAGGAATGGCAACGCATGGGGGGTATCATGGGCAAAACGATATACTCTGTTATGTCCATGGTACTGCTCATGTCTATAGGCGACGGTTACCACTTTTCATCAGGTGGGCCGTCAGCTTGTTTGCCATTCTAAGTTGTATAAATTGTGTATATATGTATGTATTGGAAGGGGTTTTGCCAGTAGTTGCCATGCTTGGCAGACGGGTTTGCAACAGCTTTGCGGTGTTTTAAGAGAAACGCTGTAGCCCATCTCTCGACAATTAAGTTTCTTTAGCTGCCCCTTACTGGAAAGGAACGGGTGGCCTATTCTATACCGGAACCACAGGACAAGGTACATTAATTCGCATTGTTTATGCAATTTGGAATAACAGTCAAGCTGACGGCCCACCTGATGGAAAGTGATAACTGTTAATTGTAGACATGAACAGCGTCAAGAATAACACGATAAATCACTTTATTATTACTATGCGACTGCAGTCTCACATCGTTGCATTGTTATACCAAAATCTAATTGCAGTGCCATACCCTTCATACTGAAACACAGCTATCCACAGCAGTTCAACGACAAAAGTACAAGCTTTTTATGACAAATAGAACGGCAAACCTGTCAGGTCCACCTAAAAATGGTAATCGTTGCCGAATACACAATTATGCATATTTTAAATACATATTCGGGAACAGAGATATTGAGAGGAGAGTAAAAGCGGGAAACAGTGTTAACGGTGCACTGCTCTCGATTATGTCAAGTAAAAATGTATCGAGCAAAGCTCGCCTTGCTATAATTCAAGGAGTACTGACACCAACACTCATGTATGGAAGCGAATCGTGGGTATGGCAGAAGAAGCATGAAAGTAAGATAAATGCTGTACAGATGAGAGCTTTGAGAAGTATGTGTGGTATTACTTTAAAAGATAGAGTAAGAAACAATGTGATTAGAGAGAAGTGTGGACTGAAAGACGATGTAGTGACAAAAATTGAAAAAGGAATGTTGCGTTGGTTTGGTCATTTGGAGAGGATGGATGAAAGAAGAATTACGAAAGAGATTTATCGAGCAAGAATGAATGGAGATGTCGGTAGGGGCCGCCCTAGACGGACGTATGTCGACCAAATAGGCGACGTGCTGAAGAAGGGCCAAATTAAAAGTACCCGTAACCGACGAGCGTGTATGACAAGATTGATGAATGTGGAAGAAGCGAAAGAGGTTTGTTTGAATCGAAGCATTTGGCGTTCCATTGTTTCTGCCTACCCTAATGGGAGACAGGCGTGACAGATATGTATGTATATATGTATATTCGGGAACTAACGCAATGAGAAAAGCTTTGCAGGTAAATAGTACCTACACACCTGCGGGTCTACCATGAAATGAAATTCCGAATTTTCAGACTCAATTTCGTGTTTTTGTTCATATCGAAATCGACCCAGTAAATGGAGCTTAACATTTCATTTGTCATAAATCCTACCATAAAAGTCCAAAGGAACGATACTTCAGCATTTTTAATATTTTTAAACGATATGTATCATGTAATTTTAACATCAAATTTGTGTTTCGTTCGGACCCGAAATTTCGGAAAACATTTCATAGTAGGCCGTCTGTTTCTTTATTGCCGTTTCGACGCGGATTACACCATTGTATACAGGTACTATTTACCTGGAAAAGTTTTTTTATCGGATTAAGTTCCGATTATGTATTTAAAATAAACAATTATGCTCATAGTGCCGCCCTCATGCACTGCCATTCCTGAGGACTACAAAATTACGCCTACGTACCTTGTAATTTCACTGCCCTATCCCACCATTCAACCGAAATGCAAGCAAAGCTGTGGTAGAAAACCAAGTTTGTGGTTAATTAAAATATATCGTTAAAGGCATTTGTGTTTCAGATATCTCTGTCTATCCCATACAGGAACTGACGCGAGGAATATTAAAAGTAAATTGATTTGCATAAAATTTAATTGCGTTTGATAAACTTAAACTTATTTCATAATTGCATTTGCTGTGCATAAATTTATTAAAGACTAGCTATTTCCCGTGACTTTGCCAGTAGTCGTTACGAGTAGCTGAACACCCTATAATCTTACTCAAGAAATTAACTATCAAATGCAAAAAGAATTTTTCAAAACTACTAATTCTAAAGCAACACGTTAAAACAAACAAACATACCCTTCAGCTGTTTTATATTAGTCTAGAATGCTCAGCCGTTTAAGGTCTAAAGTATCCATTTACCGTCAACAATCGCAGTGATTTTATATAAAATACATGCGACAATCTTTATTTATTTTGTTTTTATTTAACTCTTTATTGCACCATAAATAAAAATATACAATGACAAGTGAACAATTCAAGTAAAATACACTAACATAAATACAGATTGAAATATACACATAAAGGTACAAAAGGCGGTCTTATCGCTAGGCCAATCTCTTACAGACAACCTTTGGTTAAAGGAGAACAGATAGAAATGGGCAGGTGGCGCAAGAGTGATTTAAAAATTTTTCGCGCATAAAATACAAAAACATGTAATGCACAAAAATCTTCATGGGCATTTCCAGCAGAAACGTTGAATTAGTGATTAACTTATATGATAATTAGTAGCAGTATAATACAGATTCAAAATTATGCATATATGTAGTAAGTGATACTGCTTTCTAACAAATAAATATATAATGCAATTCATATGAAATAGATTGTTAACAATTCGCATTGGTAGTATTATTGGCAATATGCTAATTAATATATATAAGATACAAATGTTTATACAACCGAGACAAATTATACAATACCATTAGACAATTGATAAATCAATAAAATACGACTAGGGCATTTATTAGACTACACTTTTATAAAATAGCTTTTAGTCGCGACTTAATCTATGTACCGGATATACATTTTTTTTTTTGGGTGGATAAAAATGGAATGGTAACCCCGCCTGTGCTAACGGGATACGCTGGCGGAGCACCAGTGAAGGGTGAGATATGAGAATGAAAACAAGCCAGTTAGCCCATCATAATGAATTCACCAGGAATTAACCATGATAGTTTCCAGGGGTTACCGCGAGGAGGTCGACCTGGTAGAGTATATTGCTAGCAATGAGGTTCTCAGTCTCCATTACTAACGATCCCTTTCCCCCCTATACTCAGATATTACACTTACAAGTACTACAGATTATAAATATGTAGGTATTTTGTCCCATTTATTAGGAGTATGATCATCACTCCAATCAAGTGACAACATTTACTATTGTTGCATGGCTGTATCAAATAACAATTACTATCTACTGCTGACTCGCTGTCATATCGTTACAAACAAGGCTTCTATGGAGAATTCGCTTTGTCAGCCATTAGAAAGATAAATTCCCACTTGTGAACGACAATTACAACTTGAGTACATCATATGAATTTATTCGCAACTGCAGTTGAACGATTAAAGAATGCTTCGAAATATCGCTTAGCGTTAACACTAAATATTTTTTTATATTACTTAGAATAGCAAACAAACGGACGGGCCAACTGATGGACAGTGGTAACCGCCAACGGACATGAACAGCACCATGGACATCAAAGAATACACTGTGCTATACAATTATGCCTCCATACCTATGTAATTTCACTGCCATATCCTCTCAAATCGAAACACGTCCATGTAAACACAACTGCTTCACAGTAAAAACTCGAATAGGGCAGAGGTACACATACAACAGACTTTTGTAGTACATTTTATTAGCAATTTTTGATCACTTTCCAGTTTCATCATCCAATTAACTCATTGTCACCACAATTTCAAATTATTATCTGGCTTGCATAATTATTTATGCAAAACTAGCTTACCCGTGACTTCGTCCTTTTAATCGAGAGATGTTCAATGACCTGGATAGAGAGCAGCCCACGTACTTTTCTATCCCATTTAGTTCTTATATAACAAATTTTATAGTGGTTGTAGACGCCATTAAGGCACTCAGAGATAACAAACAAACACTTCCATATTTATAATACAAACTGTATCCCGCGGTTTTGCATAAATTATAAAAGGAAAAAAATTGTTATTTGTAATTGACAAAATAAAATAAAAAACTGATTTTAAAAATTCTTTCACTTATAGGAACTTGCATCGTCTCCGAATATTATGGGCTGTATTTTAATAAAAAATAAATATGAATCCGAGGCAGATAGCTAGTTATTGAATATGTTAATTTATAAGTTTTCTCAAGAAATATCTAGCATAAATTGTAGATTTAGATTTTCGCAGTCGTTTCTTGGTTTTGCTAAATATACACAATATATTGAAAAATAAAGAAATGTCAGATTCTCACCATATGTAATATGTACATACATTGTGTATGCATTTGCAGAAAACACTGTACAGACATTAAAGTAATTTCGCTGATGCCTATTAGTATAATTATGATGACAAGACTAATATGATAAGGAACATCTCTTTCGCTTTGCTTTTTATATATATAAGATAATATACAATGCAATACATAAAACCAATATCAAATAGCCCTAGTATTATTTCAATAAAAGCTACAGCAACAATATAACATTAACCATCTCCTATATATACACCAATCCATATGATAAATTTCATTCAAATCCATTCAGCAATGTATGAATAACAAACATGCAAATATCTTTACTAACGTCCACATTTACAGTATTAGTAAGATAGTAATAGTAAGGTAATATTCAATTAAACTCATATTATTTTCATACTATAATTAAATCATAGCATATGAAAGAAGACATATTTGGACATACGTAATTGATAAATTTTTACTTAACATGTGCTAAGACAAAATTTGCATGCCTTTAGATAAGGCGAAATGTGTAGCTGAGTTACCATTTAAGACCTTTGTACCACATTTCAAGCAAATAAATTATTCTAAGAAACCAGCATGACAAATAACAGTCAATATCAATTTAGGAGTAGAATATAATGTATATAAGACATATAAAATTGAATTATCTTTTTGAATTGTATTATTATTGTGTTTGAATATGTAATGGGTCAAGAAATGTAATGTGTAATTTCAAAAGCTTTAAAAAACTAAAGTCGATAGAGCTTGTATATTAGAAAAAAAAAATGGAATACATTCAAAATTTCAACCGCTCAGCTGGGGGGAAAGGGATTGTTAACAATGGAGTTTGACAGCTCCAGTGCCAGCAATATGCCCTATTAGGTCGACCTCCACGTGGACTAGAAACCATCGTGAACAATTCTTGTTGAATTCGTCACGATGGGCTAACTGACCTGCTTTCATCCTCACCTATCATCCTTCACTGGTGCCCCGCCGGTGAATACCGATAGCGCGGGTGGGGTTACGATTTCATTATCACCCATAAAAAAGAAAACCGCTCAGCTATGCAATGAAAATGAGATATAGGTATTTGGGAGATTTTATATAAAGTCTTAATCTCATTTCGAGAAATCGTAATATAAAATATACATACCATTGTTGAACACAGGTCCTTAAGGAGGATAAAATAATATAAACAACAGTAATAAAAAATATGCAGGAAACCAACCTGATAGAGGATCTGGATTAGCATCTGTGGTCTCCAGTATGTGGTAGTCAGCATTATTCTCTAGACCTTCAGCAATGGACTGCCATGTTTCTTTTGAATGACTATTGTTACTCGTTTGGTGGATGTTGTCCACGTCACTCTCTGCTATGCTACTATCCCGTTTCACTTTTGACTTCTTCTCCTCTCCGTCATGATTAGCCCTTCTTCTTCGTTTGTATGGTGTGAATAACCGAATCGGTCCCATAGCTGTATGACAAATAAAGAACTAATATTATAAATAGGAAATACTTGATTCTTTTCTGTTATAAATAAACTCATAAACAAGAACAACTGATTTTAAAGATTCTTTCACTTATAAAAAGCTATATTCTACCCATCAACAAAGTAGTTACAAAATTACATCGCTCAGATTAAAATAATATTAAAATTGTTTAAAACCTTTCTATACCATCGTAAACTATCAGAAATTATGTAGAACAAACTCAATGTTTTTGTTCTTCAGAATTTCTTTAATTTGAGGGCTTATAAAGATTCCTTCTTTTATTTTGGCGTCACTTAGACGTGGAAATTTATATGCTGGTCTATCTTAGTTATCAATAGCCTAGTTAATGATGAAGAAAGTTGACTTTTTTTTTCCAGACCACAGATTTGGTCTTAAATTCCAATCTTTCTTTATGTAATGCAAAGATCTAGCCCAAGTATCCTAGTTTCACTTGATCACATACATATATAGCAAAAATAAATTCATATTGGTCCTTACAATAAATGTTTTACTATGATATCAAATTAAAATTTCAATCTTAGCACTAAGAGAAATAGTAACTCCACCGCACTGTCAACATAGCATCCATATTTACTACAATGACAAATAATATAAGTGTAACTAATAAACTCACCTGATTGATCATCACAGCAAGCTCCGCAAGTACAGCTGGTAGCATGTGGAGTGAGAATGCCCTCATCGATCAGTGCTTGTATACTCCTACCACCAAACTTTATAGACCTCTTCCAATCCTTGCTTGAACCTCTACCACATTTAGCTTCAAATTCACTAGGTGTATACCAGTTGGACCCATACTTTATGCATCTTCCTCTGCCTCCTGAACCGAACCTCTGCTTGTGGAACTCTGCAGAAGTATTCTTACACCGAACTGGCAAAACTGGCATGTTGGCTGTCTCGGCCCACGACCGCCCCGTCGCCACTCTTGACGCAGGCGCAGATGCTGCGGCGTTCTCATCCTCATGATGAGGAGCACTTGGCGACGGCGGGTTCTGTATAACTATGTGCGTCGCTTTAATATCGGCTTCTGTAACCGGCCCACCTGATATAAACCCATTATCCACGCACAGCATAGGCTTGAAATGAGGGAGCTGGTCGGACGTTATCACGTTAAAGGTTGTCCCCGTGAGTAAAGTAGCAACAGGCAGAGATACCGGCACCGTGACCACGCCATTAGAGTCACTTGATAATCGCGAATTTTTAATAGCACTCGCCAAAACTGCACCGCCATCAGAACGCTCGGAATCGTGCTCGGCCGCCGCCGCCAGGGGATCGGGTTTGGTTACTTCGGTAATGTCCGGCATAACGACGTTGTCCGAACTCATAGTCTCCGCCATCGTTCTTCCGCCCACCTTGAAATACACCCTTTCGGTGTGACTGTATTTTGAACAATAACATGAACGCCTACAGTTCAATTACGGCGACACATAATGAAAATGAACTTCGCTCCTTCAATGTCCGCCATAGCTAAATTGAAAAACGAAAACATTTCACTTCACGCACGCGGAGGTTAGGGCGGCAAATTCAAATTTTGAATTGTTTTATTTTTCCTACAATATTGATCGTCGAATGACAATTCTGATCTGATGCTATGAATATTAGATATTATTGCGTAATATAATTTCATATACAGGTTATTCATACTATGTTAAAAATTGTCTAAAAATTACCGGCGCTATCCTTAATCTATGTCTAAAATAGAAAGTTATATCTAAATAAATTTGCAATTATTAATATACCTATACAGATTAGAGAGACTATGTCTAAAGATTAATTGGGTAATGGAATATACAGAATGAATATTTAATTTACATAGATGTGTAATGCACTACTCATTCAACCATAGTACAACAGAATAAGTAAAAGATTATTCCACTAATATAGTAAACGACAAATGTGTTTCCCGCCGAGATGTACAGTGTAATTTACAGCAATTTATGTCGGTGACGGTATATGAATAGATTTTTGCAACCACAACAAAAGGAGCAAATCATGTAACATATGCTTTAGGATTTTATTATTGTTATTTTTTTTATGGTTGTATTGTTATTTTTTTTTTTCATTATTCAAATTCGAAGACTAGTACATTTTATAAACGCAACTATTTATCCTTAGTCGTCAATAAGCACAAGACAAGTTTTGTGCAAATTAAAGTGAATAAGAACTTACATTGAATAGTTAATTTCTTATAGTAGATACATATATATAATGTTATCCAAAAACGATATAAAATCATTTTCAAAATAATACTTTATCCACTTGATCTATTAGTTTTAGTAATTTTAGTTTGATTAGTATTACATGAACGCGACTTTTATAAAGTCACTATTGATTTTTCTGAACACGGTTTTATACGATTAAATTAAGCAGGTAATATAATTCACTTTCTCGCCATGCAAATTCATATCTATTCAAGTTAGTCGTTTTACTGAACTAAGCTTCCCGTTTGAACATTATACGAAATTGCCAAACAAAATAGGAGGGAAATATCAAAATAAAATGAAAATATCTTTGAATTCTATCATAAATTAATAAGTATTGTGAAAAAGGCTTCCATTATTAACTAACAAATAAAATGTAAAATTTTCATTATATAGTTTTATCAGTAATCGTATTACTGCGAAGTTTTGCACTTATATCTACAGTAGAATGGAAGAATTACGGTCAAAACATAAGTCGATACAGAGTGCGGCTCATCATATCGCCCTAGAATGTATACACCCTCAGGTTAGTATAAATTACAATAGTCGAATTTAGTATTTCATACAGTTTATTTAGCTTTTCTTGTACGTAACTTGGGCCAGTAGATTTGATAGTCTACTGATCTATATTACTTCCTAATTAGTGACTATTATTTTCATTATAAATAAAACGTCAATTCAAATCAGTCTATTTATACCAACCTTATTTATTATTAAAATATTACACATAAATAAACTGTGATTTTTAACAAAATAATTAGGAAGTACCAATTGTTTTACAAAAATTTCTAATAATGTTATTCATTATTTATTTATTTGGGTAGTCAACGTTTATTAAAAAAAGGCAGGCAATTGCGAGTCCATACAAACAAATAGTTAAAATTTTTTTTTTTGTGAAATAATTACAAATTTATTATTTTCGTATTTTTTTTTCCATTACTTATGCTACATGACGTTGCTTCTTGTCAAATTTAATGATTCTAGATCAATAAAATGTACCTTATAGGTTTTGATTGTTTTTGTAAATGTCAAAATATGCAATATAAATGGAACATAAATGACCTGTCTTTTGATTGCGTCGAATTAGAAACTTGATTTTTTCATTGCTTTAAGAGAACGCAGACTTGAGAATGTGATATTAATTTCAACTTGATACCTTCATGCGTTCATAAGAGGCAATATATATATTTCGAGAGAGACTGTGGGGAGTTTGACCTTACAGAGTAAATTTTTAGCAATGAGACTGATAGTGGACACAAAGTCTTAACCACTTTGTAACATTTATTATCCCCCTATTACTTGACTCAAATATCATAATGTTGTGTATAGAGCTCTCTTTATATTACGAAATATTGTAAACTTTGTTCCGTCTCAATTTCATTACTATCTTAATCTAGTAGGCAGTTAAATGGATGAAACAAGCATGCAAATACTGAATCTCCATCTTATAGACAAAGAAGCAATGTCAGAACTTCAATTTTTATTGGACACATTCAATTGAAATAGTTAAAAAGGGTATATTAAATTATTAATATTATGATTACTGTAAAGCAAGTATTTTAATCTTCTTGATTTTGATCTAGGTTATTAAAGTACTGCAATGTAAAATATTTAATTGATGATTTAAATTTCAGTAGTCATGAAGGATTGCTGGAACAATATCTGCGCATAATATGGACTTCAAAGTATCAGTTGTTTACTATTGTGTGTTTATGATATTAGGGTGAAGCTATGTTTGGATTTATTGGCTATCGTGTTTTGCTATTATTATAATATATATATATATATATATAATGTATATGTTAATATTGTTCATTTATGCATTGTCATGAAATGTACATAAATATTATTTATTATAATGTATAGTTTAGTGTCATGTATATTGATGTGGGTACTTTTATACTTTGTTAAATAATAAAGTGTACTAATGTAGGTAGAACATGTTCCAACATGACATAAACTGATTCAAGCTACACAGCACGTTTTATTGCACAATATCATATAATTAGAACATATTAGTGGCGACGAAGTGTAAAAAGTAATAAAATGGACGTAAAAGCAGTGAAATTCGATGAGTTTAATCCGCAAACAGACAATTGGGACATTTATTTTGACCGTTTAAAATTTTGTTTCGAGGCTAATGGCGTCATAACAGACTCGTCTAAAAGAGCTAACTTCTTCACAGTGTGTGGTTCGCGGGTGTTTGAAACTTTATTGGCATTAATCACACCCAGAAAAGCTAGCGAAGTGACATTCAATGAAATAGAAATTGTTTTGACTAAACACTACAGTCCAAGACCAAATGAAATATCAGTGTCGTTCCAGTTTTATAAACGTGATCAAAAACATGATGAATCTGCGGCAGACTATATAGCTCAATTAAGAAAACTTAGCTCTGGCTGCAATTTCGTTGACTTAGAGCGAATGCTTCGCGACCGGCTCGTATGTGGTATGCGTGACGGACGGTTACAGTATGAACTTTTAAAACGAGATAAGTTACGTTATCAAGATGTAGTGGATGCTATGCTATCATCAGAAAGTGCGGGACGGGATGTCCGCATGATTCAAGTATCTGCCAGCGTGACCGCAGATACTACTGTCGCGCCTGTCCTCTCTCGAACGACTTACACTACATCACCGTCGGGTTCAGAGCCGATGGATATTAATGCAGTTCAGTCAAGAGCGTCCATTCGTTTTTGTTATCGTTGTGGCGACCGTCATAATGGAGAGTGTCGATTTTTAAATGCTATTTGTCGATACTGTAAGAAAAAAGGGCACCTGGAGAAAATTTGTATTAGTAAAAAGAAGAATAAACATAATAATGTAAATTTTACGGAAGAAACAAATGATTGTTTAAATGGAATCTATTGTATATCAAATATGGGTCGCACACCGCCATTGGAAGTGATGCCATTCCTTGCTGAAATTCCAGTTTGTATGCAAGTGGATACAGGAGCAAGTTATTCTATAGTAAATGAGCAAACATGGCATACAATACATAAACAGATGCCACAAAATGCACTACAGCCTACTTCACTAATCCTACGCACATGGACAGAGACTCCAGTCCAACTACTTGGCCAAGTTACACTACCAGTGCGTTATAGAAACATCGCAAAAAACTTGTGTGTGATTGTAGCCAAAGGTAAAGGACCGAACCTACTCGGTCGAGATTGGCTCGCTCCTCTGAACTTGACTATGAATATCAATTTTGTGTCAAATACTGAACAAAATGGAATAGACACGATATTATCTAAACATAAAGAAGTTTTCAAAGATGGACTCGGTACCTACCGCGGACAACCAGTTACTATACACATAAAGCCAGGGGCAACTCCAAAGTTCCTTAAGGCTCGTCAAGTACCATTTGCTTTAAAACAAAGAATAGAAATGGAGATTGATAGATTAGAAAATGAAGGAGTATTACGCCAAACATCCTTTTCTGAATGGGCTACACCAGTAGTGCCAATAATAAAAAAGTCAGGAGAAATAAGATTGTGTGGAGATTACCGCAGTACTGTTAATGAAGCCACCGAGTCAGATACCTATCCTATGCCCACAGCAAATGAAGTCTTTGCTGCGGTCGCGGGTGGAAAATATTTTACAACTTTAGATTTGGATAGAGCATACACACAAGTTACCGTAGACGATGAAACATCTAAACTCTTAACTTTGAATACCTGCAAGGGTCTGTATACCGTACATCGCCTCGCTTTCGGAGTTAAGGCATGTCCTGGAATTTTTCAACGATTAATGACATCTTTGTTGGGTGGCATCGCCGGTGTTGCAGTTCTAATTGATGACATAATCGTCTGTGGCCATACTTTGCTGGAAATGCAAGAAAGACTTGATAAGGTACTTGGGCGAATCGAACGTGCAGGACTTCGATTGAATAAAAATAAATGCAGGTTCGCTCAAGAAAGAGTTGAGTTTCTAGGTTTTGTTATAGATGCTAAGGGTATCCATCCAGCACCAAGCAAAGTAGAATCCATTACTAACACCCCTAAACCTAAAAACAAACGAGAATTACAAGCTTTTCTCGGTCTCTATAATTTTTATGAGAGGTTCATACCTCATAAAGCGACGCTACTAGAGCCATTGCATCGTTTATTAGACACACGTCAGGAGTGGAAATGGACAGAACAAGAACAAAACGCGTTTGACACGGCTAAGCGATTATTGACTTTTGATTTAACACTAGTGCACTATGATATAACTAAACCTATAATACTTACTTGTGATAGTTCAGAATATGGCGTTGGAGCAGTATTGTCACATGTAAAGGATAATGACGAATTTCCTATAGCAATGGCATCCAGAACTTTACATCCTCATGAGCGGCGTTATTCACAGCTGGATAAAGAAGCTACTTCAATTATGTTTGGGATAACCAAATTTCAAAATTACCTCACAGGAAGAAATTTCTCTATAATAACTGATCATAAACCATTGCTCGGTATATTTAATCCTAAAAAGCCTATGCCTAATATGATTTCACCTCGTTTAACTAGAATAGCAATTGCTTTGACATCTCACGACTATGAGATAAAATATAAGCCAGGTCCTGAAATAGGTAATGCAGATTGTTTAAGCCGATGGCCACAGCCAGTACCGTGGGAACTTCAACATCAGCTGGGAGAAGTACTTTTAATGGCTGAAACACCAGAAGATTTTCCATACAATTCAGAGCACATAGCCAGGGAGACGAATAGAGATAAAATCTTGTCAAAAGTTAGTTATTATATACAACGTGGGTGGCCAGCTAAAGAAACTGATGCAGATATACGCCCATTCTGGTTACATCGCACAGAGCTGTCACTGCAAGAAAATTGTATTCTACTAGGATGTCGGGTTGTAGTACCTAGTACTCTCCGTCCTGCAACTCTACGAATGTTACATAAAACACATACAGGTATTGTCCAAACCAAAGCACTGGCCAGAAGCTATGTGTGGTGGCCACACTTAAACGAAGACATAGAATCACTAGTGAGTGGTTGTACCAAGTGCCTTGAAAATCGACATATGCCTCCTAAAACTACACATGAATGGATCACACCTTCAAGGCCATGGTCAAGAATTCATATAGACTTTGCGGGGCCATATCACAATAAATATTTTCTAATTATAGTCGATGCATATTCTCGTTGGCCAGAAGTGTTTATGGTGAACAATACAACAACGACCACTGTGATTCGGTTGCTTAGAACGACTTTTGCAACCCATGGCCTTTGTGAAGTTTTAGTGTCTGATAATGGCACATCATTTGTATCAGGCGAAATTAAGGAATTTCTGCAGGCAAATAATATACGTCACGTTACTACTGCACCTTATCATCCAGCGACCAATGGTTTAGCGGAACGAATGGTCCAGACAGTTAAAGATAAACTAAAAAAAATGGATCATTTATCCTGGGACATTAGAATTCCAAATTTGTTATTAGGTCTGCGTGTCACTCCGTGCTCAGCTACGAATAAAAGTCCAGCTGAACTATTAATGAACAGACATTTGAGGACATTGCTGGATACAATTCATCCAGACAGTTTGAAACATAAAAAAACAGAGTGGCAGATTGACCACAATCAACATAAATCACACAGAGAAACTAATGAGGGACAAAAGATAATGTACAGAAATTACAACAATCAAGGCCCCAAATGGTTACCAGGCGTAGTATTACAGAAGAATGGACCGTCTAATTATAAAATTGAGACAGCTAATGGTAAAGCAATCAATCGTCATATTGATCAGTTGATTAGATACAGATCAAGAAAGGAGGAAGGAGAAGAAGGAATTGCTGGTACATCTGAATCATTGGAAGTTTCCAATAACACAGATAATAATGTTAAGAACCATCAACAAGAACAACAGGAAAGTAACAGCCAAGAGTCTGAGAGGATTATTGAAATACCAGATTCTGAAAAATGGGTTGAGATATTGGGAATCCCACCAACTTCTGAATTGGCTACGCCAGCTACAGGCAAAATAAAAAATAAGTTAAATGTGCATTCTAAAACTCCTTATGAGAGACCACAAGATCTTAAAGACAATCTGTACTTATTCTAAGTGTCATTATATTTTTATATTAGTATTATATATGTCTAAAATGTAATCATAATATCTTTCTATATTTATAATTGATTTAACTATCTTAGAGGGGAGGTATGTCATGTATATTGATGTGGGTACTTTTATACTTTGTTAAATAATAAAGTGTACTAATGTAGGTAGAACATGTTCCAACATGACATAAACTGATTCAAGCTACACAGCACGTTTTATTGCACAATATCATATAATTAGAACATATTATTTAGTTTTCAATTTGTTTCACGTAAACGATGTATATTACTGTGATTGTTTTTACACTATTTTGAGTGTGATATGCACACATCACTAAAACATATATTGAATATATCAGAACATGTGTCCCTAAAGAAATAGAGGTCCAAAATTATTTAAAAAAGTATCAATTTAAAAAAAATTCGAGATATTTATATAAAATTGGATCCTGTTAAATAGTCATTAAACTATTATGCTTTTTAATCTAATATTTGAAAATACATTTTCACTTATTTTGTTTAACATTCTAAATAATAATCAATTATCTACTTAAGTTATCAGGATCCCATACTATTTTTTGTTTAATTGTAGTCTAAAATTTTAGTTAATTTCTTTCAACATGTATAGCAAGATGGTTCATGTAAAAAGAGTCCAGCCTATTCGCTGTCACGCTCTTGATGAGGTTGGGGTTGGCCCGTATTCTGCACATGTGCAGATTTGCAAATAATTACAATTGTAAGGCTCAGTGGGCCACCAAAATGGCCTTATGTCCACCCCTAGATGTGAGCGAAGCTTTGCAAAGACACATCTAAGAGGACATATGCGCCAGAGGCTAGCTTGTCTGGAAAATAATTCTAACTGCTAATTCAAATAATAGTACAGAAACAATTCACAAACATTCCTGACGTACTGCATAATCGAGGCAGCCCCAACAACGGAAAGTATTATTGTAATGCCACAAAGAGTGCAGTAGATTTTGAACCAAGCAACGCTTTGACCACCCGCGTGTAGCACCAGCACCTTGTTCACAGTACTGTTTGTCCACCATGTCTGTGCTATTGGGAACAGTCGGCGCACGGCTCCCCATACCACGTGCACCCGTACCCCTCCCCAGTGCGCCTGCAGCATGCCTTCCAGGCCCACAACAGCCCCAAGATGTTCCATCCAAAGGGGCTTAAACCACACTTTGTGAGTATCTTTTTGGTTCTATAACTATTTTATTTTAAAACTAAATAAGGCGCCAAATGCCCTTTGAAGAAGAGTTCCGGATGAAGTCGAATCAATTGTCCTATATATATATATATATATAGGACAATTGATAAAAAATTAAAAAATTAACATAACTTTTAAAAATATTATAGTATTATGTTGATTGACCGCGACAAATAGTAGCCTATCCCCTTTATTAAAAAAAATTAAAATCTCTTCCAAACCTATTGAAATGTTTCGTCACTGCCTTTCAAATTGATATTTCGACCCAAAAACAGATAAAACAGTTCAATAACTTAAATAAATTTGACGTTTTAATGAATAAGGGTATGTCTTATTCCATCACCAATAAGTATTGTGTTTTTACGTTTTACCGAATTTTCAATTCATCTTTTTTTATATCACTGATGTGGCAAACAAGCATACGGTCCACCTAATGGTAAGCGGTTACCGTAGCCCATGGACGCCTGCAATACCAGGGACATTACAAACGCGTCGCCGACCCTGAAGAAACCTTTGTCGGACTTCCAGTCTGGTCCAACCGTTCTTGAATTTTGCACTTAGCAATATATTAGTGATTTATTTTTATTTATATAAGTAACTCCCCCTCCTAGAATATAGTAAAATACAATGAATCCTGCTCAGTCTATCGTATTTGCTAACAGACGCTGTTTGTAGGAACAGGCCTGTTCAAGATCACTGCAATTGATCGTAAAACATTTTTTTATGTACCAAAAGTCATAATAATAATTTTAAATGACTCATGCCATCCTTACAAATGAATGACAAGGCTTGAATCAATCGCTGTAAAATTTAATATGTATGTTACGTACTATATGGAATGCAGAAGGCTAGAGGCTAATTTTTATCTCGGTCAGTAAACACATCCCGGTCACGCGAACGAAGTAGCGGGTAAAAGCTAGTTAAATATAGGTATGTTTATTGTGATATAATCAATTTAGAAATTTTTGAATCATTATTTTAGAAGTACCTGTTGAGTTTCCTACGGGTTATTCTCAACAACATTCCGAACCATTGGTATGAAATTGAATATTTAAAAATGTTCGTGAACAAGTTTATTTAATGATTATTTCTGTTCTGTTCTATTTTGCTGTCTTTTTCTCTGTTCTAACAATTACTGTCAATTATCGTTTCATTTATTTATTTATTTTATTTATTTATCTTGTGATACATAGGTAACAATGGATGGCAAAACAAGATAAATCGTCTGTGATCAACCTCATCTGTCGAGGTATACAAATTCGCAATTATGTAATTGCGAAAAAATGTATAAGAAAATCAATAATGTCACATTTACAGTAAAAAAATCATAATATTAAGGAAATTTATTGCATGTATCTCCAAGGAAATCGTCGTATCGTAATCGTAATTCATATATATGTGCAGGATGCCCGGGGCACGCCAAACGAAAGCCCTATCTTGGGCAGGGCGCTATGTCTCACGCCGCGCGGCAGCCCGGTGCCGGGTCGCGTGTCCCATCTCAACGAGAAGTTCCAGGATTCCCTGACACTCACATCGGACACGGACGCGCTCGTTGCCAAAATCAGTGCCATGTTCCCTACTGTTAGTGAGACACATATCAAAATATTGTTAAAAAAGTAAGTGGTTAAATCATTTTAATTGACTTTAAATAAAAGGAGATCCTATACCCTTTTTTTATAATACTTCGAATGACAAACAAGCGGATGGCTCACCTGATGGAAAGTGCTAACCGTCTCGTCCGTTAAACATAAACAGTGTACAGTGTATTTTTTGCTATTTTAACCACACCATAGATATTACATGTGGTGTCGCTGTGTGGTCCCTGCATAGAACAGGCCACCCCTTCCTTTCCTGTAGATGTCGTAAGACCCGACTAGGGAGGGCGAGGGATGGGCAGCAGCGTCCCTCTTAAAACATCTCTAAAAGCTTAACTTGGTTGCCACCCTGCCTGCCACGCTTGGCAACTACTGGCAAAACTCCCCTTATGGGGAAAGCTTATGTTCAGCAGTGGACAGTTAACGGCTAAAATAATAATGGATATTAGATATTAGTACACAGTAATGTTAATGGTACACCTTATGGGTTGCTATTCCCATCACTGAAACAACTGCTTCACGGCAGAAACAGGTTAGATAGGAGCATCCCAACAATTTTTATATAAAGCTTGGTATTTAGTCATTATATTTTATTGTCCTATTTTTTTTAATAAATTGCTGACTCAGCAAATTTTTTATCCTATACAGTCAATTGTCGGATACATTTGTGTCACTATCTGTCCTCTCTCAAGTTGGAATAAGTAAAACACATTTATAGAGGCGAAGGGATAATTAGTAATATGGATTAATGGCCCCATTGCTAGCAATATTTCAACCTTGACAGATCGACCTCCATACGACCTCCTCCCCTGGAAACCATTCTGGTTAATTCTTGGTGCAGTAATCACGATGGGCCGTATGATCTGACTACATTCTCACCTATTGTTCCTCACAAACAAAATTATATTTTTTTTTTTATACAACTTAGAATGGTAAACAAGCTGACGGCCCACCTGATGGAAAGTGGTAACCGTCGCCTATAGACATAAGCAGTACCATGGACATAACAGAGTATACTGTTTCGTCCATGATACCCCCCATGCGTTGCCATTCCTAAGGACTCAGATGTTATTCCTCTGTACCCTGTAAATTCACGCCATATCCCACCCTTCAAACCGAAACACAGCCATGCAAACACAGCTGCATGTTTTATTATTATATATTTAATTTATCTACCACAATGACTTATTTATATGTATTTCTGTGTACATCTGTGGTACAATGCCTCTTGAATGACAGTTGTTTAATTTTTTTGCATTGCGAATTTGCTTGTCATAAACAACCTGAATTCATAAATTAATCTTGCTTCTAAATAAAAATAATTTTTAAATGTATATATATCGAGTAATTTAGTGTCAGGTAGTCGTAGTAGTATATATATATATATATATATATATATATATATATATATATATATATATATATATATATATATATATATAACAACAAGGTACAACACAAAACAACTTACTATATATATATATACAAAATTTTATTAAAATATAAGCAATTTGGTAGGTTAGCGCGAACGCATATATATTTAAGATATAATATTATATACATTGGTTGATTATATATAAATTCAACAGATATTACAATCGTGAAGCGGTAGTTATAAGCGCGTTACAAGTGGAAAAGCATCCGATAACGACCCCGGGCCCGCTGAGTATGTCGCCGTCGGCGGCTCGCCTGCAGCGGGGAGCGGTCGGCGTGTACTCGGCGCTGCAACTGGCTAAAGGTGTCTCCGGCTCTATCCAGGGCTCCAGTCACTTCACACCGCTGACGGGCACGCCGCATGGTAGTACTACTCACTGTACGGTCAATGTGAATGAAAGCAATCCAGCTAGCTAGGCCTCCAATGATTTCAATTCAATTCAATTTATTTATTGCATTCTACAATATTGTTATAAAAGATGTTAGTAATTGATACAGTACACTGTAGACCCTGTAGGGCGCAGCAATTAGAAGCGATTAGGGCGTCGATCCTTAAATTTTCATAAAAATTTTTAATAATTAAATAATTCAATTTCAATTTCTTCAATGTAATGAAATTCTAATTAAAATCCAAGTTAATCTAATGATGTTAACAATTTTTTTTTGTTTCCATATGTTTTATTTTAATTTAATGAAATTTAATGTAGTTATTCATATTTTTATATCATTTTACTAGTATACTTATCAATTTTAGTATTATTAACTAAACCAGTAATATTTATATATTATGCGTTTTTTTTTTATTCCAAATTTTTATCATTTAAATATCCATCTATATCGTAATAACATTTTTTAGCTGATAGTTGTTTTAATTGTGATATGAATACTCTATGGTTTTGTTCATTTCGTAATGTTTCCAGTAGGTGATTATAAATTTTTATAGATTTCTTAAACTAAAGTCTAAAATATAACAATAAGGTTGAGTTTTGAACTGTAAAACCCAAGTATTGCATTTATATCAGTGTGATTATGAAATTTTGTGTATATTATTCTTTTTATGATACATTTTTTTTTAATAATGCTAACCTTTTAACACACTCTTACAAGAATCGATATATTGTATCGAATTCTATTAAAAAATTGATACTTTATTTTAGAATATTAAAATACCAAAATTGAACTAACCATTGCACCGTAAATCTTGTGACAGACAGATATATTGACACATTTATAATATTATATTATATAATTTACATAAATTAGGAAATAAAACATAGAAGTTAGAACAAATACCAAATTTCTGCTTTCTTTTATTCACTTTGACCGATGGCAAGTTAAAAGTATGTGATTGCTACTTGCTAAGGCTAATGTCACATATAGTTTGTTTTAATAGAGCTTAATGGAAAGGTAACCAAGTTTTTGTTCGTCGTGTGGTCCCGTCATAGAATGGGCCAGTTCTTCCCGTTCCCGTAGGTGTCGTAAGAGGCGACTAAAGGAGGACGAGGGATGGGCAGCAACGTCCCATTTTAAAATATCTTCAAAGCCTAACTGCGGTTGTCAACCCGCTTGCCAAGAGTGGCAACTACTGGCAAAACCCTCCCAATAGGAGGAGGTGTTCAGGTGATTATTACAGAAATACTGTCCTAATGAAATTAGTAACAAATCGAAACATTCAACAGATTAATCGGTTTTTTTTTATTTGTACTACTATTTGGACATAAGCGGACTGTCTCATTGTCGAGTCAGTTATTTATTTGATTACATTTTTGTTAAGTTCCATTGAGACAAACTATTACCAATAGAGAAACCCAGCTCATAACGGCGACTGTTCATTACTCTGTAACAATATTATAACTGCAAATAGATATGAAGATATGAATAAAAGAGAATATATTACTATTAAAATTATATTACTCTAACCCAGACATTATCAAAGTGGGCGATAACGCCCCCTTGTGGGCGCTGCAGACCTAAAGGGGGGCGGTAAGAGACCTACAAAAAATTTATTAATTTACACAATAATTGATTAATTTATTCTCAAAGTGGGCAGTAGACAAAATAAGTTTGGGAACCCCTGCTCTAACCTCAGATATGGGACAAGTATACCTAGATGGGTCACAAACGAATCTATTGATAAATTTATTATTTATCATAGAAGTAATACGAAAGAAAAAGACAATAGAACTTGCTGTCTCATTCTGGCTTACGAACTCGTTGGCGATGACGAGTCTATTAGTCGATTCGTTTACTTACCAGAGAGTTAGGACGGAAATATGACTCGTGTCTATAGGCAACGGTGGCCACTTTCCATCAAGTGGACCGTCGGCGTATTTGCCATTTCTTATGTTCTGCTATAACGGTGATATGTAAAATTAAACCTATCTCCATACAATGCTTATACTCGTATGTTTGTAAGAAATAAAATGCAGTTAAGTTATATTATTATTATATTACACTTTATTGCACCAAGTAAAAAGAGAAATAACAAATACAGTAAATATTAATGAGAAGTGATACAAAAGGCGGCCTTATCGCTAAGAAATTTCTCCCAGACAACCTTTGGGTAGAGGACATTGAGAAAAAGACAAAGGGTAGGTGGCGCACTATTATATAAATATTGTCATATACAAACATATATACATACATATACATATATATACAATTAAGTTATATGAATAATGAAGAAGACAGATGTTATCCCCTTGCTTTTCTTTTTCATTGCTAGCACGACGCATGGTAGAATGTATGAACATCGTTCAATTTTAACTCCACATAGCACACCCAGCTAGGATTATTGCTTTGTCTTATTTCATTGCCAAATTTATGTACACCTATTTCTCTATTTTACAATGAAATTCAAAGATGTTAATTAAAATCTGTAACTATTATTGTTTGGGTACCTCTGTCCCATTCGTGTTTCAAACGTGAAGCAGCTGTGTTTGCATGGCTGTGTTTCGGTTTAAAGGATGGGATATGGCGTGAATTTACAGGGTACAGAGGAATAACACCTGAATCCTCAGGAATGGCAACGCAGGGGGGTTATCATGGGCGAAACAGTATACTCTATTATGTCCATGGTACTGCTCATGTCTATAGGCGACGGTTACCACTTTCCATCAGGTGGGCCGTCAGCTTGTTTGCCATTCTAAGTTGTATAAAAAAAATGTATTTTCATGTTCCAACGAATGACAACGCGCCGTTCACTGTTGACCCTCTAAATAATATATTTGTAGATACGCTTACGCTACAGCAACCATGAGAAGGACGAGGTGTAGGCGGGTGCAGTCTCGTTCTATCGTGCGAACGTAGCATAAACATATGTACAAATAAATTTGCCATTTTTCTTGTGAAGTTACTTTTCCAATCTTATAAGTATCAGTCTATGGATATATTAAAAACTATCGGCCCGTCCCGGCGTCGCACGGGTGGATATTTTTACATTTTAAAAAGTGGCCATTAAGGCTTCACACGCGACGGAAGCTTAAAAATGGAGTAACTTCTCCCGTTTTCCCAACATTTCCCTTCACTGCTCTGCTCCTATTGATCGTAGCGTGATGAAAAGTATACTACAACCTGCCCAGGAGTATGAAGCGTAATTGTACCAAGTTTCCTTAAAATCCGTCGAGTAGTTTTTGTTTCTATAACGAACATACAGACAGACAGACAAAAATTTTACTGATTGCATTTTTGGCATCAGTATCGATCACTAATCACCGCCTGATAGTTATTTTGGAAATATATTTCATGTACAGAATTGACCTCTCTACAGATTTATTATAAGTATAGATAGATAGATAGATTAACATAATGAAATTTACCAGCCCGCTTACGTGTTCTAATACAAACATACTGATATTTTAACATAGAAAGTATACAGTAATAACTAAATTAGTGCCAGTTTACATTGGGGCAGTTACTAAATCCAAACTGGAATTAAATCAGTGCTAAATTGATTTCAAGTCAGTGCAGAAATGTGGCATTAATGTGGATAATTTGAGTTAATATTTTGCAAACACTGTTCACTGATTCTGTGTAAATAGTATTTATATTTATTTTATTTTATTTTATTGGCACATAAAACAGATCACAACCATAAAAAACTTAAGTAATAATTACATTTGTGATTCGGCTAGGTTATAATCCGATTACATTATGTGCACAGCTTGAGTAATTCATTAAAAGCAAACACATAATATAAAAAGAAATACTTAAAATGTTATAATATAAATATATAAAAGATAAAACTATATAAAAAAAAATATTTTCAATCGTATTCTACAAAATAGAAAACAAGTTCTTCCTAAATATCAAATATTTTGTACCGAATATGTCGATGGATTTGTGGTGGAGCAGTAAATCGTTATAATGACGACACATCCTTACCACAGGATTGTAATAAGAAGTGTTATTTTTGTCGTCAACACTAACTTCTGTAACTAGCCCAATGTAAATTTACCCTTACACTATCGAACTAAATCTCAGTTACTCTTGATAAATTTTTAATTGGGAATCTGCACTTTATCGCTTTGCTAATACGGTTGAAATTAATCTTGTTTTGTTTTTGCTAGGATCACCTTCGCTTCTGCGGCCTGCGTCGGGCGCTTCCAGTTACTACGGTACTAACAGGTCCACAGATGGTCAAGTCAGGCACCAGTCGCCTAAAATGAAACTTAAGTAAGTTTTCTTAGGTTTTTTTTTTTTATATACAACTTAGAATGGCAAACAAGCTGACGGCCCACCTGATGAAAATTGGTAACCGTCGCCTATAGACCTGAGCAATACCATGGACATAACAGAGTATACTGTTTCGCCCATGATACCCCTCATGCGTTGCCATTTCTGAGGACTCAGGTGTTATTCCTCTGTACCCTGTAAATTCACGCCATATCCTTCAAATCGAAACACAGCATGCAAACACAACTACTTCACGGTTGAAACACGAATGGGACAGAGATACCCAAGCAATCAACTTTTGTACAAAGTCTCCCTCTGGTAGGTTTACATTGTCTGAAATTTTTTAACCAATTTGTATTCTGAGTGGCCTTATCAGTGGTCTTTGCCATTTTAGAGAAAATTCGATTATGCTTTTTATATTAAAAGCAGCTTCAAACACTTAACACCATATGGCGCCACTCTCGCTCATGTTATATATTTATATGAAAATGAATCGCTAAATATGTTCCTAAATGTAAACCTTGAGAATGCCTGGACCAAAACGGCTATTTTTTTTTTAAATATTATTTGTGAATCCGAATAAGGTTCTGATGTAGAGAAAAATTGGCAGAATTACTTGGGAAAAAAGTAAAATCTAGTAGAAAACCTTCGGGTTCCATTTTTTTAAGTCGCTTTGCTCAACTTTTGTCAACAAAACATTTGCAAGCATTACAGTTTGTTCAGAACAGTATATATATATATATATATATATATATATATATATATATATATATATATGTACATGATTATAATATACATATATAAAGAGATAGATAGATAAATAATTTATTTGCATCACTTACAGCACACAAACGGCAAAAGACACAAATGCAATGTGAAAAAAGATAAAAAAAAGATACATATACAAAAAATAAAAAAAAAAAACAAAAACAAAATCAGAATGCATAAAATTAGTAACAATTTTTTTTCTTCATACGTGTGCCACAGTAATACAAAATGGCCACAATTGAGCTTTTTACTTTGCCCTAAAAAGAGCAAAACACTGATATTCTGTTGTGGCACAAAAGTGAGCAGCGAAATACCACTGAAAAAAAAAATAATAAAAAAAAGAAAGAAATATAGATCAAATACATAGTGTGCGTTCGTTATATTCGCTTATAATTATTGTAATCATCATGTTATATGTTTATGTATATATTATTGTGTATTGGTATACATTATTGACTACTTTATTAGCTGTTATTTTCTTTACCTACCCCAATAATGAAGTACCGTGTTCGTAATTCACTGTTCATCCTAAACGTTGACTGCTAGGGATTGCTTTTAACATTAAGTCCGCCTTTTTTACCATATTTTTTTAAGTCAATAATGTTATTTAAATAAATAAACATCATACCTACCAATACAGGTACCTGAAGAGCATATTTCCCAAAGCCGAGGAAACTTTAATCCTGGACGTGCTAGCGAACAAAGACAACAATGTACAGAAAGCGAGTGAGGAATTGATCTCGATGGGCTTCCCCAAGAAGGAGACTGTCATTATCAAGGAGAAGAAGGAGAAGGAAACGCCACAACCGCCGAAGAAGGTCGTCACCATTATGAAGACGATAGAAGACAAGAATGAACGTAAGTTCCAAAATGACTCTTAGACCTCGTCTAAATTTCTTTTATGCAACTTAGAATGGCAAACAAGCTGACGGCCCACCTGATGGAAAGTGGTAACCGTCGCCTATAGACATGAGCAGTGCCATGGACATAACAGAGTATACTGTTTCACCCATGATACTCCCCATGCGTTGCCATTCCTGAGGACTCAGCTGTTATTCCTCTGTACCCTGTAAATTAGACTAGGAGACCCTTAATATGTCTCGTGTTTATTATGTACTAGTGAGCCGCCCCGACTTGGCACGGTTTTCTTTTTTTTTAATAATACAACCTATTTGAATCGCTGATGTAGCTATCTGTAGGTGAAAGAATTTTCACAATCGGATAGATAAGACTTTTACCACATAAATTTTTCAGTTAAAAACATACTGGTTTATTCACAACCGTATCAATAGCTTTCTACTTACGATGTTTATTGATCACATTTCGCGGCATTGACGCAATTCGAGGTGTTTCAAAGAACTTCAATGTATTTCAAGTCGTTCATCATTTCGAATAAACGAGACTTCACTGTAATTATATTCTGCAATGTTATCAAAAACCCCATAATTTTCAAGTCAAACAAAAGCTGCAGAAGAAGTACGAGGGCGTAGCAGAGCGCGTGATCTCAATAGCACTGGAAAGTGTGGACTACAACGAGGAACGGGCCGAGCAGATCCTCAGCGCCGTGCTGCAGGAGGAGGAGGTGCCGAAGGTTACTAAGGTGGTGGAAGTGAAGGACTCGAGGCGGCCCTGCTCGGTCGACGCCAAGAAGGGGTGAGTTGCATGCAATGACTTTTGTTCTTACTGTCGAATGAGCGGCTACCGATGAGCGAATCAATTTATTTACTATTTATACTACATTTGTCAGAGACCCAACACGATTTCGTACAAGTGTATTGGTGATCTGCTTATACAAAACATTAATTTGACTTGAATAGTAAAAAAACATATGACAGTCAAAATCTTTAGTAGTAAGTCTCCACTTACTTTTAAAGACATACTTTGTTTTTATTAAAAAATTAGCTGACAGCTTTCTAATATAAAAATGAATACTTTTTTATTTTAAATATAAAAAAATAAGAGGTATTCTGTATATATCGAAAATCCGGATAATCGAATTCAAAGTCGAATCAAACGACAATTAAATATTGATATATTTTTTTTTTATTATGTAACGGATTACACACACGTGTGTGTACGTCATTTAAACAATACGATATAAAAAAAATTCGTTAGTCGCTCAGTAAGTTATATTACCAAATAATATAAAGACTAAATGATTAATAATTGACTATTAAATTAGTGAAATCGATTGATCATGTTTTACATAACTCAAATTGATTTATTCACATGTTATTTTATTATTTAGTCTTTTGTTTCTAAATAGATTATACAATCAATTTTGATATAATAAATAAATGTACCCAAATTACTGCAAAGTGAATTGTGAGTACTCAATAAAATTAAATTTTTGAATCTTTACACAATTAAGTACATTATTCTGAACTGGAAGTCCCTTTAAAAGATAAATACTCAATTAAATAGCGCTGAAATAGGATTTAATTTAGTTCAATTATGTATATCCACGCCATTTACATCACTGCAAATGCACTAGAAAAAATACTATACTCTAGTAAGACTGTTAATTCTATACTTACAATATATGCAATAATATAATGAACTAAAACATTTAAAGAAATAAATATATATAGTAAGTACAACTGTTTCAGATTTGAAATTTTGCGTTGAATTTAATTTAATTATTGTACTCAAATCCTAATAATAGAATAAATGCTAATGTTTTTAACGTTGGTTGGATTTATATATATATATATATATATATATATATATATATATATATATATATATATATATATATATAAATCCAACCAACGTTATATATATATATATAAATATATATATAACATTATATATATATAGTACGTACTCGTCAATCATAGTATGATTAATGAGCAAAATTTTTTTAAACACAAAAGATTTTTGTTTATTTTTAAAATTGTATCCTAATTCCAACGTTATTAAGATTAATTTTGTAATTTATCAAATGGGACTCCGTGAAAGAATGTTATAACCAGCACCAATACACAATTACATTTTTTTAATTTAAAAATGTAATTGTAGGCTAAATTAATTAAAATGTTTAAAAAGAAAGTTAAATAAAAAGTTTTATTTGAAATATTCTACGCAAATTCTCCACTCAAATTGTTTGTCGACCTTTTATTGCACCAATGTTGCCATCACAAAATTTATTATATGTCATATTGTACAAAATTGATTATATAATCAACTCTTATTATATATTATTCTATCCTAAATGCAAGACACTTAATCTAACACTTCTTAACATCCTTCCAATTATTTACTTATGACCCAAATGCTTTTTAGCTTTTCACACCAGTGTTGTGCAAATATCGTTATTATGATTTAAAAAAATAACAGGGCTTTATGATTTTACATTTAAAAACTTTTTGTCCTATGCTCATTTTACTCGTAACTTCAAAATGTTGCCATTAATATTTGTAAAATTTGAACTTTGACTGTCATTTTTATACGGATGGAATATTTCTGTTTATTTATTAGTTGATTTTTACAAGAATTATGATAAAACTATAAATAAATAAAAATGCGACAGATAAAAACGCGTTTTAGTTGGCAATACATGTTTTTTTTTTTTTACAATAACTTTATTATCTGTTAACAAGCGATAATTGTACATCACTCCACATTATCATAAATTATTCCTATGATGGGGTTGATGAGTTATGAATTATTTAAATGACGCAAGTCTATAGGCGACGGTTGCCGCTTCGATCACGTGGTCTCCGTGAATTTATGTTCTATTCGAAATTTGAAATTTCACTCGAGCTGGATGGTAATCATCGACCCCACCACAGCAGTCACCCCCACTCATACATTGCGTGCGTTAGTGTGTACACCAGTGAGGATGCGCGAGACCCGAGCCCTCTGCCCGTCGCCCCAGCAGCGCGCCGCATCAAGACATGGACAGAGCACTTGAAGTATGTCTGTTTGTATGCATGCCGGTTCATGATGGGACTCTTCTCATGTCGACCGCTAACCGCCAATATCTGTCTACACACAGACAGGACAGGGGACACGAAAGAACCTAATTCACATTTTTTTTAAAGAAAAAGCTATAAAGTTGTAAAATATTAAAAAAAAAACTCTATGTTACATAAAAAAAGACTGAATTATGTAAGCTAGAGAAAACTTTATACTACTTAATTAGAATGTAGATTTTTTCCAATATAATATTAGGAAAAATCTATAACTATATATTTTAATATATAAATATTAATTGGGTGATATTGGTGGTCAAACGTCGGTATGTATAACAATCAATAGGATTTTTGTGAAGCGATAATTTAATATCGATATATATTTATTGAATATGTCAACTAAAAGACAAATTATTAGAACTATTGAGGACAGAAGGGGAAAAATGTTGGGACACTTGATACGACACGACGAACTTATGAACATTATAATAGAAGGTAAGATAGAAGGAAGGAGGGGAAGAGGGAGACCGAGACATAGTTACATCAGGCAGATCAAGGAGGGAGTTCGTGTCGTGTCATATCAAGAGGTGAAGAGACTCGCTGAAAATCGTAGTGAGTGGCGAGAGCTCCATCGACAAGAGCGCAGCTCTTAAATAGGATAAAGTTAACTAAAAAATATATGTATTATTATTATCTTCTATTATATAAAAATTAATGCCACTTTTCGTCGTAATTTTATAACTCAAGTACGGGCTCACCTATCCAAACCAAATGTTTAGGCTTTGTTCAGACTATTTAGTAGATTTATTTATGTGAAGTTTGCACAAAATCGGTAGAGCGGTTCTTCAGTCTTTCACTCAAAGTCATTCAGTAAAAGGATACTGTTTCGCCCATGATACCCCCATGCGTTGCCATTCCTGAGGACCCAGTAAATTCATTGCCATGTCCCACCCTTCAAACCGAAACACAGCCATGCAAACACAACTGCTTCACGATAGAAACACGAATGGGACAGAGGTGTCCAAGCAAACGAATTTTGTACAAAGTCTCCCACTGGTAATGTATATACGTATAAACACATATATGATATTTAAATATTTAAATAACAATCAAACATAACTAGATATGCATTAGTAAGGAAGTTATATAAATAAACAATTAAAACCTATTTTACCTTAACCTGAATTTGAAAGCGATCTGTCTATCGTATGTTATGTCGTAACACACCCTGGGTCCATATTAACCAAATTGATGGGGTGGTACTTTTATATACGAATATAGATAATCAATAGTACTAAATACTTTATTTCTTTATGTTTTTTTTTTTAATGGATGATAATGGGATGGTAACCCCGCCTACATTATCGGTATACGCTGGCTGGTCACCAGTGAGGGATAATAGATGAGAATGAATAGGCAGGTCAGTTAGCCCATCGTGATGAATACATCTGCAATTGAACACGATGATTTCCAGCGGGGACCACGTGGAGGTCGACCTGATAGGGTATATTACTAGCGATGGAACTGGTAGTCCGCATAACAATCCCTTCCCCCCTTATTTCTTTAGGCTGGTTTCCAATTCTCCGGTGCTTTGTTTTAAATGGGTGATAATGGAATGGTAATCCCACCTGCGTCATCGGTTTAAACTGGCGGAGCACCAGTGGCGAGATGAGAATGAAAGCAGGTCAGTCGGCCTATGACAAATTCAATAAGTCGTAATAACAGTGGTTTCCAGGGAGTATCGCGTGGAGGTCGACCTGATAGAGTATAATTCTCCAGTACCACATAAATAATCGTAATAATGGTCACAGTTTTAAGGGAATTTTCTACATATTATAACTGAATTTTTCTAAATTTCGCGAGACCATAACCTCCATCTTAGATCACATCGTCACTTTCGATCAGGTGAGATAGTGATCAATCGTGGGACCTTTCAATAATAAAAAAAAAGTGAGTCCATTTCATTCATCATCATCATATCAGCTCTTAACTGTCCACTGCTGAACATAAGCCTTCCCCGGAAGGGTAGTTTTGCCAATATTTGCCACGCTTGGCAGGCGGGTTGGCAACCGCAGTTCAGCTTTTAGTGATATTTTAAGAGGGACGCTGCTGCCCATTCCTCGACTATTACATCCCCTTAGTTGCCTCTTACGACATCCACAGGAATGGAAGGGGTGGCCCATTCTATGCCGGGACCGACACGGCGAATTTCCATTTCGTTATCAGCCATAAATAAAATTCGAATAACTTTAACGAAGTCTTTGAGATCTTTCTCCGTCACTTTTGTACGCTTTATTACATTATAACGACTCAATAACGTCCCAGTTTTGGCCATGAGTCTATTTCCACAAAAGTAAAATATTAGTCTGCTATATATAGTATACTATATAAGGTTATATTATAGCTTTGTAAAAAATATAATTCGATTACTATGTTTATGTAAATAGCTTGTAATTATGAAAACTTTAAACGTATTGATTATTTTTTTTATACAACTTAGAATGGCAAACAAGCTGACGACCCACCTGATGGAAAGTGGTAACCGTCGCCTATAGACATGAGCAGTACCATGGACATAACAGAGTATACTGTTTCGCCCATGATACCCCCCATGCGTTGCCATTCTTGAGGACTCGGATGTTGTTCCTCTGTACCCAGTAAATTCACGCCATATCCCACCCTTCAAACTGAAACACAGCCATGTAAACACAACTGCTTCACGGTTGAAACACGAATGGGACAGAGGTACCCAAGCAATCGACTTTTGTACAAAGTCTCCCTCTGGTATTATAAAATATTAATTGAATATATTGGTGTGGCGTCCTTGATTGTACGTATTGATGTAAACATAGTGTAACACGGTCGTCTCGCCAACACCACGTGTAAATTGAGACGGAATTGTGACCTTAATTGACGATTTTCCCAATAACATTATTGTATCAAAAAATTAAATATACTCGTAAATCGAATTTCAAATATTCTTTATTAACCTATATATTTATGAATCCATAGTGTTACGACGTCACGCCGCGCCGGCACTACGTGTTAATTAAGAGAGAATCGTAACAATAAATTGACTATTATATCAATAAAATTATTGTATCAAAAAATTAAATATACTCGTAATTCGAATTTTAAATATTCTTTATTGACCTATATATTGATGAATCCATAGTGTTACGACGTCACGCCGCGCCGACACCACGTGTTAATTGAGACAGAATTGTAACAATAAATTGACCATTTTCTCAATAAAATTATTGTGTCAAAAAATTAAATATACTCGTAATTCGAATTTTAAATATTCTTTATTAACCTATATACGAGGTCTGTCCGGAAAGTTCGTATAAAAGTGTTCTGGAATGCGAGAAAGAGGAGTGGGGAGGCCAGGTAAGCGCAGGACCCCTTCCTTATGTCCCTAACAATGCTTCAGTTCTGGTCTGACCGCCGTGCGGTGCGAACTGGCTTGTCACGCCATCTGTGAAGTTACCTCTTAACGAAACCCCGTCGGCATGGAGCCCGCTTCCGTTGAAGAGCAGCGCGTCGTAATCAAGTTTCTCTCGAAACTCGGCAAGAATGGCCGTGAAATTTTTGCCGATCTAATTCGATAAGACATCCGGGGAACCACGAACAAAAAAATCAAGAAAATCCCGCTCAAATGTCAAGACAATGTTGATTGTTTTTTTCGATGTTCGGGGGATTGTCCATCAAGAATTCGTCCCTCCAGGCCAGACAGTTGATGGAAAATTCTACGTCGATGTGCTCAGACGCCTCAAAGCTCGTGTGGCACGAGTTCGTCCAGAATTGGCGCGAGAGGGGCGTTGGATTCTTCACCACGACAATGCCCCTGCCCACACCTCTCTTGTTGTCCGTGAGTTTTTGAGTAAAAATTCCATTACGGTGACCGAACACCCCCCTATTCGCCGGATTTGGCCCCGTGTGACTTCTTCTTGTTCCCAAAAACCAAATTGGTACTTCGGGGGCGGCATTTGGGGGACATAAATGAGATAAAAAAAGCTACGACGGGGCAGCTGAGAAACCTACAACCAGAGGACTTTCAAGGAGCCTTCTCACAGTGGAAACGGCGTTGGCACAAGTGCATTATGTCACAGGGGGAGTACTTTGAAGGGGATAAAATTGATTTACCTGAATAATTGTAAAATAAAATTTTTAAAAAACTTTTATACGTACTTTCCGGACAAACCTCGTATTGATGAATCCATAGTGTTACGACGTCACGCCCGCGCCGGCACTACGTGTTAATAAAGAGAGAATTGTAACAATAAATTGACTATTTTCTCAATAAAATTATGCGAGACAGATTAAATATTTTTTTCGGGACCAGGATTTGAAATATTTTTTATAAATGCTCTAACACTAAGTGTATAGCAATCTGAAATTCAACAAGTGTTTATAAATAGAATTAGTTTTTCACTAACTTAGCTCGTAATTAATATGGATTTTTTTTCTAATTTTCATTCTTTCTAACTTCAAAAAGATGCTTGAACTTGCACTTATATATCTAACGCGATATTTGCCAATTGTAAACCGATTTTAATATTTCTTTTTAATTTAAACGCTTTTTGTTCTCACGTCGATTTCATACAAATTGTGTCAAAGTTGAAATTTTTTGTATTACAAATGTTGGATATTTTAATATATAAAAATTCCGTGTTCGTTCACCTTAAATTTTGTAAATAGCTCGACATATTTTAATGAAATTTTATAAATGTATAGTGTTTGCTCTGAATTAATAGATACGATAGTTGTTATCATTATAAGAAAAAAAAAATTCACCGGATAGGTCGAAACGTTTATCGGAACTGCAAGTATTATACTGAGCTGTTAAAATTGTTGAATTTCACTTTGTTTTACCCTTTCCATAACTTTTCTACATAGATAACTGTTTTTTACTTCATCAAATATACATATATTGACGAATTTGAGAGTCCCAACATGAACACATCTATAAACCTTGATGTGACAAGGCAATTTAACAAATCTAGGTATATGTGTATAGTGTGTGTGTATAGTGTGAGTATATGTGTGACATTGTGACATGTTTTGTGTTCGTGACTGTATTTAGATGGTGTTTTGATGGTGTGGTGCAAAAAGCATGGTGTTGTTGCTTATGAATAACTAGCGACCAATCCCGGCTTCGCACGGGTAGTAGAGTATATGTGCTTATATATATTGCATCAGCTTGTTGTGTCAAGTATGAGCTTCTTTTTTTCTTTTAAAAAATTCACATCTCCCCTCTAAAGGAGAAGAGATGGTAAACTAACCCCCGGTAGAAGCACCGCCGGGGTTCAGGGCCCCAGGGAGAGAAACCGGCGTACAATGCGGACGATTAATTATTATTTTAATTAATTACAACAATAATAATTATTCTTTTATTAGATGTAATTGTAACGTATTGCCACACTGCTTGGAGTATATTTTTTTTTGTATTTTATTTCCTACCCTGCAAATATTTGTTACTGAATAATTACTGTATATATCAAAATAGCTTTTACAAATACCATAATGGGTATAGTAAGCTATCTTTAAAAGATAAACGTATACCATGGCAGATTCTTTTGTAGAGCTATATACATGGGAAACAATAGAACCATACATTGTTTTATTATATTATATATCAAACGGGTTAGACAGCGTTATCGATGAAAGCTTCCAGGTGGCTTGATTTATTTCGTCATCATTAATAATCATAATTTTATTTTAAACAATTTACAGAAAACCTGAAGGAATGTAAAAATATACCTAAATCTTTTTCAGGAAACGCTCAATTGATTAATGAGTTTAAATTAATTAATTAGTTCATTAAGATTAGTTAATTAATTGCGACCACGTAAAAATTCATTTAGTAGTTTTCGAGTTAATTATCACAAAATAATTTCAACAAAAGTTCATTATTATTTTTTTTATTAAGTTTTATGAAACAGATTATGACAATCACTACTACACATTTTACTGAACTAAATGTTATCTTGCGGAAGTCCATATCACTGGTTAACTGGAACTAAATGGCAGTCGGAGATTGATGACAAATATAGAAGGTTGTGGGACTTCTGGTTGTAATAATGTATTTTTTTTATGCAACTTAGAATGGCAAACAAGCTAACAGCTGATGGAAAATAGTAACTGTTGCCTTTAGATATGAGCACTACCATAAACATTACAGAGTATACTGTTTCGCCCATGAGACCCCCCATGCGTTGCCATTCCTGAGAACTCGGGTGTTATGCCTCTGTACCCTATAAGTTCACTACCATATATATATAGCTGTACTATGGACATAACAGAGTATACTTTTTCGCCCATGAGACCCCCCATGCGTTACCATTCCTGAGGATTCGGGTGTTATTCCTCTGTATCCAGTAAATGCACACCATATCCCTTCAAACCGAAACACAGCCATGCAAACACAACTGCCTCACGGTAGTAACACGAATGGGATCGAGAGGACCAAGCAAATGACTTTTGTACAAAGTCTCCCTCTGGTAGTGTGTGTTTATAATGTTTAATCTTCGATTATTGGCTGTTACATACATACTAATAGCAGAATTTAACAAAATGACTCTAATCCAATAACCAGTATAAAACATTTTACCAGAGGGAGACTTTGTACAAAAGTCGATTGCTTGGGTACCTCTGTCCCATTCGTGTTTCAACCGTGAAGCAGTTGTGTATGCATGGCTGTGTTTCGGTTTGAAAGGTGGGATATGGCGTGAATTTACAGGGTACAGAGGAATAACACCTGAGTCCTCAGGAATGGCAACGCATGGGGGGTAACATGGGCGAAACAGTATACTCTGTTGTGCCCATGGCACTGCTCATGTCTATAGGCGACGGTTACCAGTTTCCATCAGGTGGGCCATCAGCTTGTTTGCCATTCTAAGTTGTATAAAAAAAAAAAACTATTAATTCAATTCAATTCAATTCAATTTATTGCATTCTACAATATTATTATGAAAGATGTTAATAATGGATAAAGTACATTGTAGACCCTGTCGGGCGCAGCAATTAGAAGCGAGGAGGGCGACGATCCTTAAATTGTCATATAGATTTAAATAATTCAATTTCAATTTCATCAATTTAATTAAATTCGAATTAAATTCCAAATTAATTTAATTATTTTATTATTTTAACGAATTTTTTTTATTTCCATATGTTTTATTTTATTTTAATGCAATTTAATGTAGTTGTTCATATTTTTATATCTTTTTAGTATCATTATCAATTTTAGTATTATTAATTAATAATTAATTATATATAAATTATATTTATATATTATGCGTTATTTTTTTATTAAAAATTTTTATCATTTAAATATTCATCTATATCGTAATAACATTTTTTAGCTAATAGTTGTTTTAATTGTGATATGAATACTTTATTGTTCTGTTCATTTCGTAATGTTTCCGGTAGATGATTATAAATGTTTACAGACATTACATAAGGGCTTGACAAATGAAGTTTAAGTCGAGAGGAAGGTAGTTGGAGTTTATTTCTCTGTCTAAGACAATATTTGGAAGGTACATCATCACGTTTTTTGTAGAAAACTTGATATTTCCTTACAAATTTGCTAATTTCCAAAATATATATGCATGGTAGAGTAAGTATTTTGTAATTTTGGAAATAAGGTCTACAGCTATCTGTTGATTTGATGTTAATTAAAATTCGTATTAATTTTTTTTGGATAATGAAAAGAGTGGGTGCATCAGTGCTATAATTGTTGTTTATGTTCTTATAAACTCATTAAATTAAAAATAATGAGACGCTATACTATATCCATCTTCGTACTTCGTCTTGCTAGTAAAATGATATTTGATTGTTAATAGAACATATTAGATTAATACAGACTATGTATTAATTTGATAGAATAAGAATTCTATTTCCCTTTACTTAGATACGAAATTACACTATTCGCTGTGTATGTAATTGTTACCTAGATCGCATGCTATGTGTAAGTTGATAGTAGCAAGCACATTTGTCCTTTACACTGCATGAAAACTTGAACCACCGACATATTTAAAGGAGTGTTCTATTAACAAAGATAAAATTCTATTCTCAAAGAAATATGGGTCGTATAAAGAAAAAATACTGACCTAGCCCTTCCAGCTGTTTTCTGGCCCATACTTCGCTGATAGAACACTACTTTAGAATGATGTTCATGATTTTTTTCTCCCAGTAGCGTCATTACAGTGTTGTAGAAGTTAGAGGTGATAACTGTTGATTTTAGATATCGCAAACAATAAAATCATTATATTCATGGTCATATTATATTTAGTTTAGCTTTCTATTCACCACACTTTTGTTTTCGAATACTTCTTCACACATATATGTAGATGATTATAACAAATAGTCTCTCTGTTTAAAATATTTACAATAGGCCCTCGGTTGCATGGTTTTCTTCTCATATAGGTAATAGATTTTTTATTATTAAAAAAAAAAAAATTAGATTCCTAAATGGTATTTATTATACAAAATTTATATCTGAGTGTGTGTTATAGTTGGAAATAGCTGTGAAATAGTTGTTCGCAATAAAGATGTATATAACAATTGATATGATATTTCAGGCCAATCCTGAAATCTAGCAGCAGCACAGAACCGAAGCACAAATCCCAGTACAGCGTGCCTAAAAACGGGCCCAACCCTACGCTGCGACAAGGCCCCAAAGACAGCTTACTTTTGTATGTATTTACTTATACGGGGTACTTTTAGTTTTTCTTAGAACGATATTATATTTTTTATTCTTTCAAAGGTCATTTAGGATACTGGTAATTATGTTACACGACTACCTAGGATTCGTGTGGATTTCTTCATTCCACCATAACTTCTAAATGTCCACTGCTGAACATAGGTCTTTCTTCCTCTTTATATATATATATATATTCATCACTCAATTTTGTATTTCATTTTTTTATCATCTCTAGCAATCATGTGTACTCGAAAATTTATATAGAGCGTCGAGTATCAAAAGCGGGTCGACTTTTTGACAGCTAATTATCAAATTAGCTGACTCGTTGTTTTTTATCAGCGTTCTATATACTTACGCACACAATGTACCTCGACGTATCCAAATTTAATTATTTAATAAATAAAATTATTTTTTACGTCTTAAAAGATGAAAAGAATTTAAAAATTAAAATAAATATAGAAATTATAAAGGAAACACTCATAACTATTTATCACGCAACAAATACGCTATGTATAAAAAAGTTGACCCGGTTTTCTCGAAACATTTGTATGCAGTCATTCTATCTATATAATCTAAGCCCGATATAGAACCTATATGTTTTGTACCTCCGATTTCTTCCATAATAATGGGTAAAATAAATTTAAATCCTTATGTTTTAGTAGAATTGGTTTAGTGATTGTTATCAATTATTACAGATTAGATTATCTTGCGTGGAATGGACCCAACCCTGACCTCAGGACAGGACAGTCTGTGAAACCTGAAGGTCCGGACCCGCGCGAGCGGCCAGTCAGCCTCGCCAGAGGACCCTCCGGCCTAGCGAAGGGTCCCGCTGGTATTGCCAAAGGATCCATTTATCAGAAACTTAACAAGAAATCGGCTAAAATGTAAGTATTTCTCTACTTTTTACATAATAGTGCCTGGCTTATGTTGTCTTAAAGATAAGGCAGTAAATTTATGGTTGTTTTTCACGGTGTCCGATAATGACTCGTTATCTACCAGACACTACAACAGTATCACGTGAGAGGGCTATGTCCCCACATGACTATTAGTAGTCGAGATGTTATTGGTTACTATGTGATAAACACCGGTTTCCATTGTCAATTTTTGTAGCCTAAACAGTTTTTTTTAATGGGTGATAATGGAATGGTATCCCCACCCGCGCTATCGGTATACACCGGCGGGGCACCAGTGAAGAATTATAGATGAGGATGAAACAGGTCAGTTAGCCCATCGTGACGAATTCAACAAGAATTGTTCACGATGGTTTCCAGGGGGAACCACGTGGAGGTCGACCTAATAGCGCATATTGCTAGCAATGGGGCTGTCAAACTCCATTGCTAACAATCCCTTCCCCCCGGCCTAAACAGTTGATCTAACATTTTTTTAGTTAATTTTAAACTTTCGCGCTGTTTACATATGTTTTAAATACACAATCGGGATTTGACGCGATGTAAAGGTAAAAGGTGATAAAGAGTATCTATCTACGTACTATTTACCTTTACAGGTAAGGTACATAGATAGATACTTTTGAAATAACCGAGATTATAACTCCTAAGAATTATCCTCCAATGGATAAGAGGGCATAGTGGATCTTATGGTAACGATGCCGCAGACGAACTACCTAGAAGAGGCTCAGGAACGAGGGTGGTAGGCCCGTATCCACTTCTTCCTCTTCCGTTCTCGCAATTTCGAATATGAATTCGTCAAAAATCCGCTGACATACAAAACCAAAGATGGATATAGGCTACTGATTGCAGACAACCAAAATTGGCCGTGCCTACGTTGAATCAACGACTATCAAAACGTTTATTACATCTAGATAGAAAAAATCTTAAAGTAATCATAGGGACAATAACGGGCTATTGTCCATTAAACAAACATTTATACACAATAGGAGCCACAGACAGCCCTCTATGTTGAGGCTATTTCGACGCCGAAGAAACGGCTGCTCACATAATCCTGGACGTGAAGCTGTGGCCCATCAACGTTTAGAAATCTTCGGAACGGTGAGGTGGCTCAGTGAGGCCTATGAAGATCCCAGGAAGCTTCTGTGCTTCTGGGCAGAACTAGGTTGGCTTTACTAACCACGACTCATACGCACAACGACCCAAATAAGAGGCTAAGCGCAGAAAATAAGAGTCCTATTTACATTACATTACATTTTAGATACACTTTATTGTTTCCTCCAAAAGATTATATATTAATAGTAAACTTATAGATATAACAATTACAAGAAATAATCACAATGAGAAAACAATGGGCGACCTTATCGCTAAAAGCGATCTCTTGCAGGCAACCTTTGGATTGAGAGGAGTAATTATAAACAGTTTGATTGGAGGCACGATGAAGATCCTATTATTTCTAATTATGGAGATGTTATACATGTAATAATGTAAATATGTATCCCTACTTATTATTATATAATATAGTACCTAATAGTACCTACATACCTGCTTCTTTATTGCCGACATTTAGACGTGGATTGGATTTATCTATAAAGACTTTTACATCACGTTAAGTCTCGATTGTGTATTTAGAATAAGACTTTTTTTTAATTAAATTAACTATATTATTATAACTATTTTACCTTATCACCTTATTCGACAAGCTCGCTAGGTGGAAACTTGTAACCATGAACTCTACAGCATGTTGATACAACATTGGAACCGTATTGAGATGTATTTTCTCTTTACCTAATATTTTGATTTGATATTTTAATTCTTATAAAGTGCCCGTAACCGGCGAGCGTGTATGAAAAGATTGATGAATGTGGAAGAAGCGAAAGAGGTTTGTTTGAATCGAAGCATTTGGCGTTGTATTGTTTCTGCCTACCCTAATGGGAGACAGGCGTGACAGATATATATGTATGTATATTTTCATGAAATTGCAAATTGAAAGTGTAGAGAAAATCCCAAAAAGAGAGATGGATGGACTGTATGATGACTGCAAATGGAGATGAATGAAAAAAGAAGATATTACCCTTTTAGGATAGTCTATAAAATAGTAATTTCACAAAAATATCTTCTTCTTGTTTTTTCCCCATATATATTTGGGGTCGGCGTAATGTTTTCGTGTGGTCCCGGCATAGAATAAGCTACTGTTCCTTTGAGTGTCATAAGATGCGACTAAAGGCAGCAGTGTCCCTCTTAACATCTCCAACGCCTAACTGCGGTCGTCAACCCGCCTGCCAAGCGTGGCAACTGGCCAAACCCACCAATAGAGAGAGGCCTATATTCAGCGGTGGACAGTTAACGGCTGTTACATCAATAAAATAATAATTGACTTGGTTTATGGTTACAATTCGTGTTTCAACCGTGAAGCAGTTGTGTTTGCATGGCTGTGTTTCGGTTTGAAGGGTGGGATATGGCGTGAATTTACTGGGTACAGAGGCATAACACCCGAGTCCTCAGGAATGGCAACGCATGGGGGGTAACATGGGCGAAACAGTAAACTCTGTTATATCCATGGTACTGCTCATATCTAGAAGCGACGGTTACCACTTTCCATCAGGTGGGCCGTCAGCTTGTTTGCCATTCTAAGTTGTATAAAAAAAAACAATACACTGTACGATTAATATGTATATATTTTTTCTACACAGCGTTGCCTGAGGTGTGACGAGTGGCGCTACAATATCTGCTATGATCCTGTAAGTTTTTAATAATAAATTAGATTTTTACGTACGAATACGTCCATAGATCACAGCTGAATTTGATCCTTCTTTGCATTATGGTGGAAATTTCCATCATAACATTGAATGCCCAAAAATTATATAAAAGACCAAGTTCACTTTAAGTTGATCGTGTTTGGATACCTTTTTAATGTCCATTGCAGAAAAAAAACATAGCTGACAATTTTTTTTTACCATTTTTCCTTTAATTTTGGACAGGAATTTTATCATCTTGATTTTTTTCACCAATAAAAAAAAATCATGCAAAGAAGGGTTTATTGCACCTGTAGTAATGATTAATATTATTTCAAAGATATATTTACAGATTAGTTCCAATCAAAATTTTGTCGAAATCTATTAAGTAGTTTAGTTTTTAAATTAAAATAACTTATTTTGTCACAGTCGCACACACAGAAAACGTTTTTTTTTTTTTTTGTTTTAAATTACTGATCCTATTTTAATAATTTTTTTATAAAACTAATCTGAAAGTATCCTGTCTTTTATTATTATTTTTTTAAACCTAAGTTAATCTTTTACGACCTCTACATACATGCACAATTGCGAAAATCTTATGACCTTAGTTGTCATTTCTGACAATTATTGAATTTTTTTTTGTTGTTACAACAATCTTTTATTATTTATTCATGACATCCTATCGTAAACACTAGGTGTCATGTCATATAGGGAGGTTAAAGATATGGCCTGGAATAGGGCTGGCATGAATCAGTTGCACAGACAGAGAAGATCTTTAACGAAAAGAGGACATCCTATTGACTAATACTTGTGGCACCTATGAAATTAATTAATAAATTTTATTTGTAAATAACATTTGCTTTATTTTGTCATTCAGGTAGTACCAACATGACGATATATCGGAATATTGTAAGTCGATTGGGGTCGATCTTAGCGTATGCAGAAAGGAACTGCAAAAAAAAAGATGTTTGATTTGTAAAAATAAATATTGTAATAGATAAATTGTGAAAAAAAAAAAGCAAAACTAGACTATATTCAGAAGGGAAAACGAAGCAATAAAATCAGCACATTCGGACGGCTTTGTTACAAGTACCAACATAATGTAATGATAATAGTAAAATATTAGCATTTGTGTAAGGAGATTTTATCATTACAATAAGGTCCAATTTTCCCCACCGCTGTGTTTCAGAACTATGACGTAACAGGTTACTTATACGTAGCTAACCGTAACTTCTTATGAACCCTGATATAAATAATGCTTATATTAGTGCTTGTTCAATCTTCACTCGTGAATTGTGCATAAAGGATCTAACTTAATCACTTAATCAATATCATCAATACTTTAAATATGTTAGAAGAATCAAAGATTGGTTACTTCTTTCCTTATGAACCAGAAACTTACTTTGTTGTACAAAATAAGTTTATGTTGCTCTCTTTTGTTGTATATTTCATGTAAGTATTATTATTATCTAAACTATTGTTGTTTTTCTTTAAGTTTCATTAATATTTTATTTGTAAATTGTAATTTGACATTCCAGTAATCGATCGATTAATATTCGTTAAAAACTGACATACGTCACAACATGGAGATGTAAGAAAATGTCTAAACTCAGTAAATTGTAAATATTATTTGATAAAAATTAAAACTATGAAGTTTATTATTAAAATATCAAAGTATTCCACAAAATGGGCGCTTTATCTTACAAAATGTATTTTTATGTGAACATTGTTATAGAATTAAATTTTGAAACTTGCTGCCTGCCACTGTATTAGACTTTAGACTCTAGCACTATCAATTTATTTATCACTATAGCCTGAACAGTTAGAAAATAGTGGCATTGATGTAATATGTAGTATAAGTGAGACTTAAAAAAGTAGAGTTAAAAAATAAGGATGAATATCCATCAACAGTATTAAACATGTAATGTAACATGCAACAAACCGCTCAGAAGTATATGGTGATCAGTGAGTACATATGAGATGTAACATTGCTGTATGATGGCATACTTATGTTACATTAACTATAACATGAGCTTGTTAGCGGTCTATACTCACCCTATCACTTAAATTTAGTCATAATTTATAGATAGGAATAATATTGTATACCTGTCCATTGCCAAAGAAGCATTATTTTGCTTTATTAATCAAACACATATTAACAGTTATTTAATTGCTATATGTAATTATTATTTAAAAAAAAAAAGATTAATTGAGCAAATATAATGTTCCCAAACCCTTGTGTTGTGTCCCGTTCTTCCGATTTGCATTTATGATAATTATTAATAAGGCATCAAGTTTCAACGTCGAGACGGCCCTCCAATCTTAAAACCATCGAAATATAAATGAATAACGCTTATGGAGCGTATATTTACAAATTATTTTTGTACATAGACTTATTATATTGTGCTGCGTCTACCTACCTGTGTAACGTATATTGTATCATGTAATGCAACGCAAATAGTTCTAATAACTTGTGTTCATGTTGTAAGTAAATAGATACTTTATTAATATAAGACTATAATAGTCTTATTAATAATACTTTTAATTCTTGTAGCACACTTTATTATCATCATAGATTAGTTACATTTCAGTAACAGTTCACCTAAATACCGGTATCAGATTGAATGGCCTGCCGGCGCATACGTTACATTACACATATTACAATGCATGTTACACACGTGTGGACCCAGCTTTATAGAATGTCAAAAGATTATAGAGTTGGTGGTCGCCCATTGGTTTCTATGGTTTAGCTAAATTTACCTGTTGCACTTAATGCGTAGTTGTGCGACAATATGTTTACATTTCTGTGCCAAAAATGGGTGTGAAAATGTAAACGTCATCAATGTTTGATTAGTCAAAATGATTCTCTAACAAAACTCTTCTTAAAACCGGCTCTAAGTATAATCTGTAGGCAAAGTAATAGTAAAATTTAGTAGGTGCAAAACCGCCTTAAAGAGTCATTCTGTTTGTTCCTGAATTTATAGTATTGAAAAGTATTTATCATAAGCACCAGTGTTCAATAATGTTATAATTAACACTAGTGTATGGTAAGCCTTAGATAAAACACTATATAAGGTGATACCTAGATCACTGGCTTCCTTTACATTTTGCTCCACAAATTACAACCTAAAAAGTGAACTATTAAAAATAAAAATATAACATGTCAAGAATCCTAACAATACCCCATTCATAACTATTCATACGTCGTGAAGCTGACCTGACGTTGTTCTGTCCATAGCTAATAGTTTATTTGGAATAAATGAGGTTTTCGTTTTTCCGGGCAATTTTTCCAATTTTTCTCTTCATATAAATTGCCGAATTCGAGTCGTTCTTAAATGTAATATGATAATATATAAGCTTTGCCTTTAGTAACATATTTAGCGATTTATTATTATTTATATTTTTATATAAAGAATTTATTATGATCAAATAAAGAATGTCTTATACAGACATGAACTCCGAAAACATTCTTTTGGACAGTCGTATTTACATACGCGTTGTTGGCGAATAGTCAAGTTGGCAAAACGCGCCAGTAGGCTAAATCAAGTCGGCGGATCGCACATATACTGTGTAAACATTCAAGTGTCATTATTAAAGCGTTCCGTTAAAAGATTCCTGATATCACCTTGTATAGAGTATTTATCTAAGGTCTAGTTTCCGAAACATGCCGTCTTTCAATGTTTCTATTATTTCCAGGTTATTTTCCATTCATTGTAATTCAAAGAAAATGGGGTCGATTCTGAAAATCTATTCTTCTAAACCTTATTCTAAAATTAACGTTTCTATTTGATATTACAGCAAAATTTTTACTCTGAAGACCAAAGAGAACTAAATTTCTAATGCGTGTAAGGGCGAATTATTATAAACTACCTCACCCGATGGAACCTAGTATCGTCTAACAGTCTAAAATTTTATTTTTCGTAAATTTTTCCAATATTTTAATAGTTACTCTGTTATTTAGGGTTGGAGACGAATCCAACAAACCATACATCGTCAAAATATGTCCACCGTTCTGAAGTTATAAATAATGTAACTAACCTGACTTTATTTAGTTTTTTTTTTTATATATTTAGTTTAAAATGGTGCATAAAACGGTAATTTCATTAAACTATCAAATTTAAATATTAGAGAAATAGCGCCTCAGAATTGGCCCCAGTGGTTGCTTCTTGTACAACTGTTATTATAGAATCACTAGGGTAGTGACACGGCGACATATCTGTGAGATAGAGGCTCAGTCTCTGTACGTAGCTAGTCTAGGTAAATCTAGTCAATTAGGTTTAAGATATATAGGCACAATCCCACATTCCATATTTTTGTGAACATTGTAATTCGTTGGTCAAAATAAATTTATTATTGATTTTGTCCAATCGTTGTTTTATTTACGTTATTATTATACATTTATATGTGAAAGCCTTAACGGCTTAACCATTTACTATCAAATTTGGTATACTATTTGGGATGCAGAAGACAACCTTTTATTTCGGTCAAGCGGACGAAGTCACGGGTAAAAACTAGTGCAATATAAAATTATGGCTTTAAGTGCCAGTAAAAAGCCATTCAAGTTTTCCATTTCTATTATTAATGATTAAATGAGTATTTAGCAATAAAAATATTTTTTTCTAAAAGGATCATTTTTAGAAAAATAATGGAAAAAAAATTTGCATCTCGTGACCTATCGGTACAAATTAATATAGAAAGCTCAAACTTTTTTCTCGTGTTTTTCAGGACACTCCTAAAAGGATTCCAATCGATTCATCTTATTGTTTCTCCAGCTTCGAACATACAATTTTTTTATGCATCTTAGAATAGCGAACAATAACAAATAATGAAATAATGTTGTGGGTATTCCAGTCGACTGAAAGCCTATCTAATGTTCCATTACGTCACTTGACCTACTTGAAATTTTCCACAGGAGTTGTGTATGCAAAGAAAAATGCTGCCCTTCGCAAAATTTCCTGCTTCTAGCCTTCGTAAAGTAGGTTGTATGACGAATGTTCAGTTTATCCCTTCTCCTTCTAAATAAGTATAGGTTTAAAAAAATACGTTCACACTCTCAAAGATATATCCTGATATTCTTAGCATGATCATGCAGTGTGTCCCAATGGTTTTCTTTTACAATTTTGGTGTTTTCTACAATTTTGAGTTAAGAGTTGAGTATTTTCGTCATGAGAGCATTGCATAACATTTTAGATGCTACAATAGATTTGAAACCTTATAGCAATGCTATTAGCATTAAAATTTGCTCAATCACATTATATTTTTAATCGTAAATATAAATGAACGGATTGCTCTCAATTAAAGCTATATCTTTCTCCAACTGCCTCAGTTCTTGCTCCATTTTTGTTTTCTTGAGTATCTTCGGGATGGTGTCCGTTAGCATTGGGAGTTGGAGGAATGCTTTCTGCATCAGTTGCCAGTTGTGTTTAAGATCCTGAAAGTAAAATAAATGTTTATTGTGGTCTAACTAAAATCCGGAGTGGCGACCACCGCAGTGTGGAACGATCTTTAGCTAGATGGAGCGACAATCTCGAATGTATTGCAATAAGCTGGATGCAAGTGACTCAGGGTCATTCATTACAGTTGTCTATGCTCCCCCATAGACAACTAGAATGGAAGAGATGAAGAGGACATTCCTCTTATGTTTAGCAGTTAACATCTGAAATGATGGTAAACCGAACTAGTCTAATTAAGCCTAATTACCTCTAACAACTTTTGTCGTTCCTCCTCAGAGACTTGCTTGCACAGACTCTCCCTATTTTCCTCAGCATGTTTGATCTTCTCCAATTCTCTTTGTATACGCCTATTCCTTTTCACCAAGTAAGCGGGCATTTTCCCGAAGTCCGGCCTTAGACAGTACTCTGGCACTTCGCCAGAGCCCTTTATCTTTTTTATATGTCCATCTCTAGTGTCTACTAACCTTTAAAGATTACAAAACATAAGCTAATAAGATGAACCTATATAGATACGTAAGTTATTAATGTAAGCTAAAATTATAATTAAGATTCTATGAGGTGTATAGAAGACATAGCCCCCTTAAGGGAGACATAGGTTCAGCAGTTTATAGTTAATGGTGAATATGAGGGGAGAAAGAGATTGTTAGTAATGGGGTCAAATAGCCCTATTACTAGCAATATACCCCGTCAGGTCGATCTCCACGTGGTTCCTCCTAGAAACCATCGTGACTAATTCTAGTTTAATTCGTCAGGATGGGCTAACTGATCTACTTTCACCTTCATCTGTCAACCCTCACTGGTGCCCCGCCAGTGTCTACCGATAGCACAGACGGGGTTACCATATCATAATCAGTCATTAAAAAAAAATGGTGAATATGATGACGTTGATAGTATCTATTAGCCTCCAGAAAACTAAAAGTATACCAACCATGAACCTTCTCTCTGGTTCTCAGGCTAGAACACAGCATAGTTCAGAACTACCTATGGTAATCGTAACCTACATTCTTGTAGTATTCTCATCTCCATGTATAATATATAAATTAATAAATTATTAATTTTGCACCTTCTATGTTACGCTTTTTATACTAAACCTATAAATACTTTCTCCTTTCGGATTCTCGAGGTTAAATGGAAGAAATCCCTTTAAGGGATAAATCCACCTGTGTACATTTTAGTATATCATAATATCTATAAGTGAATGTATAAAAGTATGTATAAATATAATAATACATCTGATATATGTGTAAGTATATTTGTTATGTATATATATTTATTTATACGTACGTAAATTTTATCAATTACTAGTACCTCATTCGAGTATTCTAACACTTCCCTAAAGTTGTCTGGGAGAGAATGCTTTTAGCATTAAGTCCACCATGTATAAATATATGTACAATAGCAAGCAAATGCTTCATATATGTACAATATACGCTATTGTACATATATGAAGCAGGTATGTAGGTACTATTTACCTGTAAAAGTTTTTATATCGCGTTAAGTCGCGATTGTGTATTTAAAATACGTGTGAATAACACGAAAGAATAAATTAACAACTACTACCTAGTTCATGCAATTCTAATCCTTATGCATGTGAATTTTACGAACTATGTATATAAGTTCAGAAACTTGCCTGGGTTCCACGGGTTTCCCTTTAGTTTTTATAGCCTTCTTTATGTTCACCACTTTAAAATTGATCTTGGGCTTTTCCGGTTTCTTCCCCGGAGGTGGGCGTTCCGGCACCGGTGGTAAGTTGCTAGACACGACACATTTGTGATCAGATTTTTTTCTCGGTTGCCCAATACCTTCACCTTTTCTTAAGAATTTATCTGGGGTTTTTAGAGGCGTTTCCGCATAACCGAATGTAAGTCGTAATTGTGGGATCTTTCTTTCCTTCAACTCCCTCTCCAGTTTGGATTCATACCTGCGATTAAAGAAAATAATAATTAAATCACATCCAGCGTTGCCGTGTTGGGTATTTTTATCGCAATTTTGGTCAAACATTTTTTGTGTTCGCGAAATTTTGAAAAATCTGTATTTTTGGGGTAACGTTGAAATTTGACGTTTGGGTGAAAATCTATATTTGCATATGGCAATCCTGATCACATCATTATTATGATCTTTTTGTTGATAACTGTCGACTATGATGGGTAACAAACACGAATACTCATAGACATATTTTTTTAATAAATAATAATGGAATGGACGAATGAGATAGGTAAGGTTGAAAGCATATCAGTTAGCCCATTGTGACGAATTTCACAAGAATTAACCACAATAAGTTCCAGAGGGAACCGCGTGGAGGTCGACCTGACAAGGCGCATTGCTAACAATGGAGAATGAGATTGTCAGTAGTCGAATATAATAATATTCCATTACTAACAAACCATATCTGCCCTATACTCGGCAACGCACGCGTAATACCTCTATTGCGGGTGTTCATAGGCTACGGTCTTACACTTACCATCAGGTGGGCCGTATACTTGATTGCCACCTCAGTGGTATAAAAAAATACTGTACAGTTAAAATCGAAAAGGGAGTTGGCATAATTTTAGTAATTACACAATACAACTATGTCAGGTAAAGGTTGAAGACTAATTCATACAAATACGTGATATCATAGGCCAAGGTAAAGCGCTAGGTAGCGCCTAAGAGATATATCAACCAAGAATCAGGAACCGGTACATTATATATATTCTTTTTTACATTACTGTAATGCCAAACAAGCACACTATCCACGTGATGGTAAATAACTGCATAGCTTATATATGAGTCACACATTGCAGTCTTAAGAAATTTTAAGAAAAGCCTTTTTTTTATTTTATTTTTTTTATTTTTATTTATCTCTCGATGCAAAAAGAGGGGTGTTATAAATTTGACGTATCTACGGATCCATGATATCGTAAACGAATAGATCAATTATAATGCGGTTTTTTATTTAAAAATCTGACGGGATCGACATGTTTCTTAAATACAATTTATGAAGATCTGTTCAAGTGTTTAAAGGTCATCTCTTCAGAGATTACTTAATGTTATTTAATTTTATTAATAAAAGACGAGAAATTAAAGTGAATAAAGCAAGAGATGTAAAATTTAAATAGACACGGGTAAAAGTCTTTGGACATTTCTTCTTATCCTTACTAATATTATAAATTTGAAAGTGATCGTTTTTAGAAGTGACCTAATAGCACTTTAACGGCTTAACTAATTACGATGAAATTTGGTATATACGAATTGTATGAGGTGGACCTTTTATCCCGGATACGAAGACTAAATTGCTGGTAAAAGCTAGTCATATATTATATATAAAGTTGAGATAATATTTGGCTAATAAATAAATGATGACGATTTTGGTCTAGAATATTGCCTTACCTTGGTGTCTTAGGCGGTTCCGGTGGTGGTTTATCAAGAATTGAGTAAATAACTTCATCGTGTTGGGATATTTCAACTAATGACATTTTAAATTTAACGGCTAATAGAAAAATAAAGAAAATTAAAATGTAAAATCTTTAAAAACGTTTAGAAAGTCCTTTCTTCTCTCTAGTACAAATAAATCATGCAGCACTAGATAAATATCACATCGGTTGCGATGGAAACCCAGTAAATACCTAAATACATAGATTAAGAATATAACTGAATTTGATTATATAGATAGAGCATCAAGTCTTTAATTAGCTGACTCTTTTTTTTCTTATTAGCATTCTATATATTAATGCACACAAAATGTCTTTAATTATCTAATAAATAAATGAGTTATTGTGCATTAAAAAAAGAGCATAAATTATAAGACAAAAATGCAACAATAAAAAAGAATCACTTATAACTGGTAAGTATCTTTAATTTTAGGTAAATTTATTAATATAAATATTCTCATTTCTTTTGAAAGAATTCGCGCTATTTTTTAGTGTTGCAAGTATCCAAAATTTCCTAACAATTAAATTATAATATCCGAAATAATGTGAATTTCTTCTCAATAAGAATTGAATTACTAACAATTGTTTGTATTTTGAGCTATTTTCTTAAATAAAACAAATACAATATTTTTTAGATATATACATAAACATATTATATAGACTATTAATTTGTTCATATTTAAAGTATGTACATTAATGATAATAATAATCACTCCAACCCTAGGATATATAAAAAAACAGTGGAAGATTTAAAAAAGAAAACAGATGATTTAGTTAATAACATATAATCAAATTTTAAAGATCATGATCCTAGATTGTACGCTGGATCATCAAATATTACTATAAAAATAGACGAAATTGAAAAAAAATTAAATTGAAAAAAAAATCCTGAACATAAGGTGATATACAGTACAAATCTTAGATTGCGAACATAAGTATATTATAGTATGTCTATGGTACGAAGAAATTTTTATCGGGTCATTGACCTCTTAAATTCAGATCGATAATAAAATAATTTTTATGTTGGCAACTCGTATTCTGTTGTCAAACTTCCAAAACAAAAAATTTCACCTCTGTTCTGCGATTTTTATTTTTAGAATTTATTTTATTTTACTTAATTGTTAAGCTTAATGTATTTCTTTAAATGTGTGTATTGAATAGAATACAAAATGCTGATCAGACAGTTCAAAGGCGGTCTACAAAAATGTTGTGTGTACAGATATCTCGGAATTGGTAGCAGGAGGTACGCGCACCGTGTAAATTCTTTGGATCTGGAAGAAAGACTTGATGGATGCTTAACTACCTTGCCATCGGAAGCTAAAGTGGTAATATGTGGCGGAGGAGTTATGGGAGCGGCGGTGGCGTACCATCTAGCCAAGCGCGGCTGGGGAGATAAAACAATATTGATTGAGAAAGAATGGTAAGAGCCGGTCGTTATAATTTTTTTAATTTATCTATGATCGCAATTAATATAATTTACAGTACAGAATATAGAGTTGTGTGATGTCTACTCATTGATGATATAATAGTGTAATAATAATTAGGTTATTTTTTTTTATAATTTCGATATGTATTTTTTAAACTTATCTAATTAATTTCTACCTTCATGCCAAATAAATCGCCTGTGATTTCTTTATCATCACCATATGAGCCCTTAACTGTCCATAGGCTTCAGGGAGGGGGGGGGGGGGGTGTTAGCCTTTGATGATGTTTGTAGAGGGATGTTGCTGGTCATCCCTCGACCATTAAGTTCCCTTATTCACCTCTTGCAACACACAGTAAAGGAAGAGGTGACCCATTCTATGCTGGGACCACATGGCTTAAATGGTTGTGATATCTTAATGTACAAAATCTATGCCTCCATATGTTCATTCATGCTAAACCCTGAAACTGTTTGACTGATTTTAATTAAATTTAAATAAATATCTTGGTAAGATAAAATGGAGATATAGGTGGTAGACACAAAACAAGGTTTGCTGAGTGAGCTATTTTTTTTATACAACTTAGAATGGCAAACAAGCTGATGGCTCACCTGATGGAAAGTGGTAACCGTCGCCTATAGACATGAGCAGTACCATGGACATAACAGAGTTTACTGTTTCGCCCATGTTACCCCCCATGCGTTGCCATTCCTCAGGACTCAGGTGTTATTCCTCTGTACCCAGTAAATTCACGCCATATCCCACCCTTTAAACCGAAACACAGTCATGCAAACACAACTGCTTCACGGTTGAAATGAGCTAGTTTATTTATATAAGTAAGGTTGTTAATAGATTATCAAAAGTATCTGTATGTATTATTATTAATAATAATACACATATTTAACAGGAAATTAACGAACTTATTCTATAGTACTAGTAGTATGTGACAAGTAGTACTAGAAGTAGTGTGAGGCAAGATGCTGTTATGCAAAGCATCAAAAGCCCCTGAAGAAAACAACTTTCGGAAACAACAAAACACAGTGAATTCTTTAATTTCTTGCTATATGTATATAGATATTGGAAATACTTTATAAATATATATAAATACTTTATTATATATTGGAATAAGAATAATTTTTATGATTAATTGAATTTACAGGGTATAGAGGAATAACACCTGAGTACACAGGAATAGCAATGCATAGTAGGGGGGTATCATGGGTGAAACAGTATATTCTGTTATATCAATGGTACTCATGTCTTTAGGTGATGACTTGTCTGCCATTCTAAGTTGCATAATTATTTTTTTTTCATTTTATATATATCTTGCTTTATGGAAAGCATCTCTTGTCTTAACAGGGTTGGTGGGGGAAGCCGTTGGTACTCCTCAGGGCTTGTTGGTGAATTCAAGCCTTCACTTGCTCAAGTGCGTCTTGCACAGTCTTCTATTCGACTTCTTAAGGAGTTAGAATCCAGAGGCCGTAAGACTGGCTGGAAGCAGTGTGGATCCTTACTCCTTGCGCGCACCCGAGATCGAATGACAGTCTACAGGAGAATGAAAAGTCAGTCAGTGTAAGTATTTATTTTTATTAAAAAATGTTTTATTTCCAAAAATATTATTATATTTTGGAAAGAACTTATAAAATAAATACTTTTAAAGCTACAAACTAGTTAACTTGTTCAATTTATTCTAGTTACTTTGTATGTGTGGATTACAGGATAGTATATATATATATTTATATATATATATATATATACACCAATTTCTGTAATTAGTTTAAGGGCCTTCGTTTTGGTACATAACAATTATTTATTTACTATTTACTTCAAATAATAATAGATGTCCTAAATGTTGCTTCTTTAATTGATATTTTAATTTGCTATCCATATATAAACAGATCATGGGGCATACCATGTGAGCTGGTGACTCCAAAGAGATGTCAAGAAATCTGGCCAATGTTGAATGTCGAAGATATTCTTGGTGGACTGTGGATACCAGGGGATGGTGTGGGTGATCCCCACCTGTTTTGTATGTCGTTAATAAGGGAAGCTGTAGATAATGGTAAGTTACCTTTATAGCACACATACTTAGAAATATGTACTTTTTTTTCTCAAAATAAAGCAGAAAATCTTTTTTCAACAAAAAGTTTATTAATAAACAGTTTATTTATATTTATAAAAAAAAACTGCAGCTACATTAGCATAGTAATTGCACATCAAAACCAAAATTCGTTTCATAGTTTGAATTTAAAATTTGAATAATAAAAAAAAGATCCCACTATGGTTTTAATAATATGAAATAATGGTTGATTAATGGTACATTAACCATGCTATTAATAAAAATTGACTAATTGACCTAATTCTTACCCATTGTCATAATCTGGTACCTCACCAGTAAAAACTGATAGCGCAAGTTACCAGGATTTTTTCATTTTCAATTTATAAAAAATATTATGATATAATCATGACTTAATTAATTTGATTAATTTAGGCGTGAGTGTGATAGAAGACTGTGCAGTAACAGGTGTTCTATCCAAAGATGGGAAGGTGTCTTGCGTGGAGACCACAAAAGGCACTATTCAGTGTAAATACTTTGTGAATTGTGCTGGATTTTGGGCGAGGCAGGTATGTAATATTAACAGTCTTATTAGACCCTAATATCAGCCACACACAACAGACATTTTAAAATCTCAAAATCTAACTACTAACTAAAAAATTTAAACAAGTTTTCATTTTTAACAACGTGGAAGTTGTTAACTGTATTTTTATTTCCATTTTATATGTAACAAAATAGATTAAAGTTTACAGAATTAAAACCGATTATTTTCTCATTTAAGATTTCTTTTTTTTTTAATACTGTATATTGCATTATGCTATTCTATGTTTGTTCATCAGGTGGGCCAGCTTGCAAGACCTCAAGTCAAAGTACCACTGTTGCCCTGCGAACACTACTATTTACATACAAAGGCGATTGAAAACTTAGATCCTATGACACCTGGTATGTTTTATTTAGTTACTAATGCGCGCAAATATCCTAAAGATATTTAGTTATGCCCTGAGTAGTCACATGGTAACTAATTATGCCTGCAAATATACGCGTGGTAACTAAATATGCTCCCAAATGTCCACTTGGTAGCATATTTAGTTACCGTTTGGTAATTACCAGAGGGAGACTGTACAAAAGTCGATTGCCCATAATGTCGATTGAGGTACCCAAACCTCTGTCCTATTCTTGTTTCAACCGTGAAGCAGTTGTGTTTGCATGGCTTTGTTTCGGTTTGCAGGGTGGGATATGGCGTGAATTTACTGGGTACAGAGAAATAACACCTGAGTTCTCAGGAATGGCAACGCATGGGGGGTATCATGGTAGAAACAGTATACTCTGTTATGTCCATGGTACTGCTCATGTCTATAGGCGACGGTTACCACTTTCACATCAGGTGAGCCGTCAGCTTGTTTGCCATGCTAAGTTGTATAAAAAGAAAAAAATTACTTACCATCAGGTGCTTGATTGCCACCTCAGTGATATAAAAAAAACTTAGTATCTGGTTATGCCATAAATAACCACTTGGTAACCACTTATGCCTACAACTATGCGTGTGGTAACTAATTATTCCCGTAACTATCCGTGAGGTAACTAATTAAACTCGCGAATATCTGCATGGTGTGGAGAAGACACACGGACGAGATTGCAGGTAAAAACTAGTTGTCCACGAAATATGTCAAGTACATAAACAATTATACTAACAGACCTATATACCCTGAACTAATTATTTCTGCTAATTTCTATTATATATAAAAAGTTGATTGTAAACAGATATCAGTGATATTTTCATCTCTTTCAGTTGTCCGCGACCCTGACGGTTACATCTACTTACGGGAAAGAGATGGTTGTATTTTAGCTGGTGGCTTCGAACCCGTTGCCAAGCCTGTTAATGAAGAAGAAAGTAAGTTGAAATATACTCTTTTGTATATTTATATAAATTTAAATTTAAATCATAATTATCCTTTTAAAGTAGTCTTTTTATAATGTTTTTCTAATGGAAATATAAGTCGAAAATAGGCCAAATAATCTAAGCAAGATGTACTCATAGGTACTAACATGTCATGTTATCCTGTCATACTAGTGTGGGGAGCTCCAAACTTTATGAAGTTATTTAACCTATGTTTTTAGGGCAAAATGTACTAGTAGAATCTTTAGCGTTTTCGACATATAAATATATTACTATTCGATACAGTAATATTATATTATATATTTTTAAAGTGGAAAATTTTCCCCAATTTTATTGCTGAAAATATTACGTGAGGCTTATTTTTACATCAATTGGGAGTCTTTTTTAATAGAATTTGAAAAAGAAGTAGGTTGTCAAGAAGTGGTATGCTCTTTATGATTTTTTACCACTGAACTCCGTCATTTATAATAGGTTTATAAATCGAAAAATTCTATGTTAATTTGAAATAGTATATCATATTGGTCCCATAGAAATTTCATGAAAATCAATTCAGTAATTTAGTTCTTAAATCAAAATAGTCAATGTTTCTTGTGGTACAAAATCTACTTGTTATAAATCATTCGACTACAACAATTTTACTATCTCAACACAGACAAACAAACAAATTTTTAATTACACTAGATTTTGATCCTAAATGTGCTATACATACAGTCCAGAATTCAGAGCAACGCCACGTGGCCGAAGACTGGGACCAGTTCCACGTGCTCCTCCAGGAGCTCCTGAAACGGGTCCCTGCTCTGAACCAAGCTGTGTTGCACAAACTGTGCAATGGGTTGGAAGCATTCTCTCCAGATTGCAAGTGGATCGTTGGTGAAACACCAGAGGTATGTACTTGTATATAAGTGCCACATAATTGCACCAATCGTATAGTACTTAAGTCTGGGTACCCTGTGTCATGAGGAAGCAGGCAAGGAAGATCCCAAGTTCAGGTTCAGACTCAAAACCAAACTTCATAAATTGGAGATTCGAGTCCGCTATACGTTGCTATATATAGAAGTTGCTAGTCATACAAATTCATCATTATTTCAGCCATTTACGAAATAAATATCTACATCTGAAATTAACACCCCTCTAATTCTTTAATTGCCTTAAAAACAGTTTTAAATCACAAATTCATACTTCCTTACAAACATTTTAAATTATGAATTCAACTTGTTACCATTTATCTTTTTAACGCCTCAACCATTCATTTTCAATTTTATTGTATATTATTTAAAATACAGAATCTTACTTTTTTCGTGAACGATGACGGAATATTGTACCAAACTAACAGTGTATAATGACGGGTCATCAGTGGAGGGTGGAGAGATTAAAGCCAAGCTCAGAATTCGCCAGGAAATTAATCACTACAGTTTCAGTGGAGGACCGCATGAAGGTCGACTTGGGTTATACTAATATACCCAATATTGCTGCACAGTAATGGGTTCCTCGTTCCTAACAATCCCTTCCATCTATGTGGTCGAGGTATGTGAAATAGTCAATGCAGCGAGACATCATGGTGATATAGTGACTGCGGGAAGTTTGATTTCACGAATACGGCTGTTCCCAATTCAGCTAAATTCGTGTCATCGGACGTTCCGCGGCCATTTAGCTCACAAGAAGTGATTCAAAATGAATCAATTGTATATACTATGTAATATTAAAAATTTAAATGTATTATATGTTAGACGTGCCATTGGATCTAGTCTTTGTTTGTATTTTTATAATTAGTATTACAATCAATAGGGTTTTTTCTCAATTTGGTTACGATTATTTAAAATAGCTTTTATTGTGAAACATAATTTTTTTTTCTGTTGTATGTGTGCTGTTAAGTATGTGTATGTTATGTATATATTTAATTGTGTATATATTATATATATATATATATGTGTGTATGTATGTATGTATATCTGTTTGTATGCGATAATATTTATATAATAGTGCGCCACCTACCCTTTGTCTTTTTCTCAATGTCCTCTACCCAAAGGTTGTGTGGAAGAGATTGCTTAGCGATAAGGCCGCCTTTTGTATCACTTCTCATTAATATTTACTGTATTTGTTATTTCTCTTTTTACTTGGTGCAATAAAGTGTAAATAAATATAAAATATTTGGTAGTGTAATAAAATATAAGTGTTTGGAATGGATCGGATTTAAATTTTTTTTTTCATATAACTTAGAATGGCAAACAAGCTGACGGCCCACCTGATGGAAAGTGGTAACCGTCGCCTATAGACATGAGCAGTACCATGATACCCCCATGCGTTGCCATTCCTGAGGACTCAGATGTTATTCCTCTGTACCCAGTAAATTCACGCCGTATCCCACCCTTCAAACCGAAACAGCCATGCATACAACTGCTTCACGGTTGAAACACGAATGGGACAGAGGTACCCAAGCAATCGACTCTTAATTTGTATGTGGAACATATTTTTAATTATGAATAAAACAGATTTTGTATTATGAATGGAACGGATTTTGAATTGTAAATGGAACGGATTTTACATTACGAATGGAACAAATCCTAAATTATGAAATAAATTTTAAATTATGTATGGAACAAATTTGTAAATTGTCACGTCCGCCAGATGTTCAACTACCACGTGGCGGCCGGCATGAAGACAGTCGGCATCTCGGCCGCCGGCGGGGTCGCGGAGGCAACTGTGGACTCGATAGTCGATGGCTACACCAAATACGACATGTACGAACTGGACATCAACAGATTTCTAGGTCTGCACAACAATAAGAGATTTTTGAGGGACCGCGTCAAGGAAGTACCAAGTAAGTTTATCATCCTTAATCGAAATATTCAATTCAATGTTTTTTTTTTTTTATTTCTATTACAATTAGAAACATACTATCGTCTGTCTCATGATTGGGTCAATTATTGTTTAATTCTATTTTAATTATGTGAATATAACACAGTATCCAAGGACTGATGGAAAGATTTACTGACAGAAACTGAGAGCTAGTTAATGGATTGACCTCATCATATGTTAACAAGATTTAAACATGACATCCAAACAGCAGATTGGATTATTGTTCTATATGCAACAGATTGCCAATTAGCAGACGAGGAAAAGAAAAAAAAATTATGTACAGAATTTTGATTGTTTTAATAAATTAAGTGAACATAGGAATCATCATCGTCATTATCATACCAGCTGTTAACTGTTCACTACTGAATACAGGCCACCCCCATAAAGAGGGTTTTGTCAGTAGTTGCCACGCTTGGCAGGCAAGTTGGCAATCGTGGAATGTAATGCTCACCTTCTGTGAAGCGGTGTAGTCGCAGAAGAAGGCGGCCGAGCAGTAGCGGGAAAGTGCCAAACGAAGGAGAAGGGGCGCGCCCAACTTCACCTCTTCCTCCCCCCCCCCCCCACTAGGGTCGAGGTGTTACCTTGAGGGAGGCACACCCTACATATGACCTTAGGAGGTGTGCGCACGTATCCGTGCCCTCCTGTGATGCTAGGGTGGGAGGGACATTCCCCACCCTAACTAAGAGAGGAGGCCTGCCTACACCACCTACAGGGCGGGCCGTCGCGTTGGATACTCGGTAGTCGTACAAACGGGAACCCGGGATCCAACATAAGCGCCTCGAGGTACGTCATGTGGTTTTTAGTGGGTACGAATCCCACACACCCCAGCTGCCCTCCCTCCGGCAGATGGGACGGTCTTTCCGAAGATTTTCCACACGGGAAAAAAAAAGCAAGTTGGCAATAGTAGTTAGGTTTTGCTGATATTTTAACAGGGACGCTGCTGCCTATCGCATGACCATAAGCTCCCTTAGTCACCTCTTACGACAGCCATGGAAAAGGAAGGGGTGGCCCATTCTGTGCAGGGACCAGAAGGCATAGAATGGGCCGCCAAAGTCACAGAAACATAGAAATATAATAGATTGAATGTGTAATAAATATGTATAATATTTTTAGGTGTGCACTACGGTCTACCATATCCGTTCCACGAATTCGAAACTGGTCGCAATTTGAGATTGTCCCCAATTTATCCGACTTTGCGAGACAATGGTGCCGTGTTTAGTCAAGTCATGGGCTACGAGAGACCTACGTGGTTCGAAACTATTGGTATGAGTATAAACCTATTTTTTTCCTATTGAAATGTTTTGTTTTTCTCTATTACTCAAATTTTATTTATTTATTTATTTCTTATTGTATTCCATAACGTGATTTTACCTACAATTATTGACCCTGTTGGGCACAAGTAGGGGAGACAAGGACAACCCTTAAAAGTAATATTTAAATATTAAGTGGATTTAATTTTTATGAAGAACCAACTTTTGCCAGTGACTTTATATGCGTGGATTTTGGAAGTAGGTAATCACTTATAGGAGATGTATCTAGCTAAACCATACACCAGATTTGTAGTTAGATTTTCACAAACATAACTAAGAAAACTGCATTTAATTTGTCGTTCTTTCCCAATGCCAGAGCAAACATACAGAGACACAGGCAAAAACTTCTAAAATTAATTATTTTTGACCCCTATTTCTCTTATTGAAACCATTTTTTTTTTCTTTCTCCTATGTAGACAGCGTCCCCTTAAAATTTTATTATATATCTTATATATGTGTAAGTATATTTGATATTTATATATATATTTATGTGCGTACCTATGTAAATTTAATATGTATGTATATCAATTAATACTAGTACCGCATTCGAGCATACTAAAACTTCCCTAAGGTGACTGGGAGAGAATGCTTTTAGCATTAAGCTACCATATCAGATAGTTTGTACAAAGCAATGAATACCGAAGAGGTGAATGCTGCTAGTGTCTTGGATACACTGCCTCGATGTGGTGCGCTAGGAGTCTATTTATAATTAATTGTTAGTGTTGCTATTTAAAATATTGTATAAGTTTAAATTTTTGTTCTGAAGAATGAAGAAAAAGTATAAATAAATAATGTTATTGTTACTAAGTACATAATTATTCCTATTATTATCTGTATGTCTTGTTTCTTAATAGACAAGGACGGCAAGGAGTCGCCCCAGAAACCGCTGCCGTTCAAAATTGCTCATACCAAGACCTTCGGCAAGCCGCCGTGGTTCGACATCGTGCAGCGTGAGTACTGGGCGTGCCGCGAGGCTGTCGGCCTCTCCGACTACTCCTCCTTCACAAAGATAGACATACAGGTATTTCTGGTTATTTGATTAGGATTATATGTGTAGGTGTATTATAAGTATATACATATGTTTAAGTATATATATATATATATATATATATATATATATATATATATATATATATATATATATATATATATATATATATATTTTTTATACATCTTAGAATGGCAAACAAGCTGACGGCCCACCTAATGGAAAGTGGTAACCGTCGCCTATAGACATGAGCAGTACCATGGACATGGTTTCGCCCATGATACCCCCCATGCGTTGCCATTCCTGAGGACTCAGGTGTTATTCCTCTGTACCCTGTAAATTCACGCCATATCCCACCCTACAAACCGAAACACAACTGCTTCACGGTTGAAACACGAATGGGACAGAGGTGTCCAAGCAATCGACTTTTGTACAAAGTCTCCCTTAAATAGACTTTCGCAAAACAACACCTAATTCAATAGGAAAAAATTATTTTTTATTAAATACTTATGCTATTGGTATATTGTGGATATTTAAGTTTAAGTTGTTATCCCTTTTCAGAACTAGTTTCATGCACTCACGCCTCCGTATCTGTGATAATTTTTTTTATATATTTTTTTTTTCATTATTTTACAAATATGGAAATGGTAATTATAAGAATAGAAGTAACATAGAAGTACCTCTTATGCATTACCATTTCTAAGGACTAAAGAACAATAATTTATAGAATGTTTGTTTGTTTGTTTGGATATCACATAAAAACTATTACACCAAATTTGGATGTGATTATCACAGCTGTGTTTCTAAAATGTCTAATTTAAAATCTATAAAGTGGTTTTTTTTATGGGTGAAAATAGTACAGTAACCCCGCCTGTGCTAACGGTATACGCTTGCGGAGCACCAGTGAAGGGTGATCGATGAGAATGAAAACAGGCCAGTTAGCCCATCATGATGAATTCATCAGGAATCAACCATGATTTCTTTTTTTTTTTTTTTATAGAACTTAGAATGGCAAACAAGCTGACGGCCCACCTGATGGAAAGTGGTAACCGTCGCCTATAGACATGAGCAGTACCATGGACATAACAGAGTATACTGTTTCGCCCATGATACCCCCCATGCGTTGCCATTCCTGAGGACTCAGGTGTTATTCCTCTGTACCCAGTAAATTCACGCCATATCCCACCCTTCAAACCGAAACACAGCCATGCAAACACAACTGCTTCACGGTCCATGATAGTTTCCAGGGGGAGCCGCGAGGAGGTCGACCTGGTTGGGTATATTGCTAGCAATGGGATTCTCAAGTCTCCATTACTAACAATCCCTTTCTCCCCTCTATGAAGTGGTTACCGCCTTCTAAAGTTGCATTTTAATAATAAATGATATAAATTTAATAAATATACGTAATTTAATTATTCGATTAATTTAATTCAATTAATATAATACATAGTAGGTATAAGATTATAATACTGTTACTCTAGTGAAGTTTCCATTGGTCGTACTAATAAACACCGACGGCAGTCGAAAGGTCTGGAGGTGGTGGACCTGCTGCAGCACCTGTGCTCCAACGACGTGGACGTGCCCGTGGGCAGCATCATACACACGGGCATGCAGAACGAGCGCGGCGGCTACGAGAACGACTGCAGCCTCGCGCGGATTGCAGAGAACCAGTGAGTGCTGATAGAGTTTTAGTTGTTTACATGGCAGGTGCCAAGTTTCCTTTCCTTCCCGTGGGTATCTTGAGAGCTGCCTAGGGAAACTTTTTTTTATACAGCTTAGAATGGCAAACAAGCTGACGGCCCACCTAATGGAAAGTGGTAACCGTCGCCTATAGACATGAGCAGTGCCATGGACATAACAGAGTATACTATTTCGCCCATGATACCCCCCATGCGTTGCCACTCCTGAGGACTCAAAATGTTATTCCTCTGTACCCAGTAAATTCACGCCATATCCCACCCTTCATACCGAAACACAGTCATGTAAACACAGCTACTTCACGGTAGAAATACGAATGGGACAGAGGTACCCAAGCAATCTTGACATTTGAGAACGAAATGTAAAGTATCACATACAAGTTCAAGAGGTTTAATTGGTACTAAAAATCCATAGTTTTTTTTAATGTATTTACATGCTAATTAAATAAAAAAAAACCCACTTGCTAAATGTGACGTCTATTAGGAAAATCCCCTAAAATAAACTACTATAAGAAACGCTTTCGTTCCTTATGGTGGTCTATAGGAGAGGCCTGTATTTAGCAATGGATAGAACAGCTGACATGATGATAAAGATATGGGTATTCCAGTAGCTGCCGCGCTCAATCGATCAATGCGAATTACTCTGACAAATCCAGCAATAAAGTTCATTGTTTTTCAGCTACATGATGATAGCTCCAACTATCCAGCAGACGCGATGCAAGGTCTGGCTGAAACGTCACCTGCCCAGCAACGGCTCGGTGACACTCTCCGATGTGACCTCCATGTATACAGCCATCTGCGTCATGGGCCCCTTCACCAGGAGCCTCATGTCCGAGCTCACCGACACGGATCTCTCGCCCTCCAACTTCCCGTTCTTCACCTTCAAGGAGCTGGACGTTGGATTGGCCAACGGGATCAGGGCTATGAACTTGACACACACCGGGGAACTGGGTTACGTGCTCTACATACCTAATGAGGTTGGTTATTTTTCTATAGAAATTAATCAAAAAGTTTTAACCGACTTAAAAAAGAAGGAGGTTCTATTATTATTATTATTTAGGTTATATTTTTTTTGTCTGTTACCTCATAACTCCGTCAGTTGTAAACCGATTTGAAATTATTTATTATTTATAGGATTACCAACATAAGATACAGCGAAACATTTCAATACAATACACTGGCAGATTAGATCTAACTGTTCTTACATTTATAGGCGACCACAACATGCCTTGTGTTTGATAAACATTAAAATAGAATTAAATTATTAAATGTCATTATATGAGTAAAGATATTAACAATATGAATAATAATATAATATAAATAATGGAAATTGTAATTAAATTATTATAAATAATTTTTTATTTATTTTTTGGAAAACGTACAGCTGAATTACAGTCAATACATAATCAAAGTTATATGTATGTTAAGCCATGAATCGTTTTCACATTTGCGTAATGACACAATTGATCGGTTTTTATATGCAAAATATATACATACATACACATACATATGTATTGTGCCAACATTTAAAAAAAACTAATTTTGCCATAATTTAAGTTTCTTTATTTTGGCCTAATTGTAATATTTTTTATATTGCAAAAAAAATATATTAAAAATGTTGTAATATTTTTTTTATTAATAAAAAATGTTAACCAGTTCGCGCTGCACGTGTACAACCGTCTGGTGACCGAGGGTGAGAAGTACGGCATCAGTCACGTGGGCTACTATGCGTCGCGAGCGCTGCGGGTGGAAAAATTCTTCGCGTTCTGGGGACCGGACCTCGACACCAAGACCACGCCGCTCGAGTGCGGCCGCACGTGGCGGGTCAAGTTCGATGTGAGACATTATTGTATTTAAAACTAGCTATTCCTCGCGGCTTTGCATGCGTAAATCGTTACACAAAGTATCCTATTAAGTTAGGGTATAATTTACCCGTGTACCCAACAATGGTAAAAAATCCATCTCTCTTTCTTCATTCTCTAAATTCCATTCCACGAATTAAAATCACAATTTTAATTTTTTAATTAGTAGCGAACTTTAAAATTCCCATTTAAAAGTCCCATTTGTGTTTCAACTGTGAAGCAGTCGTGTTTGCATGGCTGTGTTTCGGTTTGAAGGGTGGGATATGGCGTGAATTTACTGGGTACAGAGGAATAACATCTGAGTCCTCACGAATGGCAACGCATGGGCGGTATCATGGGCGAAACAGTATACTCTGTTATGTACATGGTACTGCTCATGTCTATAGGCGACGGTTACCACTTTCCATCAGGCGGGCCGTCAGCTTGTTTGCCATTCTATGATGTATAAAAAAATTTTAAATATGGAGAAAAATATCTAGTTCATAGAAAAGTATATTAAAAACTGGTTTAATTTTCAAATATGCAAAAAGACATTCTATTTACATGAAAGTATATTAAAAACCAGTTCCATTTTCAAATATAGAGAAAAACATTTTATTCATACGAAAGCATATTCGAAAATGCTTCCATTTTCAAATATGTAAAAAGACATCTTATTCATATGAAAGTATTTTCAAAACGGGTTCCATTTTCAAATCTACAGAAGGACATCCCGTTCATCGGGCGCGACGCCCTGCTGCGGCAGCGCGAGGAGGGTGTCCGGCGGCAGTACGTACAGCTGCTGCTGACCGACCACGACCACGAGCTGGACATGTGGTCGTGGGGCGGCGAGCCGGTATACCGCGACGGCAACTACTGCGGCCGCACCACCACCACCAGCTACGGATACACGTTCAAGAAACAGGTCAGTCAAAACAATGCATATATTTTTTGCATTTACTAACACATTTGGCGATACTTTTTTATTTATATAGATTTTTTTTAATACAACTTAGAATGGCAAACAAGCTGACGGCCCACCTGATGGAAAGTGGTAACCGTCGCCTATAGACATGAGCAGTACCATGGACATAACAGAGTATACTGTTTCGCCCATGATACCTCCCATGCGTTGCCATTCCTGAGGACTCAGATGTTATTCCTCTGTACCCAGTAAATTCACGCCATATCCCACCCTCCAAACCGAAACACAGCCATGCAAACACAACTGCTTCACGGTAGAAACACGAATGGGACAGAGGTACCCAAGCAATTGACTTTTGTACAAAGTCTCCCTCTGGTAATAAATAAAGGTAGTAAATACTCTCAAATTATATAGATAGTCGTCATATCAGCCTTTAATTGTCCACTGCTGAACATAAGCCTCCCTCTTGAGGGGTTTTTCCAGTAGTTGCCACGTTTAGCAGGCGGATCGGCAACCGCAGTTTTTTTTTATAGGATGATCAAGGAATGGTAACCCCGCCTGCGTTAACAGTATACGCTGTTGGGGCACCAGTGAGGGGATGATAAAGCAAGTCAGTTAGCCCACCGTGACGAATTCAACGATAAATTAGTCACGATGGTTTCCAGGGGAAACCGCGTAAAGGTCGACATGATAGGGTATATTGATAGCAATGGGGACTTACCTCCCCTCTACTAACAATTCCTTCCCCCCTGGCAACCGCAGTTAGGCTTTAGAGATGTTTTAAAAGGTACGCTACTGCCCATCTCTCGCCTTCTCTTAGTCGCCTCTTACGACACCCAAGGAAGGATTGGCCTATTCTATGCCGGGACCACGCGGCAATTATACTATGATATATCAGGGGTTCCCAAACTTATCTTGTCTACTGCCGACTTTGAGAATAAATTATTTTTTAGCGCCCACATTTTTGCACCTACTTAAAAACCACTATTACTTCAAGATCAACAAATCACCCCCCAAGCATCTACACAACGTTCCCATTTTTTTTTTCTGGATCTCTTACCGCCCCCCTTTACGCCTGCAGCGCCCACAGGGAGGCGTCATCACCCACTTTGGGAGAGGCTGCTCTATACTAATTATTAATATGCTATATTACGCAGGTGTGCCTTGGTTTCGTGCAGAATATTGACTCGAAAGGCGTGGCACAGCCCGTCACCAACGACTACCTGCTCAGCGGACATTACGAGATTGATATCGGTGGCATCAGGTAAATATTTTTTCTCAAACATGCTTGGAAATGTGAGCATTATTTTGACAATCTTCTTCGAGATAAATCAAAATTGCCGTACTGTCCAGATACATGCGGGCAGCGGCCGGCGAAAGTTGTATGAAAATTCATATCTGTAGTGTTTTGCGGCCAGATAAATTACTATGTAAACGCATATCTGTCCTGTAATTAAAAAATGTAGTGACCTTTTACTTCGAAACATGGCTACCAAGGAGGTAACTGATAAAAGGTTTTATTTAAATTTCGTACTGACTTGCAAATAGAAAGCTGTTTATTGAAAAAAAAAAAACAAAGGAACATTATGGCGCGTGAAAAATTATTATTGTTCTCTATTCGTCATTGAACTTAGAAAGTAAAATTGTGTTTTTGATTTCCGCGCATTGTTTGAGAAAAGTACTATACAAGTCTTGGCCACAACTAGGCATTGATGGACTCACGTATGTGTGCTTCGTCTACGCCTCGGCCCACATTTACACGTTCGTCCATCAATGCCTCAGTTGCTGGTCGCTGCAGTAATGTACTATATTAGTGAAACATACAATTCGTGAGACATATTAATAATAATGGTAATAGCATATTAAGAAGGCAGTTGTATCCCGTTAACAATCCATATCCCACCAAGAACTAAGGTGTTTTTCTTTTAATGGATGATAATGGAATGGCCCGTCCGCACTAACGGTATACGCTGGCGGAGCACCAGTAAGGGGTGATGGGTGAGAATGGAAAGGCAGGTCAGTTCGCCCATCGTGATGAATACACCTGAGATTCAGTACAATGGTTTCCAGGAGGAACCACGTGGAGGTCGACCCAACAGGGTATATTGCTAGCAATGGGACTGGTAGTTCGCGTTACTAACAATCCTTTCCCCCCAGGACTAAGGTGATATACCTCAGTACCCTGTAATTTTACTGCATTGAAGCTCCATTGGATTCCAAATTTGGATCCAATAGAAAACGAATTTTTTTAATGCAACTTAGAATAGCAAACAAGCTGACGGCCCACCTGATGGAAAGTGGTAATCGTCGGCCATAGACATGAGCAGTACCATAGACATAGCAGAGTATACTGTTTCACCCATAATACCCCCATGCGTTGTCATTCCGGAAGACTCAGATGTTATTCCTCTGTACCCTATAAATTCACTGCCATATCCTACCCTTCAAACCGAAACACAACTGCTTCACGGTAGAAACACGAATAGGACATAGGTACCCAAGCAATCGACTTTTGTACAAAGTCTGCCTCTAAAAGTTTTAAGTGTTTAATAAATAAATAAAATAACTGTCCATTAGGTACGCGGCCAAAGTGAACCTTCACTCGCCGAATCTGCCCACCAAGTATCCGGACAAGGAGCGCGACGTGTACCAAGCGACGAGGAAACTGCACGACCCACAGCAGTTCCTCGGAAGGCATTACCAGCCGTGAGCCTCGGACTCGGCACAAGTAACAGTACCCCGCACAATATGGCCGCTCCCTCCATTTAATGTCAATTGCAAAGGGTCTTACTATCCTATATAATCATTACAGTGTATTTCAATAAAATTTAATATAAAAATAACTAAGTATCGTTAAAAATAATCACAGATCCGCTATCATATCCATATTGCATAAGTAATGAATAAAAATAATTAAATATTCAATTTATAATTTGTACTGTGGTCGGAATAACTACATAGGACAGATAAAAGAAACACTAGGTGTCATGTCGTATAGGGACATCAAGGATATGGCCTGGGATAGAGTTGGCTGGAAGGAGATGCATGAATTAGTTGCACCGACAAGAGGAAACTCTTAAATGAAAAGAAAAAGACTATGGTCGAATCGATTATTCGTTTATAATTTTTATTAAGTTTTATTGAAATAAAATACATATAATATTTAGAACAAGATATGTCACCTGTGATATCAAAAATATACAGCTTGATATCAAAATACTTACCACTCTTGTATTGATCGATGATATTTGACTAGTGAAACTGAACGCTTTGATCAAAGGCGCGCGGCTGGAAATCGACAATTTTAAAACTTGACCTACTAACTTGACAGTTCTTTTTTTGAATTTTCAAATGTTGTCTCTGAGAAAAGTTTTCAGCTTCCCTGATAGAATACTGTTTAATAAAGTAAGTAAAGATTTTGTTATCAACCTGTATATTAAAAGGGAGTAATTAAAAGTGATAAAGACTTAATAGACTGTTAGTAACAACAAAAAAAAATGAGATTATGTAATTTGTACTATAAAAGACATGTTGTTTCTTGCCAATAAATATTTTTCATTATATTTCTATAAATAATAACGATTAAAGATCTATATTCATCTCATAATTAACAATTAGTCGAATACTAAGCAATATCATGATACTCGGAAAATGAAATAAATGTAAATTGTTTCCATGAATAATTTCATTATTTATTTACTAAGAAGCATCACATTATACTCAGACGTTAGAGGTCTCATTAAAATAATTAAAAAAAAAATTAGAGGATCACCATTCAATTTCTTTGTAGTTTTTGGAATCTATTGAATTTTCTCTGTAAATTATTTGTGACTATTTTTTTTTTATACAGCTTAGGATGGCAGACAAGCTGACAGCCCACCTGATGGAAAGTGGTAACCGTCGCCTATAAACATGAGCAGTACTGTGGATATAATATGTTAATGAACTAAATACAAAAATGGTGTATTTTTTATACTTACAAGGAGTCACGCAATTTTTTTTGGTACAATTAATGATATTCTCAATATATGAAAGTGGTGGCCTCTAATGAAATCATCATAAAATCATTATATGGTATTTAATTATAGTAATATTTATTAGTTTCATTCTTCACGCCTAGTCCTTCTTGAGGATACTTAAAAAAAAAAACTCATTAAACCTTTACTGTTTGATTTAATACATTTTCATATACACAGCGCTGCAAGCTATGGATTTACATACAGTATCATTCATCCATACATAATGTGGCGTTGATTGTTCATATAAACAAATGATGTATCGTTTCCCCCCACAATGTATGTAATATTTTCGAAACTTACTCAATTATAAAGACAATAAAATGTTATTTTGAAATTAGTAATATTTGAATTTTAGATTGTAGGTAAATGCAATGAATCTTATATTATTTATGAAAACAATTTTATATGATTATAATATAGTTTAGTTCTTAATAAGTTAACAAATTCAAGATATTAATGTATTTTTGAATATTCTTGCTGTAAAGTTGAAAGGAAATAAAAATAATATTTATATAAATGTTTTATTTTATAAATTACCTACAATACAATAATTCTAAAACTACATTTACTACATTAACCTAATATGAAAAAGTATCACCGGGTTTCCCTATGAAATATGTAACTTGTTGACATTAGTGCCTTTAATATAATGCTAGTTGTTGGAAACAAATTGTATAAGAATAATACTTTAATCACCAGGTTACTGGAATCCTAACAATTTTTATATATATTACAATTTTTGACGTTTAAATTCATTTTAACCCCTAATTCTTTTTTTGGAAAATAGGAGTTGCAACTCCTATCATCAAAATTGTTTTTTCTATGTAACTATGATAGATATTTAAATTAAACCAAAGCGAAATTTGAAAACTTTATATTACATATTTTTAATTTTACAAATAATTATAAGGTAGCAAAAACAAAATATAGAAAAAACAAAACAGGTGTTTTTAGTGACTATTTCTTATGATACACCAATAAAATAATAAATACATATCCAACTAGCATTTACACAGATGTCTGATGTGTGAAACATATTTAAACAGATAAAAATTCTTTTAAGTAACTATACAATAATAACTAAATTAACTGATACTAGTTGAGACTGTAATAAATCGCGTTATCGATAAATTGTGACAAAACACGAAACTGCGTTATTTTTATACTACTCTTGAGTGTTGCCAGTCACATACACTAATAGTAGATAAAATAAACAAAATAATTCGAATCAAATAACCATTGATATGAACTTTTGCAAATTAACACATTTAAGTGTAAAATGAAACAACAACTTTAACCGTTTCAGTGCCATTGATTTTTAATTATATCTACTTAAAAATGCCAAAGAAATCTTTGTCGTGTCGATGTCATTTACCCTTGTCTCTAAAAAAACTGTATCTCCTCCAAAAAATATCCAATTTTTAATATTTTTTTTTTACAGCGAGCTAAACAGCGACTGATTTCACGAACGCTATGACGCTCGTGGCACTTTTAGTTGGAATGCGCATGAGCGTGATAGCGCTCATCGGCACTCAAACGGTTAAGTAAAACTCATTAATTATTTATATTCAGCCTTCCAAATTGAGCACTATTTATAAAAAAAAATATTGATAATTATAACAACAGTGTATTACACTCTGTTGGTAATTACCAATAAAAAAAAATATATATAAATCTCAATACAAAATATGTGTTTTATTTATTGTAAAAATGCGCTCAATTTATAAGATCGTACAAGTAATCAATATTGTATGGAAAATATAATTAATAAGAATGGAGGCACACAGTCCTACTCATTTTACTTCATCACTGCAATAGTGACACCTCTAAGGACACTATAAGAGACTACTACAATAGAAGGAAAATTAGACATAAGGATAAAATTAATAAAATCATACACCAAGTCACATATCCAGTGCGGAAATGGAAAGCCAATCTTCTCTTCTAAGGGGACGACACTTGCCCCTAATTGGTCGTTATGGACGGATGGGTTTAGCGGCTAACTGCAAACAATAACATACACATTAGATTAATAATTTTTATGGACTCCAGAATCCCAATAAGTTTAATACTTAATACATAAGGTCTATTTCCTTAGTTATCTAGTTCTATTATAGAATTACTATATTATATTCTTGTGACCATTTCCTAATCATGGCTAAATAATATATATATATATATATATAAACAGGGTATATTTAATATATATAATATGAAAACTATAGGATTTTTTTTAAAAGATAGTTAAATTTTATTGACCATTATTTCAGCAAAAATATTTGAGAATAAGAATTAAGATAAGTAAAAACTTGTTTTCCATAAGAATATTATAAAGAGGATTTTTTTTTTGTATGTTTGTAATAAATAAAATCGAAAACTTCTCATCCGATTTTAGCCTCTTGGGGGGTTTGCCAGTAGTTGCCATGTTTGGTGGGCAGATTGGTAATCGTGGTAAGACTTTAGAGATGTTTTAACAAGGATGCTGCTGCCCACCCCTCAAGTTCCCTTAGTTGCTCCTTACAACATCCATTGGAAAGGAAGGGGTAGCCTATTCCATACTGAGACCGCATGGTAAAATCACAGTACCCATACAAATGAAAAATTATCTTGTACATAAATAAAAAAATAACGAAAATCATGAAAAGAGCTTTTTTCTTTCAACATTCTGAACCCATTAAAAAAAGCATGTAAACAAATTTATTTGAATAAAAATTTCTATAAGATTTCTTACATGTAGGTACATACTCAAAAAGTCATTGAAATTTTACTCATATACAAAAATTTATAGAAGTGTTCAACTAAATTTTAAAGGAAATTTTGGGAATTGAAGATAGATAGGTGCAACATAGAAAAATAAAACAAAACAGTTGCTAGTGACTGCAAATTGAACATACATTAACTAGAGAAATGTTATATACCAGGTGTGGCCAACTGATCAATAGTAATAGACCCGTCCATTGCGACTATAAGTCCAGTCAATCACGACAAGGAATAATAAATATAATATTTTGCTGATCCAGTGGAAGATGCACACACAATGATCACACTAAAATTATTTCAAGTTTTCCGTTTTCCCTCTTAATAAAATAAAAAATACTACAATACTACATAATTGTGTACTGAACTATGTTGTTTTATTTGTGATTTCAAGAAGTATGTAATTGGTAGATCGTACAGGGTTTCGTCAGTAAACAGAAGATCTTGGGTCTAGTCAATTCGGCCACCCCTGGTATATGGTTATTTATATTTTCTATACATACCGATATAGTCGGTCTTCTGAGTTTCTCCTTAATAATATCACACGGTGACATAGTTTTGAAATCAAATCTTACAATATCTGTCTTTATCTCTTCTCTCAGATATGGTGCTGCTACTCGCCTTAACCGGGATGTTAATACTTTGCCAAAAGCGGAACATTTTCCACTTCTTACTTTGCATTTTAGTATAAACGACATATCTGTTATACACGGCAGTATAGGCTCGGGGGTCTTAGCACGCTCTGGAGTGTAATCACCGTAATCGCCATTCATAAACCGTGCTTCCAATAGTGATTCTAAAGAACTACTAATACTTGCGCCTCCCTCTGCACTAGGAGGGCCCGGGCCACATGTAGCACCGATATCTCTATTTATTGCAATTCTCAAATCAATTAGACAGTCATTATTGTCCTCCACTTCCAATTTTTTCATTTTCTCAGCCAATTTTGCGGCTTCCTCTTGCTGCCGTCTTAACTCCTTCGCCTTATACATGTTGGATACTTGTTGTGCGAGCACATTAGTAATTGGACTTTCAGTATAATTGAACGTAGGTAATGGCAGTCTACCGGAAAACGAGGCGGGCAAATAGGGTACATGTGTGCCAGACGAGGGACTACCCTCGCCAGTTAAAGTTGGCAAAGGTAAACGCCTAATTAAACCGTTAACATCTTCAGAGACATTATCCTGCATGGACGTTTTGGAAAGGTGGCTGTCTACCAAAGCTTGTAGAGACGAAAAGGAGTCTGATTCCGACATTTTTCATTTAAATACTCTTTAATTATATTCGGATTTGATAACAATATCTACGTCACTTCAGTTCACTCTCTTTGTTTCCTTGCTTATTATTATACTAAAATAAATTGTTTCAATTAAGATGTGTAAGAGATTTTAGAACTATGATTTGTACTCAAAATTTCCAATATGTATTATGAAATCTTAAAAACACAAATAGAAAAACTTTTGTTTACGACAATAAGAAAGCAAATATATACATATAAAAAATTAGACAGCTAATATGTTTTTCTGAATCTACTCATAGACAATCTTGTGTAACTTCCATACAAGCTATTAATGTATGGATTTGGTTAGAAAATATCATGCCAACATTTAGTTAAATGATAAAATGACAATAGAGCCAACTAACTAAGATATTATCAAATGCGATGTAAATGTCTGCCTCCTAAACTATTCGTGAAACAGATTTAGCTTTGTATTTAATGTTTCTTTTTATTTTGACGTGGAAATTACGACTTTATATAATTAATATTGACTTTGTTACGAGGTCTACTCTAAACATTAACCAGACATTACGAGAAGTGTTAAAACTTTGAGTCCTGTTGGTATTTAGCTTGAGATATCAGCTGATATTTCCGTAGTGAAAGGGGAATAGGATAAACACAATATAAAAGTACGATAAAATTTAATAGAAGAGCAAATACAAAAAAGCAACGATTGTTTCTAACAGTGTGTCAACTAAATTTAAAAACATATCTTTTTAAATTACAACTGGCCAGTAGTTTATAGCTGTAGGAAAGTAAACCTATTTCTAACATGTCCACTATCAAAAATTTTGCGAAATTAAGATTTCATGGTAATATTGTATAAAATAATAAATTTAAGAATTTTATTCTCCGTTTTATTTTTGCTAAAAAAATGGACATAGGAACGTGCAATTTAACATAAAAATCTTGTAATAAAAGAAATATTTAATATATTTGCGTAACAGTGAGAAATATTTACATATTAATAATATCTAAAAACTAACTATAGTAACCCTATAACCCTATTCACCTTTACTTTGAACATCAGGCCATCATAATTGGAAAATAAGGATTTTTGTGTAGATTTTTAAGATACTCCTGACCAAGTCGGATTACGTAGCTTGTATGAAGTGCGGTCTCTTAATTATATTCTTGGTTATATACTTATTACCCATAGACAATACTAAAAAAAAAACAGATTTCGGAATTAGAGATGGGCAATCCACCTGGGTGGGTTTAAAGTCTGGTGGGTAAAAACCGGGTGTTTTGGGTTTATTGGGTTTAAACCCCATAAACACCCAAATTTTTGGGTGTTTATGATTTTGTACTTCATCATCGTCATCTCAGCCGCAAGACGTCCACTATACTGGACATAGACAATATTATTATGCAGCCTACAGAATAAAAAACTTTTAATTTGATTTTGAGTTTATTAAGAAAGAGATGAAAGTAAAATGTAAAACTACAGTCAATCACTGTCAGATTCAGAGTTATTACAAGCGATGAATTGTATAGGTTCGATAGGCTCTATTTCGTCTAAACTGTTATGTTCATTTACTTGCTCAATGAAAGCTTCTAAGGTATTTTCTTCATTAAACTGAATGTCCTCGCATTCAGCTTTATGTTTAAGATTCCAGTTATAACAAATGAATGAAATTTTTTCAGTTCTTTCAGTTGTAAGTCGATTTCTTTTGTTATTATGTATGTAGCCTTGGATACTAAAGGAACGCTCAGTGGCTGCCGAAGTACAGGGAGCTGATAGAATACGAATCGCTACTTTGCTTAACTCAGTGGAACCACAAATACCTTTCCACCATATTAGGGGCTCAATGCTATCTAATGAGCTCCATACAAATCCTCTGGCCCAAAAGTTTTCTTTAGCTTTATAACACGCCAAATCTGCCATTACATTTGACAAACTTAAGTGTTGGCTTAAATTGTAGATAAACTCCATACCCTTAAGTTCTTCCTCTTGAGTAAGTTCGACTCCTAGAGTCCTGGGGTCTAGAATATATGCTGCAAAATGTATTGGCCTCATTGCCATATTGCATCTTGAAGATACTGATGTTAGAATCTGCTGTTTGCTTTCTTCGCTCAATGTCGAAATCTCATTTAATGCAAAACGTATCTTAGCTTGTACATCTCTAAATGTAATGTATGTGCGATGCAAACGATTCTGGTCGCTCTCTAAGTAAAATATGCTTTCAGTGACTGGTTCCAAAATACTTATACATTCCCCTGTCTTCGTCCAGAAATCATCACTTAGAATTAAATCTTTAATATCTCTTGAAATTACCACATCTTCTCTAACTGTTAATATTTGCAAAGCTATCTTATTTGCTTTCAAACTTTTTAACGAAGTAACATGACTTCCCCATCTTGTAGCACAAGGCAATTTTAGTGTTTGTGTAGAATCTTCACCCTGCCTTGATTTTATCAACAAGGAACTTAATCGTTGACTCCTTTTAACAGTTTTTATTATATTTATGGCTTGCATAATAAACACAGTTACTTCTTGTATCTTTACAATATCTTGGCACAACAAGTTAAGGATATGTGCACAGCAACCGAGAGGAACAACATGTGGATATTTGAGTTTTGTTAATTCGAATGCCTTTTGTATATTTCTAGCGTTATCGCCAATAAGTACAAGAAACTTATTTGCTCCATACACTTTCATTACTTTTTCAACTTCTTGGCTAAGGTATTCACTAGTGTGAGGATTACTTTCTGTATTCAAACTTTTAACGTATGCAGGTTGAGGTTTTGATATAAGAAAGTTTATTATTCCTTCATTTCTTAAATTAGACCAGCCATCGCACTGAAGGTGTAAGTAACTACAAGCATTTAGTTCCTCATTTAACTCAAAACGCATTTCTCTATATATTTTATCTAAGTATTTTGTCGCTAAAGCTTTACGTGAAGGTATTTTAAATTTTGGTTGCAATTTTTCGAAAAATTGTATCCATAAAGGATGTTGCACCATCGATAATGGCGTCCCTGTTACAAATATAGCTCTCGCTAATTCTGTTTTTATATGATCATCGGTGTCTTGAAACTCAGCATTTATTGTAGTGTTAGCAGACGACGAGGGGCTTATAAAAGAATCATTTGTCTCTATCTCTGACAGTCCAGACATTTTGGTTTTGGACGAGCTATCTTTTATAAGTTTCATAGAGTCTTTTAATGTTTCTGGAGATTTTGGACAAGTGATAAGATGTTGAAGCATTTTGGCAGCATTACTGAATTTGTAGACCTTATTACAAAGCTTGCAAGAAACAGACTTGTTTGGTAAAGTACGGTAGTGCTCCCATATGCGTAAATCTTTAGGTCTCCCCATTGAACCTAAAAAAATGAACGATGATTAGTTGGTCTGACGAAAATTCAACAATAGAGTGCCTATTTTTTTACAATGATTATTTCTTGTTATTTACAATAAATTTATTAAAAAAATAATAAAATAAATACAAAAAACCTTTGTAAAATTACATCTCCTCGGAGGATTAAACGCAGACGCTAGTTTATTATCGTATTGTTCTGTATTTTTCTCAGCAACTTCTTTAATTCGATTAGGTACTTACGCATATTATGTTAAAAATAAATATCTAGTACACATCTTAGGCTATCCACCATTATTATCCAATGACGACTCTCAGCTAACTATGCACTATCATCCAAAATAAACGTGTATGGAAAATTTTATCCCAGTCGGTTGAGGATTGAGGATAATTGCATCAACATACGAACATACCTACATACTTTTATTTACATAACGCAAGCTAAATAAAAGCTTGTAATAATACATCTAATTTTAAGTTAAAATTGTTAAGTGATCATGATATAATTGTATCATTCAAAAATCCACTTACCTTTAATTATTTCTTGTTAAGTATAAATATTATTTCAAATCTGCTCCCTTAATATGCACTTTTTTACTGCTTTTCCTACCTAACACGTTACCAGGAAGTCACGTTACCAGAGTCAGAGTAATAGTGAACACGTTTGACAGTGATTGTCGTCGCCTCATATTCAGCGTCGACGAATAGGGGAATCCCCAGTCATAATGTATTGCATGCGTGGCGGTCTTACTTCAAATCCATAAACAAAGAGATAATTACAGAACTCGATACTAGATGGCGCTGTTTTTGTTTGAAGAAAGTTTGCGGGCTAAAATACATAGAATTTCATCAATGACTTCCACAAAGAACAACATTTCTGTTTTTTCTAAGTCCGTATCTCTTCCGTATATTTCATAAGATATAAGCTTGGGCTACATTGTTATGCAACGTGATTTTGTCGCTGTCTTGCTAGCAGGGTTGACAGATATACGATTTAAATCGTACTCATACTATTATTTGTCTATTTTTTAATGTACGATCGTAAAGATTATGATCGTAATTCGCACAAAAACATACGACTTTTTGGTTACCTGGCAACATTTTTATTATGAAACGAACATGCTCACATCATCAGTCACATGCAACAATTTATTGGGGATTTCCCCTTCACATCTGGCAGTCCTGCTTGCTAGAATATAGGTAAGTCAGCCACAGTTACTGACGATCGATATTTAAAGGGTATTGTTTTTGTGCTAAATATTTCATAAAAACGTTATTTAATACTTTGTGGATTATTAATTTAGTTGATAATCACTGGAAGTAAAATGGATGCTAATTTGAGAGATCAAGATCTTCGTATAAAACAGTTAATAAAAGAAAATCTACGTAAGTACTCTTTTTATACCTAGGTAGGTAAGGTATAATAAACACAAAAGGTACTTAGATCGCGTGTGTTCGAAGCATTTATTCTAATAAATTTAATTTAAAATTGTAGAAAGAAAAAAATGTCTGCCAAGCCGTAGCCGAAGCCGATCTCCAAATATATTTGGCGATAGTGAGACCCAGTGTCCAGATGATTTACCCAGCGTCGTCGCAACAAAGAAAAAAACGAGGATAAAGTAAAAGAAAATTTACTGAAAGAAGAAACAAACTGTTCTAAATGCTTAATTTATGGAGAAGAGGATAAAAGAAATGAGTATTTCGGACTGTTAGTGGCTCAAGAATTTAAATATATACGGCCATGTGTGCGAACGAGGTGTTATGAAGAAATTTTAAAGTATCTACGGGAAGCAAAAGGCCAACATGTTGATCAACTGCAACATGAAAACACTGAAAATTAATTACTTTCATTTTATTATATATAGATTTTTAAAATTTCCTGAAATATTATTAGTTAACGTTTTATTTAATATTGTAGAATTGATCAATACAATTTATAAAAATAATTTATTGGTATTACTTACATATTTTCAAAAAAATACGTAAAAACCTATTTTTTTGGGTGATTATGGGAGTTTATGGGTGTTTATTGGGTTTTTACCAAAGCACCGGGTTTAAACCCGGTGCTTTGCCCATCTGTATTCGGAATAGAATAGATGGTGTGTGTTGCTCATTGTATTTATGACATTGTTAATGTGTTAGAGAGAGAGAGAGAGATACAAAAATGCATCAGCTTTTGAATAATCCTTATATTCTTTCATGAAAAGGACTCTAGTAGTCAAATTCATCTAGATAAATCAACTTAATTTTATTGGCCGTATAAGCCTAATAACTCGCTTGCATACTTTCTACATAAACTGTATCTCATATATAATCTAGTAATGTAAAATTTATTATTTAAAAATAATTGATATATCGAAATGAATATACTTATATACTATATAGTATAGACTTTTAGTTTCATATTTCCACACTAGCTACGTACATTTATAAATCTAACTGACCACAGTAGCTAATTCTCAGTGATTTTGTCAGGATAGGCTCATTGACTGAAACATTTCTCTCAAGTTAATATTTCACTACAGCAAAATTTCTCAATCTTATTATGCTTTACAAAAACATTTGTTGATAAATACTCAAGAAAGGAATTATAATACTGTAAACATATTAAATTGTCTAAATATAGGAACCTCTTATAGAGAAATATGTATATATGTTCAAAAATAGAACAGAGTTGACCATCGATAATAACTGCTCGAAATATTGATTATAGTGTTGAGTTATTGTAATGGTATTTCTGTTCTAGATTTGGTATTTATTGAAAAAAAAAATTAAGCATTTCTTACAATAAAAAAAATATGAAATGTAAATTATTCGATTAACATTATGTGGAATCGCGCATCGCTAATCTCTACCCCAGTTTGACATTGACAGCTGTTACAATAGTTGCAATCCATCCAGTGTTGCCAGATTCGGTGACTTTCGCTTTTTAGGGTATCTTGAAGAGTATTGAGACGACCAAAAATTATATACCTTTTCTACATATTTTTTCTCAAAATATGAAATCTTATTAATTTAATATAGAGTACTGATACATTACATATCATTGATGTGGTATGGTTTCAAATTTGTTGTAAATGAAGTTTTCCTTAAGATACTTTAAGAGAGACCATTTTTATCTAACTTAACCTTTTCAAGTTTCTACACCAAAATATGATAATAAAATGGTAACCCTATTTACGCTGTCGATATAGGTTAGCTAGGTGCTAGTGGAACTAAAAGATGACAGATAAATACGTCCATCATAACGAATTTATCAAGAAATAATGGTTTCTAGGGGATTGCGTAAAGGTCAGCTCACATGTTATATTGCTAACAATGGGACCACTAGTAACTAGTTAATAATTATAATGAGAATAATATTGTTAAATATAATAATGTTTTTACTAGCATTATTTAAAAAATAAAAAAAGTCCTCCAAAAACTAAATTTTGCGATTAGGTTTTAACCACAAAGTTAAAAAAAATGTGGCCTTAAATCAGATATTACAAATTATAATATCTGTTTATTATAATAATAATTATTATTAGATATTTAATGTAAGAACATAATAAAGTTTATTTTTTCTTATATCTGAGTAACAAAACTTCCGGCGTGTGAGTTCAACTCACATTTCAGCGGTTTCATTAGAAAATATTTACAAGCGCGTTACGGAGTGAGGAGGTAATCAATGGGCGTTTGGGGCTATATATACTTCAATAAAAATATTTGAACGATTTTAGGCTATAACGGCTCCGATTTTTGGCACTTCTGATTTATTTTATCTGGCAACATTGAATTCTACATCCGTTGTTATCTTGTATTGTACTATGTTAAAATTATGGTTTACGTGCTTAAGGTGGTAAAAATAAAAAAATAGTGAAAGAGTATAGAACAATTGTTTGATAAAATACCACGAGAGACTTTATAGCTGCTATGCAGCAGAGTGAGTTTGTTGACAAAGAAAAGTCGCTTTGCTTTCATCATGCCAGGCGCAAATTATGAACAGCTGCCTCTAAATGCTGATACAGAAGAAGGTGTATTTACAAGTAAACCAAAGAGAAAATGGTCTGATATTTGCGTACAAAAGAGTCTGCTGTCCCTTGGCTTGATTCTGTTGTACTTTTCCCTGTCCATCGGCCTAACGTTTTATCAAAGCTGGCTGCTTTCAGTAAGTTTATTCTTATTTAATACAATTTTTTATTAAACAAATTCATTAAACTTAGTTGCAACTGTTGGCAATGATGTTACACTTTATCTAGGTTCTTTGACATTATTACAAATATAGAATAAAATATAAACTTTTATTAGATTCTCCTTAAATAGCTACATATTTTCTGTACAACTTTTTTGATGGGCTTTTGAATGTGTGACTTGTGATGTAATTAATAAAAATAATAACAGCAGAGTATACCCATTGTCATATAAAATAGTAATAGGATAATTACTGCAAATACAGCCATACATATATATGTACTTGTTACAGCCAAATCACTGGAAATGTATTTTAGAATTTATTTAGTATTCTAATTCTTTGTCCTAGTAACAATAATAGTATTAATTAGTTGTTCATACTATAATATAAAACTAAAGATTTTTCTTTTACCTATCTGGTTGAATGAAGGCGGAAATTATTATTTACTTATTAAGAGACAAAATTTCATTCGTTTAAAAGCTTTGGAGCTCAACATGAACAAATATTGTAACACAGCATTTATACATATTAAAATAATCTTCCAATTGAAGCATTTCTATTACTTAAAATTTACTCATATTTTTTTTTTTACAATAAAAAGAAATTATTACACAAAAATATCTCTATTAATTAGTTAATAATTGATAAAATATTTTTCATTAATAAAATGTTTGCCACTAATGTTGTATATTGGTTATTTTGCCAAATTTAAGGTTAAGACATAGTATATACCACTATGTCTTAACCTTAAATTTGGCAAAATCACTGATGTGTGAGTCTCGTGTGCAGCTAGTAGAAATTTGACAATATCTTTTGGATTGAGACTAGAGGCTAAATATATTGAAACCACAAAGCATGTAATTATATCAATAGAAAGACAAATCAGATGCTTTAGCATGTATTATATAAAATACATTCAACTGAATTCCTAGGAGTAATAATAAGATACAGTTATAGTTTTAAAATAAAACATTTAAAGTGATATTAATTCATTTTCATTTAAGAGTTTCCTCTTGTCGGTGCAACTAATTCATGCATCTTCCTCCAGCCAGCTCTATCCCAGGCCACATCCTTTATCTCCCTTATTTATTAAAGTGATATACATTGTTATATTTATTTTATAGTAAATAGTAAAATCTCAATGCTATTATTTATTTTTATTACATTTATTTCACAGTTGGGCTATTTTGCATAAGAATATGGTTAGTTTATCAAGTCTAGAATGATACTTAGAATGTAACAGTTATTGCTACAGACCTCTGAAAAGGCTGTATATATATATATATATATATATATATATGAATAAAAAATATATAGAAATAGAATGTATATATATATATATATATATATATATATATATATGAATAAAAAATAATAGAAATAGAATGTATATATATATATATATATATATATATATATATATATATATATATATATATACATCCTTTTCAGAGGTCTGTAGCAATAACTGTTACATTCTAAGTACCATTCTAGACTTATATATATATATATATATATCTGTTCTTTAAGCCAGTTCTATTGTACTTTATTCTTTTGGTCGTCTCTCACTATATCTTGGATGTATATATATTTATAGGCTATTGTGCATAAGAGTATGGTTAGTTTAACAAGTCTGGATTACCAGAAAGTAACAGTAGTTACCCCAGACATCTGAAAAGGGTTCTGATGAGTTCAGGTTCCGAGCCATCAGGTTGACCAAGTTCTCACATGAAGTGTGATAGTTGGTAATCAGCACATAAGCCGGTGTTTCATCAGCTGTCATATATCCTACGATTCTGTATATATATATATATATATATATATGCACTTCATGCAAGAATTTTGATGCAGCAAATAAGCTGGTATTTCCTCAGTCTTCATGTATCCTCCAACTCCATATGTGCGTAGATGTAGACTACCAGTTATTACATATGATTCACACATTAAATATTTGCAGGAGTTCAAGTTTCCACTAACTGTGGTGATGTATCACCTGGTGATAAAATGGGTCCTTTCGGTGCTGGTGCGGCTGGTGCTACACATTATCACTGGGACTCCTCAGCTGATGCTGCCGTTCATCACCTGCCTCCGATCAGTGGCGCCCACGGGGCTCGCCAGCGGCATCGACGTCGGATTCTCAAATTGGGCGCTCGGGCTGGTCACCATTTCCCTCTACACCATGACTAAATCTACAACAATAATCTTCATATTGGGATTTGCCATACTCTTGGGATTGGAGAAGAAGGTATTTATGATTCTTATTTTTTTTTTTAATATAATTTGTAATGGCAAACAAGCTAACGGACCATCTGATGGAAAGTGGTAGCCATCGACTATACATGTATGTGTAACCACACAGCATGTGTAGTCTCGCAGCACTAAGAATATATACTGTCTATGTAACTGTTTAATTGAAATAAAGAAAAAAAGAAGAAAAAAATTTATATTATTAGGAAAAAGACCTAGAATGAATGTCCTATGTTAAACAAAGGAACATCCTATTTGTGCTATTGCTGATCACCAGGGAGTATCAGCTTGTTTGCCATTCTATGTTGCATAATGAAATATTTATATTTATTATTATTTATTTGTTCACTATACTTCCAATATACAAAGAAATATTTGATAATTTAGATATTACACAAGACATTGTTTTATGTCTTATATTTATTTATTAGGAAGAAAAACAGCAATTCTCCTTGATTGAACTTGAACCAGTGCTATGAAGCGTAACTTAGGAAAAAAATACTAGGGAAGTAGGTATATTGAGAAGGTTACAAAATGTAAAGCCGTAAGAACGCTTAGGTCTTTTGTATAGAAAATATATTGGACAAAATTAATAGGACAAAGATGTCGTGATGTGTTATTGTAGGAAGTGAGGTATGAATGAGAGGAGTAGGAGGTGATGTATGATAATAGCCGCTAAGAGGCCGGCGGTACCCACACGCCTCCCCCGGGGTGTATGGGTCTCTATAAGGATTTCCCCACATAAAAAAAGGAGGTGATGTATGAATGTTACAAAGGAGAGTGGCCATGTTGCTTTGAGCTTTCTACTCGACAGTTCAAATCATCACCCACTGTAACTAAATGTATGTTTTAAGTAATGTCTAATTAATAATCTTAAATAATAAAAGCACAAAAAGTAATAAAAACATAAAACAAAGCAAAGTACATTCTTAAAAGGCATCATTTACAGGCCAGTAGATAACTGCAGTGAATGCCAATTGGAAATAAATCAATGGTACCTCTTCATTTACTCGACATAGGGGTAAGGGATCAGCAGGTCTACCATGACATGAATTTCCGAAATTTCGGACTCAATTTCGTGTTTTTGTTTATACCAAAATCGGACCAATAAATGGTGTTTAACATTTCGTTCGTCATACATCCTATCATAAAAGTCCAAAGGAACAATATTTTAACATTTTTAATATTTCCAAACGGCATGTATTATGTAATTTTGACAACAAATTTCTGTTTCGTCTGGCTCTGAAATTTCGGAAAACATTTCATGGTAGGCCCTCTGATCTCAAATCGATTTAATCGAATATTGATCTTTTGCTTATTTAATATGTTCTTTATATTTTAGACTACATATTACGTGACCGGATATACTCTAGACATTTTGTCAGTCAGACTTAAACTATAATATGTTAGAAGACAATAATTTTAAATAAACAGAAAAATCGAATAGTATGAATCGATTTAATTATTATGATAATGAATTGTATTCGAGCGTGATTATTATAAAAAAATAAATAAATAAAAAAAAGAATAGATGCATAACTTAGTCTGGCGAGAAGACACCAAAGACAAATTATGTTAGTTTCAATCTGGATATACGGAGATTTGCTATTAATTGATAAAATCATATTAATAAGAGATAAGAATTATTGATAAGAAAGCAATGTGACACAAGTTAACCTTTACCGATATTACTCATGGGCATTCCCCTTCTCACTCCAATATGTTCAGTTGTTTAGGTATTATTTAATAATAAGTATCTAAACATTATTATGCCTTGTGGTCCCGGCGTAGAATGGACCACCCATTCCTTTCCCGTGAATACTGTAAGGGGCGACTAAGGCAACTTGATAGTTTAGGGATAGGCAGCAGCGTATGTCTTAAAACATCTCCAAAACCTAATTGCGGTTCCCAACCCGCCTGCCAGGGGGGAAAGGGATTGTTAGCAATGAAGACTGAGAATCCTATTGCTAACAATATACCCAACCAGGTCGACCTCCTCGCGGTTTTTTTTTATGGGTGAAAATGGTATGGTAACCCCGCCTGCGCTAACGGGATACGCTGGCGGAGCACCAGTGAAGGGTGATAGATGAGAATGAAAACAGGCCAGTTAGCCCATCATGACGAATTAATCAAGAATTAACCATGATAGTTTCCAGAGAGAACCGCGAGTAGGTCGATCTGGTTGGGTATACCCAATATATTGCTAGCAATGGGATTCTCAGTCTCCATTACTAACAATCCCTCTCCCCCCTGAATTATCTATTGTGCATGACATATTTTATGCTAAGCGAATTATTGAATTTCTGCGTATCATATGAACGTAAAAGTGGTAAGAAAGAAGAAAGTTTATTGTGATTAAACCTTCGATGGCAGTTTCACAGGGATCTAAATAATGAAATTTATAGAAAAAAGATTACAAATTAATAAGTATATAAATATTATATATATATATATATATATATATATTATGATAGGATGTCAATTCAAATTGCTTTTGTACGAAATGTCTATAAATGTATACAATAAGTCGTGTTGCTGGATCTGCTTATGGATAAGCCACCATGGCTTTAGTTGTTAAGCATTTAATAATAGATATTAACTGTACGAGTATGGGGGGAATGGGATTGCTAGCAATGGAGTTTGACAGCCCCGTTGCTAGCAATATGCCCTATTAGGTCAACCTCCACGTGGTTCCCCCTGGAAACCATCGTGAACAATTCTTGTTGAATTCGTCACGATGGGCTAACTGACCTGCTTCATCCTCACCTATCAAGCCTTTTACCTACCCAAGCATTCGATATTTGTACAAAGTCTCCCTCTGGTAAAAAAGTAGCCTATATCCTTCTCCATCCCATGAGTACGTGTATACCAATTTCATAGTAATTAGTCCAGCCGTTAAGGCGTTATAAGGTAACAAACAAATTCACTCACATTTATAAAATTGGTAAGGATACGAATGGTTATTCCAAGCTGAAAAGGCCGTCAACTTGTTTACCATTCCAAGTATATAAAAAAAAAAAAACAAAAACTAGCTTCTGTATTTATTGTTTGTTGTTTCCTTCAAGCGCCAATAATCAGTCAATTAACTAAGTAAAATGAATAAACATTTTATTTTACTTATCCTTATTTTATATAAATTTTTTTATATATTTTTTTCCTGGCATCCCATCTCAATTAATCCTGTACAATTTGATTTTACATCACCATTATTGTATCCACCGTTAACTTTATTACTGAACACATGCCATCCCCAGAAGGGAAGTTTTTCCAGTAGTTGTCATGCTTGGCAGGCGGGTTGGCAACCGCAGTTAAGCATTGCGATGTTTTGAGAGGTACGCTGCTGCCCATTCCTCGCGCTCCCTTATACGCCTCTTACGACATCCAAGGGAAAGATAGGGGTGGCCTATTCTATGCCGGAGCACACGGCACCAATTTCATATGCTGATTGCAAATTGTTAAGATCTGTGCAGAAAAGATTATAAAGGAATTTTGTGTCTGTAGAAAACGTAATGTATAAATCGCCTAGATAAAGTACAATTGAATTTGTCGCTAGAATTGTTTTTACTTTTTTTTTTTAAATTGTCGCTTTTGATTTACGCGTTAAAAAGCTGTGCGCTATCGGATTACGCTGTCTATTTATCACCATGGTGTTTATGGTGGTCTGATATATGCAATGAATATGGCTTGTTGATTTACCTAGAGAGATTGTTTATTATATATTTAAATGTAGAGGATGGATGAAAAAAGAATTACGAAAGAGTTTTATTGAGCAAGAATGAATGAAGATGTCGGTAGGTCCTTAGACGGACGTATGTCGACCAAATAGGTGACGTGCTGGAGAAGGGACAAATTACGAGTACCCGTGACTGGCGAGAGTGTATGAAAAGATTGATGAATGTGGAAGAAACGAAAGAAGTCTGTTTGAATCGAAGCAATCGGCGTTCCATTATTTTTGCCTACCCTAATGGGAGACGTGGGGAGACGTGAGGAGGCGTGACAGATATGCATCTGTAAATGTAGTTACATTTCTGTCGAATTGTATTTATAAGTTTACATCCGTTTGATAGGATTGATTGATATATTTAATTTTATATTAATAATAAGGAATTAACTATGATAGTTTCCAGGGGGAACCGCGAGGAGGTCGACCTGGTTGGGTATATTGCTAGTAATGGGATTCTCAGTCTCCATTACTAACAATCCCTTTCCCGCACAGTATGGTAGGTTATGTAGCTTATCTATGGAGGTTGGTTTTGATTTGTGTAAAACCGCGTAGTTGCACTGATATGTGTCCTGTTATAAAATGGCAAAAGCGAAAGAGCGTAATTGAGCTGACAATTTGCAGGCGACAAACAGCTTTATTCTTTAGCAATAAGAGCTATTTATTTTTAACATATGAATTCAAATCATTATTGTTATACAAATTAAGTTGATGACGCTCCTTATGTGATAGCGATTCAAGGCTAACGCTGAACATACGTAATGCCATAAACAATTAATGTTGAGCTCATTAGTAGGAGCAAGTTTATTTTTAATTTTTTTAATAATGTGTATTTAATAGATATAGCTGTATCCAACATACACGATCTACCAAATACAATAGCTAGAAAAAAATATTTATATACACTTAACTCCAATCTGTACTTATCTATACTTCTAATAAATCTGTAGAGAGGTCAATTCTGTACATGAAATATATTTCCAAAATAACTATCAGCGGGTGATTAGTGATCGATACTGATGCCGAAAATGCAATCAGTGGAATTTTTGTCAGTCTGTCTGTCTGTATGTTCGTTATAAAAACAAAAACTACGGACGGATAATCGACGGATTTTAACGAAACTTGGTACAATGATTTAAAATTTACAAGTGAAAAGAATTTTTAACGTATTTATAAGTTTTATTTGCGAGTAACATATATGAGGCTGTATTTTATTTAATTTTTTAAAATATTTTATTAAAAAAAAAATTGTAGTTGTACCTAGTATTTATGTGTACTAAGCGGGGGGGGGGGGGGGGGTGTTAGTAATACGGACTATCAGGCCCATTGCTAGTGGCGCAGGCGAGGTTACCATTCCATTATCAGACATTAAAAAAAAAGCTGTACAAAGCTGGGTACAGTTTCTTCCATAAAAAAGAGAAGAGTCGTCACTCTATAACGAATTATAAGATTTTCAAATAATATCGTTTTTCCAGTCGTGGTCGCTTGTGGGTATAGTGTTCATGATCGCCGCCGGTCTAATCATGTTCACATACAAAGCGACTCACTTCAACCTGGCCGGCTTCAATTTCCTACTGCTGGCGTCCTTCGCCGCCGGCCTCCGGTGGACCTTCGCGCAGCTGCTCATGCAGAAGTCCAAATTGGGCCTCCACAATCCGGTCGACATGGTGTTCCACGTGCAGCCGTGGATGTTCATATCGTTGTTGCCCTTCATGATCATATTCGAAGGTAACTCACATGTTTTTTATTTGAAAAATGAAATGGAATATAAATTATGCTTATTTAAACTTGTGTTTTTGATGGATTTTTTTTAAATTTGTGATAATATAATGGTAACCATGCCTGCGTTAACGGTATACGCTGGTGGGGCACCACGGAAGGATGATAGGTGAGAATGAAAAGGCAGGTCGGTTAGCCCATCGTGATGAGTACACCTGGAATTCAACAGGTTAGTTTCCAGGGGGACCACGTGGAGGTCGACCTGATAAGGATATATTGCTAGTTATAGGTCTGATAGTCCGCATTACTAACAATCCCTTCCGCCCATATTGCATTAATAAGACTTAATAGTCGAGGGGTGGGCTGTAGTGTCCCTCTTAAAAGATTTTGATTGCCTAACTGCGGTTGTTAGTCCGCCTGCCAAGCGTGACAACTACTGGCAAAACCCTTCTTTTGGAAGTCTCATCAACTCTCAACTCAGATATAGCCATTTTTAACGATTAAAAAATAAAAACCTTATATTAAATACATTGATACTTGTCGATAAACAATTAATTTATTACTTTTAATATACGAATTTTAATATATTCACTATATATAGAATATGTCATTTTGTCTGTTCATTCATGTCGGTTCGCTGCCCATTTAATGGAGACATCTCTAATTTGCATATGTTCATTTTAGCTTAAATTTCAGTGACTTAGTTACGCTTTCTAATAACAATGCATTATTTTACGTCGCCTGTATAAAATTCTGTTAATTGTTATTATAATTAGAAAGAAATTATAATTATTTTAAAGGTTTATGTTTTTTTTTATAGTATAAAATATATGAAAAAAATGATTATATATTATTGCCGTGTCATCCCAACATAAAATGAGTTTTCTTGGGTACCCATTGGTGGGTACGGGTATGGGTCAGACCCATTCGTGTTTCTACCGTGAAGCAGTTGTGTTTGCATGACTGTGTTTCGGTTTGAAAGGTGGGATATGGAAGTGAATTTACAGGGTACAGAGGAATAACTTTAGTCTTCAGGAATGGTAACGCATGGGGAATATCATGGGCGTACAGTATACTCTGTTATGTCCATGGTACTGCTCATGTCTATAGGCTACGTTTACCACTTTCCATCAGGTGGGCCGTCGGCTTGTTTGCCATTTTATTCTATTCAAAAATACCGCTAATTTGCGTTTTACTTTTCCTATAATATATATATATATATATATATATATATATATATATATATATATATATATATATATATATATATATATATCTTTATAAACTATAATTATTTCAAATTTTTTGCATCAGAAACTTCAGGGATAAACCCTCCCTCGCTCAGTGATTTTTTCTAACATTCTCGATCATAATTAAACATAAATGAATAAAAATCAGTTTGAAAATGTACAAATAAAGCACTTTTATATGATTTTATATGATCCCCATTTGGACTTGTAAGTTAATTTTGAAACTTTGGACCTCCTAACAATGAAAATAAAAATATTGTTTAACGCTGTGCCAGACGGACGGACGGACAATGTTGCACCTTAAGAGTTCCTCTGTACCTTTTTGATATGGAACCCTTAAATCAACAAATTATTGCGTTTCAGGTTTCGAGTGTTTCTACGAGCTGCAGAAGCAATCGGGGAAGGAGTTGGTGCCAACGATCCTGAAGGTCTCCGTCGGCGCCACCATCGCCTTCGCGATGGAGATCAGCGAGTTCCTGGTCGTTACCTACACTTCTAGTCTTACGTTATCCATTGCTGGTATATTTAAGGTAAGGCAATTTTATGTGGTTGGACCTTAAATTATATAGTTTATCTTCATATACATGTTACGCCAAAAACAGATCAAATTTAAAGATTTCAAAATTTAAACGATACCTATAAATATTCCAGGAAATGTGTATCCTAGTCTTGGCCGTGAAAGTGAGTGGTGACCAACTGAGCCTGATCAACGTAGCCGGCCTCGTTCTATGCCTTCTAGGCATCATCGGCCATATAGTACACAAAGTGCTGTTCATAAAGACAGTAGTTGGCAAAGTCAGTGTGGTGGACTCTGAAGATTTTGACCAGATCAACCGAACGAGGGCGTCCAAGACCGAAGGGGATCACCACGAGCCTCTACTAGAGGAGAAATGGCAAGTCAGCGACGAAAGCGATGTAGATACGAGCACAATATTACATGAGATCTTGCAGCGACGGGACGGTAGGTAGGGTGTTAATTAGATCACACCTGGCCACAAGTATGAGTTAACTGCGTTTTGAATTAAAAAAATTGCATTTTTTAAATTCAGAACCACACCAGTGCTTTATTCGCTCCAACTTATACTTGTAGCCTTTATGCGCGGCGAGCTTGGAATGGAAATTTAAAAAGCGAAGTTATTATTTTTTTTTTATTTACTTAAATTGGGACATTAGTCAAACAGCCTAAAATCTTACAGGTGAGAAATATAACATTACGAAGAAAGTAATGTATTTTTACAATTTTTGTATAGTTCTTATATTAATATTTACAGTTATACTACTAATGTAGGTAATGTATTAAAATGAAACTTTATTAAATAGATAATTAACAGAAACATCACAGGAAAGGAAAAAAAATGTGATCTTAAATACCACGTTTAGTAAAAGATTTATTTAAATTTAATGCATTTGAATTTATATGTTGTATACCGTGATGGGTCAATCAAAATGTGATAGGTCTGATATAGTGACATAATATGAAATTATATGACGATTGCGATTATAAGGTAAGATTTTATAAATTTTTGCGGTCTTTACAAAAATATCAGATATGGATAAAAATTTATCTGTGGATCTTTATTGTATTTCTGGTATATGACACCATATATACTGTATTAGTTTAGGTAAGGCCATGAAATGTGATTGTAAATATTTAGTATATTTACGTCTGTACATAGACGAGTTTACAGAAGAGGAAGGCAGATGATTTTTGTATATTTTTTTCTACTAGATTTTTCTAGAAGTTTTATACATTTTTTTTTTAATTTTACTATCTCTCGTCCTGTGTAAATTGTTTTTAAACTACCTTATTTTATTGAATCCTGTGTTAAACAAGCCCGGGCGCACACTGAGCCGGATGCCTGTATAATGTAATCTGTGGTCAAGTACTTATAATGTAAGACCGTGTACTCTGCTTAGTTTGGAATTATTACTATAACTAAAGTGTATCTGTCCAGAGCTTTTTTTTTTTTAATATGATTGCAACTACTTCTTTGACTAAAATGAACCTGAAAAAAAATTATTTTAAATCGATCGTTACTGGAAACAAGGTAATTCTGACCTTATGCAACACAGCGTGCGCGCGGGTTAACAGAAGCTCGCCCGCGTACTTTAAATATATTAAGAACGAAAAGGATTTGATATTTAATGTATAAATAACCACATTTTTAACTAAAAAACTAATCTAACTCAAAAGTTTGTAAATCTAAAATTAGTATCTTAGTATCTAAAAAATAGCAGGTTTTACAACTTGGTTAAGAATAAAGTTACGATGTCCTCTGTTGCGCAGGCGCAGCGGGTACGTTCCTCAACGTTAATGAGGGTCCGGGTTCGTTCTCTGTTGGGCCAAATTAGAAAGTGATTTTTCCGAATTGGCCCGGGTTTCTTCTGGGTCCTGCTCACAGATATGCGTCTAGTTTCTCATATCACAGGGTATCCTAGCGTGTGGTCGTTTGGCACCTATTGTTTTTTTTTTTTTATTAAAAAACACTCCTTTCTACATCTGAAACAAAATCTAATATTATATGTGTAAAATTTTGAGTTAGATCAGATTTTTATATCATATATTGACAATTGTATAAAGTGACATTTGTACGTTGCGACGCCATATTGTATAATTCCGTCACGATTTACATTGCGTGCACGCGTGTGTATTAATACATTCACGTGTGTATGTGTGTTAAGTTAATCGACAAATATACGGTGCAATATTATACCATGGTCATCATATCAAACGTTACATGTCCACTACTAAACATAGGTCTCCTTCTAATGGGGAATTTTGCCAGTAGTTGCCACGTTTAGCAAGTGGTTTGAATACTGCAGTTAGGCTTTAGTGATGTTTTAAGAGGGACACTACTGTCCATTTCTCGACTTCGACCGTTAAGTTTCCTTAGTCGCCTCTTACGACTTCCACGGAAAAAGATGGGATGGCCTATTCTATGCCGGAATTACACAGCGAAATATTATATAATCTGTTCTTGATTAAAAAAATGGCGACTTTTAAAAAAAAAATTATAAATATATTAATAGCAATATTATCGATTAACACAAAGTCAAAATTCTATGCTTGATTACATTCATGAATTCTAATTGTACGTGACGAACATGGCACGGCACTATTCTATCCTTTCGATATAATAGTAAAAAAGCAAAATGTATGCAATAGTGTGGGGACACTATTATTCTTTTTTGTTTTAAGTTTTTAATCGATCGATTAACTTACGAAAGTTACGTATTGTACTTACGTAAGCCTTACAAATGTAAGGAATATATTTTATTTCTCTTTATATGTTTGAATACACTTGTACTACATTCACAGATTTATTTTAAGTATATTCTGTGAGTTGATGTTGTTGGTAACTTGACTAATTGTTTTTTTTTTATATATATTTATATTTTTATATTCTATTAGGGGTTTACTTTGTACGCGCGGATTTCAAAAGTAGGAGAATCAACAAAGACTATATCTGATACCAAATTTTAAAAGTACCAAATTTTAAGTTAGACGTTAATGAAAAATCTATGAAAACTTTATCCAATTTGGTGCAGTAGTTTTTGCGTGATGCTTCAACAAACATACAGACAGACGTTTGTCTTAATAAGACCTCTCTTATCGATTTTTTTAAATGTCACCCATATACAGATATTGTCTGATTACAATCTAATATATAAAATTCTCGTGTCGCGGTGTTTGTTACCAAACTCCTCCGAAACGGCTTTACCGATTTTCATGAAATTTTGTGTGCATATTTGGTAGGTCTGAGAATCGGCCAACATCTATTTTTTATACCCCTCAATGATAAGGGTAAATAAAATTTTTACCCCTAAAAATTTTTTTTATATTTTTTTGACAAAATTTTTAATTGTGTTTTAAATATGATTTAGCATCAGAAAATACATACAACTTTAAATTTTCACCGTTTTACGATCAACCCCTGTATTTTAATCGCGATTTTTATATTTCGCAATAAGTGGTAAAACATCGTTTACGGGGTCAGCTAGTTTTATTATATTAATGAGATTGACATGTTGTTTTTGACATATTTTTCCCTATACGTTCTCAAAATATACGAAGCTTTACGTTACTTGTATAGTTGTTCTGACCAATTTTGCTGTATTAAGGCATTTAACAAAGGTATAATATACGTTTTTATAGCGTTATTAATCCCATTTAGGGTTAAGAAAAAGATACATAAAAAACATAAAAACTGTTGAGATCAGGACGGAGAAAATGTTAGGACATTTGATACGACACCACGAACTTATGAATAACATAATAGAAGGTAAAATAGAAGGAAGAAGGGGAAGAGGGAGACCGAGACATAGTTACATCAGGCAGATCAAGGAAGGAGTTGGTGTCGTGTCGTATTAAGACGTGAAGGGACTTCTTGAAAATCGTAGTGAGTGGCAAGAGTTCCACCGACAAGAATTCCTAAATAGGAATGAACTAAATTTTTTAACTGTGCAAGCTGCTAGACTTTGAAATATATATATATATATATATATATATATTGTTTAAAATATTATTTTTACACTTTATATGTTGTGCTTTATATACAAACCCTATAGACACATTCTCCTTATGGGCTCTCAAGGTTGACTGGAAGAAATCCCTTTACGGGATAAGTCTGCCTTTGTACATTTTGGTATAACCTAATATCTATATTATAAGCGAATGTACAAAAGTATATAAATAAATAATAAAACGAATTCTTTTCCCTTGATTTATATTGCACTGTATATTTCTCGATACATTATTCACTGAACGTATCTTATGTAACGATGAATGTAAATGATCAATGCAAACAATTATATTTGAATTATATTTGATAAGCATTTATAAAGTGAATATAGTATAGTATACTTAATAATGATAATATATTTTTGCATTTGATGTAAGTATTGTAAGAGGTACGTAAACCGCTTTCCATGTGACAGCTATGTGGCGGTACCAATTGTTACGAGACCCGAAGATTTTTAGCTAAATATGTTTTTCTTTTTGTTGTTGTTTATGTAATAAATGCTATTGTGAAAGCATCGTGTTCGAGAGAATGCTTTCTGTGTACGACATAATGAATCCTATTATGAATTAGTTAATGTTAACATTCCATATTTAATAATATTAATTAATTTTTAATATTAATTGTGTATTGTTTATTTGTTAAATTTGACCTATTTGAATGTACACGACCATAAGCATAAAAATGTAAAAAAATATTTAAGTTATTTAACTTGTAAACTAATTAATTAATTAATTTCTTTTTTATTATTTGATGAAGAATTGCAATTAAATATTTAATTTAATTTTAATAGAATGTTCGAAAGAAATTTCAATATTTCAAGAAAATGTCAGAAAGAGCTTCTAGTACTTCTGTTAAATATTTTTAGTTCCAGCAATCAGTGTGTAAAAAGATTATAGAGAAGAAAATTAAAGCATCCGCTTCACCTTGATAAAAAAAAAAAAAAAAAAAAAACGTTTATGTGAAATCTATGCAATCTGTTAATGGAATTTTATAATTTTTACTATAAATTTGCTTGATCTTTGATACACTTTGATATCAATATTTTAGGCAGAAGCATAGTTGCAAACACGATTACGTAATATTTTATTGTGTTCATATTTCCAGCTGGTTGCATAGATTCTTTTTTTTTCGTTTTCGTTAATATAAGGGCAGTGGCGACACTTAAAATATAACACAGTTATTAAAAAATATAACTATGGGATTAAAAATTCTCCATCTGTTTTGTCACGTCACTGTAGACTTAAAAATCAACTTTAGTATTGGAAATAAGACTGAAATCTAAAAATTAATATGTCAATCGTAGATAATATTGACATAATGTTATATTAATAATTGACTCGTCTGTTTTTTTTTATGCCTGTGGTCATTATGCAAATATCCACAATCCATCTTTCTTCCAGTACCTATACATTCCTTTAAAATTGAATTTCGAATTCCAATATTTTTATTTTACATTTTTTTTTTTAAATTATTAATAGGAAGGCTAAGATTGAAATTGACAGCCTATTTTTCAATGATTGTATTTTTTCCCCTTAAAATATCTTAAGAATTTTATTTTTAAATTACGTGTAAAAAAAAAAGTTGTATATTACGCATTGGCTAATTGTACGTTAAATATTTTTGTTGTATTATTGTTTGTTTTTTCTTGATATAAAGTTACTATGTATATATGTTTAATTATACACTTGATAGCAAGTAAATCGAGTTGTTTGTCCTTTTTGAATCCTTGTTATGATTTTCCTCATACAGCGCTGTATACAACGTGACGTCGTTGTCATTATTTTTAGGCGCGAATTTCAGTTATACCAAGCGGTTAGTATCGATTTTCTCGCCATGCCTTTGCCTTTATTACACTAATATTTGTCTGTTGTTCCTAGAACTATTTGGAACATAAGAGAGATGGCACAAGATTGTTCCTTTTTTAACAGACTTTAAAAAGAAATAAATCCTCAATTCCTCTGCTTGTTTTACATTTAATGTGGCTTTAGTTTGAATAAGTAATGACCTAATAGCACCATTAAAGCATGAATTTTGATCTGATGAAAAAAAAAATCAATATAATTTTCATCAAAAAGATACAATTTCGTGTTAGTGATATCATACTAATTTGAATTTGTTTTATGCAACAAAATATTAAATTATTAATATTATATCTAATTTCGAGTTAAAAAATTCTGCGTACTGTATGTAGTATGGTGAATATAACTGCTGACAATTATCTAACTAGAATTAGTGTAAATCTAATTTCTGAAGTAAATCAAACTTAATTACAATTCTTTTTTATAGTTTTAGTGACATATTAGCTGAATCAATACAGAGTATAAGGAATACTTATAATTTTTTTAAATAATTTCTAGAAAGTATGTAGTCCTGATTTTTTTGCTTTCAAGTGTAGCTATAAAGTTTATCCTTTAAGCAATTACAAAGTTTCTAGTTATTATACGTGATCGTTCACATTTAAAGAAAATTACCTAATTATAATTATACATTTCTTAAACATTTTTTTTTGAAAATGGAATAATTTAAAAAATAGTTATTCACAAACTATTCACCGTGAAGTTTTGCAACTACGATTCGATATTTGTATCGATTATATCCTGAAACTCGAATGATGATTGACTCGCGATAAAATCGATACAAAAACGCCAGCGTTAATGACGGTGATCACGTCATAAAAATTACGCATTTTCACAGATCCAATATCAATTTGTATAGGTGCATATGTATGAAATGAAACGTCTTCTTTAAACGTCAAAAGTAATTGACTCGACTGTTAAATTACTAAAGCCAAACACTTTACATAACTTTTGATAGTCTATGGCCATATTTGTTTTATTTTGTAGTGGGTCGGTTCAGAAGTGCCATTCTTCTAAATCTTGGTGTTGGCAGTAGTTGCCACGCAGGGAGGTTGGCAATTGCAATTAGGCTTTGGTGATGTTTTAAGAGAAATGTAGCCCATTCCTCGACCGTTAAGTTTCTTTAGTCACCTCTTACGACACACACGGGAAAGGAAGGGGTGGCCTATTCTATACCGGGACCACATGGTAAAATTACATACATGTAATTGCTTATTCCTTTTTTTTTTCGACTGGAACCTGCACTGCTAATACGCGGCAGTTTATTTCCATTATTGTTTTATTTTTTATTTTTGTGCTGTTTGATAGTTTTGTTTCATTAGCTTGTAAAATTCAAACCGAAACACAGCCATGCAAACACAACTGCTTCACGATTGAAACACGAATGGGACAGAGGTACCCAAGCAATCGACTTTTGTACAAAGTCTCCCTCTGGTAAGTGGTGGGGGTTTACGCAGGTATCAGTGAATGATGATTCCTAGGGGAGGGGACCGCGTGGAGGACTATTATTAACAAAAATGATGTTGCTAGTCCTCGTTACTAACAATTCCTTTCTCCTCAATGTTAATGGGTTATGGTATTTTATGACCTATTTACAAGTGTAATAAAACAGTAATAATAAAAATATGGGGGGAAAGGGAATATATATATATAATATATAATTATTATATATAATAAATATAATAATAAACCCCGTCTTCGTCAACGTAGCTAGTGTAAATGCTAGATGACAGGTGAGAATGAAAAGGCAGGTGAGTCCATCGTGATGAATACACCTGGAGTTCACCGCATTGGTTTCTAGGGAGGATCGCACGGAGGGTGCCCTCTAAGGATATTTTATTTTATATTTTTTTATATATACATAAATATTATACATAGAAAAGACTCAGACTAATGCAAACACAGATATTTATATGTAATACATTATGTGGAGATTGAACTCGCGACAATTAGAAGATGAGACGGTGTGTTAAATAACTACGTCATCACGGTATCAATTAATAAGTGAACAGGAATAGCATTGTATTTATGTGGGGGAGAGAATGAAACCACGCACTGAATAGTGTTAATAAAATGAACAAGTTACATAAGTCCAAAGGGGATGGTAAGATCCAAACCAGAAAAGGGTTTTAAGTTGAGCAAAGAGCAACTGCGTCTGTGATAAATTTTTATTTCTTAATTTCCCATCTAAATACCTAGTCAATTTACATTATTTCACTTGTATTTTTTATAAAGAGCATTTGTAAATGTCCGTTAAAAGATCGTTGAATAATTGCAAAGCTTCATTGTAATAATAGTTCCAGGTGAGCAACAGAGTACATGCAACCCGAAATTATTAATTTTTTAAAAAGCTAGTAGCCAAACTTAATTGCGAAGGAGTTCTCGTGCCTAGTTGTCCACTCAGTCTGAAAAGCTTCCCATTTAAAGATGTAGCAGCCTCCATTTTCCTCAAGAACATATTCTTACACGACGTATTCAACGTTTTTTCGGTCAATGTTTTGTTCGACTCCATCGAATCCAACGAATTGATAATCGAATCAGCATCCGTATCCAAGTTTAAGATATTAGTGTGAGATTCTTCGCGCCACAATTTTTGCAAATTTAGCGCCATCAGCTCTAACTGTACTTGTGACAGCTCCCTTATCACGTCGATTTGAACAGACATCACGTTGTCGCAACTCTTCAGTAGAGAGTTTAAAGTTTCCAGCACATCGGCTCTTCTCTTCTGTATGCTGTACTGGTTGTCTATATTTCGCTCGAAGAAAGCCAAGTGCTCGTACAATTCAGCGAGTTGCAGCGAACATGATATGTACTGAGCAAAGTGATGTTCGAAGTCGTAGTAATGTTTTGCCCTCATCAACCACTTGTGTGTAAACGCGAAGAGTTTTCGAGCTTCTTCCACGTTGCATACTATATCTAGAGGTACCCTGCTCTCCATTTCTTTCAAGTCTAAAGTTGGGAAAGTAAATAACTTTTCTGGGGTATAATCTCCTTTACCAGTCTTCTCTGCGCCTTGGTCTTTCAGGTTCTCCTCTTCGAATTTCTCCGTATTATCTATGGGTTCGTCCATAAAGTCTACAGTTTTCCATAAATCAGCTCTCGAGGTAGGTTGAGTGAAATATTTGTTTAATATCTTTTTCTTAGATAGTTTGAAGAGAGTCAACCCATATTTTACCCAATGATGACTTAGTTCTAAGAAATGCATCTCGAAATCTGCCTTCTGTAGTACAAACTCTTCTGGCATCAGTTTGCAGTTGTCATGACAAGTTCTCAACACGTGATAACCAGCACAAAGATGATGTCTAGCATTGCCAATTTGATTAAGATAAGTGAAGTAGTTACCAAGTCTGGCAGTTCTCAATGCCCAGTCTTGGGGTGTCCCTTCTTTCATTTCCAACTGTCTTCTCAGTGCAGTATGATTATATAACGTATATTTGTCGGGTAAATTCAGTTTGTTATATAAAAATGCTTGCATTTGGACATTATTTGTAATGACTTTATCAATCTTTTCTGGGTTGACTCTTTTGACGTTTTCGAGAGATTCAACAGTAAACAGGTCCTCGGCGTCTACGTACTTGTCAGATGGAAATTTGCTAATTTTGTCATAAAGGTCTTCCATATTCTCCAAGAGATCCCGAACAATCGTGATTTGGTCTAGTTGGATCAAGTAATAGCATAAAAGATTCTGAATTCTAAGCAAGATGAAAAGACATTCTTCTCTCAGAGCATAAGGTTTCAATTTGTCAAACGCGACTTGAAGGATATTCTTCTTCTCCATAAGAGATATAGGTATTGTCTTCGCGGATAAGAGGGCTAAGTAACCTTCCATTGCGAGGGATCTCACAAAGTTGTCATGGTTTTCTTTTCCTAATACTACCAGTTCGGTGTTAAGGCTCTGAAAATCCTTCTTTAGGCTTTGAAGGCGTTCTGACGAATTTTTATTCTTGATTGCATTTCTTACATTTTCAAATGTGCTGGTGATGCGACACAGTGTTTCCATTTTATACAAAATACGAATAATTTTAATATTAGATAGACGTAATGTCTGACTTTTAAAAGAAACTAGCAACTGTTCTATTTTCGATGTGACAATAAATAATGATAATATAAAAAAAAATAAAGACCCTAAGTTGCCAGTCATTCTATTGAAATCTCAAATATTTAAATAGTTTTTTTATATTTTACACAGAGTAATAAGTCAAGAGCATATAAATTCACTATTATCTTCACGCTATTTACTTACGATAAAATTGTTTTCATGATTTTTATGTGCGAGTTATACATTTAACTTTACTAAAATATTTATTTTTACTCACAGCCGGTGGCTTAGCTTCCGTGATATAATAAAAAAAAACTTCCGTAGTAACTAAATATTCAAATTACAAACATCTTTACAAATTATCCCATCTTAACCCCTCACTGGAGGTCGACCTCCACGCGGTTCCCCCTGGAAACCATAGTGGTTAATTCTTGTCCAATTGGTCACTATGCGCCAACAGACCTGCCTTCATCCTCACCTGTCACCCTTCACTGGTGCCCCGCCAGCGTATACCGATAGCGTAGGCAGGGTTGCAATTCCATCTTCACCCATTAAAAAAAAAAAACCCCTCACTGGTGCCCCGCCAGCGTATGCCGATAGCGCAGGTGGGGTTACCATTCCATTATCACACATATATATATATATATATATATATATATATATATATATATATATATATATATATATATATATATATATATATATATATATATATATATATAACACGCACGGTGGAGGACCGCCACTCGTCCAGATGGTTAGGATGAAATTTTAGTTTATGGCGGGTTGTGCGATGGTGAAAATCAGCAGCAGGTATCAATCCGAACAATTCTTCAGAGCATGATAAATTCGGTAGAAGATGCACAGAGATGCAACACGCTATGCAGTTTCAGTGGGTCGAGTCGGTTAGTTAGTAGTTAGTTAGTTCATCCTAGTTTATATATAAATATTAACAAATAGTTTTCTTTTCTTTCTCTATCTTGTACAACTAAAAAGTAAAATAAATTTCCATTAATAAATTGAATCAATTTAAAAGCTGTTGTAATTGATTACAATGGGCATTTTTATTGTTCCTCTAATGTAATTTGCCATGAATAATGATGAAAGCGTAGGTTTTATTGCCTTTTCAATGTTGGACACTGTCTTAACTAAGTTTTTTTTTCTATTTCTTTCGTAAATAATGTTAATTCGTACTTAACTATGCATAAATTTATTTGGTTAGATATACTGGTATTTTAAACAAAGTTCTTAGACGATTAAACGTAGGTCTTTTTACCAATTAAAGTACAATGTGCGAAGTTCCCTAACGATGATGTCCCTCCATCTTTATATATTATGTCCATGTTTATATATTATTTATATACTTCAGGGTAGAAGTATATAAATAATACATAATTCTACCCCTGAAGTCATATTGTCATATTCCATTAATTTAAATTCGAAAAAACCATGCAAGTGCAACTGATAATTAAAAGAATAATTAGAAATTGTTAGAAACTTCAAAAAAAAGACGGACTTCTTTGGTAACAAAATCAGTTTGATCTAAAAACTAAACTATTGAATTGATTTTAATAAAATTTCTATGGGGCCAATCTGTAAGTATATTCTTTTAGACAAAAAAAAAAGAATCTTCCAAATCGGTTTAGAACTGACAGAGTTATGAGGTAACAAACATAAAAAAATACAACTGAATTGGGAACCTCCTGTTTGAAGTCGGATAAAAACGAATGAAAACGAACGAGTAAAGAAAGATAAAGGTTGTCTGGAAGAGATTGCTTAGCGATAAGGCCGCCTTTTGTATCATTTCTTATTAATATTCAGTACATTTATTATTTTTTTACTTGGTGTAATAAAGTGTAAAATAAATAAATAAATAGATATAATATATATTATAGCTTGGGTCTTAAGCTAAGGTACCCTGTGTTTAAAGGGACCAGGCCAGGAACATCTGGCGGCACAACACAGATCGATCAGACTCGAATCAATTTAGAAAAATTCACTTTCTAAATTGATCTGATCGAGAACGGAACGCAAGATTTCATTTACATCAAGTACACTTATTTACGGAGGTCGTCATGTACATGACGTACGACTTCTGTATGAAGTAATGTATGTAAAAACTTTAAAACATGTCTGTTTCAATGGTACTAATAGAAAATATAAAAAAAAAAATAAGAAAAATGGTACTAAATAAAAAGAAATTATTTTAAATCCCAATTACAAAAATGGCTAATTGAACATTGTATCTATTCAATTAATGAATTTTTGAAATTAAAAGTGAAATGATAATTAATTAATATTATAATAATATTGTTGACACTAATCACAGACCTACTAATACGTATTAATATCAAATGAGATGAAGTACGTTAATTGACATGAAATTGTTATTGACATATTGTTTTGTTATAAGAATTGTTAATTTAGATAATATTTAAAATTTTGCATGTCTAATTGTGGCGAAATATGTGGACTTAGTATTATTTTATCTATCTGTATATTTACCATATTTCTTGCAAATAAATATTCATTCATTCATTCATATAAACAAACGAATAATAAATGTCACGATCACAGTTTACTCGTGTAGTAAAAATCAAAGATTTATTAAACAATAAATTTTTTTATATGCAACTTAAAATGGCAAACAAGCTGACGGCCAACTTGATGGAAAGTAGCAATCGTCGTCTATAAAAATGAACAGTATCATGGACATAACAGAGTATACTGTATCGCGTATGATACCCCCCATGCGTTGCCATTTCTGAGGACAAACATATTATGCCTCTATACCTTGTAAATTCACTACCATATCCCACCCTTTAAATCGAAACATAGCCATGCAGACAAAACTGCTTCACGGTTGAAACACGAATGGAACAGAAGTATCCAAGCAAACGACTTTCGTACAAAGTTTCCCTCTGATATTTTAATATTTTGATTTATTGATAATTTAGCGTGTCTGTGATAATTTTTACAAAATTTTGTTACATTTTTATTCAATTCTATTGAAATTGAGCTACTCGCTGTGTGGTCCCGGCATAGAATGGGCCACCCCCTCCTTTTCCATGGGAGTCATAAGAGGCGACTAACGGAACTTAATGGTTAAAAGCGTAACTGTGGTAGTCAAGCGTGGCAACAACTTACAAAACTTCCCTTAGGGGGGTCTATGGTTTTTTATTTTTAAATGGATGATAATGGAATGGTAACCCCACCCGCGCTATCGGTATACACCTACGGGGCACCAGTGAACAATGATAGGTGAGGATGAAGTAGGTCAGTTAGCCCATCGTGACGAATTCAACAAGAATTGTTCACGATGGTTTCCAGGGGGAACCACGTGGAGGTCGACCTAATAAGGTATATTGCTAGCAATGGGGCTGTCAAACTCCATTGCTAACGATCCTTTTCCCCCTGGGAGGTCTATGTTTAGCAGAGGACAGTTAATTGCTAATATGACGAATATATCGAGAAATTAATAAGAAAAAAAACTCGTTACACAATTCTGATAGAAAACGCGACTACACTTGCATGATTTTATTTAATTTCATAAATATTCTTTCGATCGGACATTAACGAGGGAGTTTTGTCGAACGAAACGCAGGATGTCCAATTATATTTTATCTTACTTGAGAATTTACGAAAAACAATAATTAGGCGGGTTCGCCTCGCCCATTGTTCGCCGGTAATGGCGTATGCGCAACTGTGAGCATTGCATACTTTGTATATCGCCGGTCACCTATCACGTATCCAAATAATGGCCGACGATTGTCATAATCAGAAAGCCATAAAAAAGTGAGTACCACATAATTACGTACACCTATAAGTGTTCAGGGGTTCATATATTTTTACTTTATGGTTGCTAATTGGCGCTGGTTATTTTGGGTTCGTGAAATTAATTGTCTCATCTCACACTCTTCACTCGTATCCCGGTGGGTGATAGAAAAACTTTTTTTAAAGAATGAGTATGAAATGGTCACCCCGACTACACTGTCGGTATAAGCCGGTGAGGGGGAAAGGATTTGTTAATAATGGGATATAACTGTCCCATTGTTAGCAATACACCCTATCAGGTTGACCTCCATGCGGTTCTCCTTGGAAACCATCGTGGTTAATTCTAGTGAAATTCGTCAAGATGGGCAAATTGGCTTGCTTTAATCCTCAACTATCATTCCTCATGGGAGATTTGCCAGCGTATACCGATAGCGCAGGCGAGGTTACCATTTCATTATCATCCATTGAAAGGTATATGTTGGGGGGGCATCAATGAGAGACTACGAACAAGCGATGAGAGACGATAGGTGAGGATGAAAGCAGGTTAGTTTGCCATTCGATCGTGATGAATTCCATAAAAAAAATATTTCCAGGAGTGTCGCCTATATATTATTAATAATAGGACTGTTAAACTCAATTACTAACAATTCCTCCCCCCCCCCCCCTGTAAAACCGTATTTTTCTATAAGTGTAAATGGAATGGTAACCCTGCCTGCGCTAACGGGATACGCTGGCAGAGCACCAGTGAAGGGTGATAGATGAGAATGAAAGCCTATCATGATGAATTCATCAGGAATTATCCATGATAGTTTCCAGGGAGAACCGCGTGAAGGTCGATCTGGCTGGGTATATTGCTAGCAATGGGATTCTCAGTTTCCATTATTAACAATCCCTTTGCCCCGTGTAAAAACGTATTTTTAAATGTATCTTTGCATATACCTACTTGCAGACACGTATCTACCTAGTTATGTTTATGACGGTACCAAAGTAAGTTGAGGTCAAGACCATTGTATGTTATTCGAAGTTAAAGCGCATAGGCATGCCACATAAAAGTTCTTAGAAAACGTTTGGTCACGAAATTCACATTCGTAGAATAGTGCCCCAGTATGTGGCATTATTGAACGAATTTCTATAGGTACAAGTACAAGCATACGACAACGAGATGCTCCAGATGCTCACAATGACGTTGTTACTCAACTGTCACGATGACAGTTTTAATAGTGATTACCTATTCTATACTCGTATTCGATAGGCAGA